TATACTTTACTTTTCGACATCAGCTAGTTGAAGTCACTGTCATTCTCCGGCTTACAGCTAGTTTGGTTTCTTTATCGAATATCTGGCGGCAAAAGGTCATTTGATATAGGTACTTTTGTTCTTAGGATTTCATTCAATATAAGGTTTCTTCGATTTTGATTTGTTGATATCAATAGAAAATTTTTGGGCGTCGATATGTACTGTTTCATCCCTATTCATCCCTAGATATTAACATAACTAGTAGAGTCTGGCAAGCGAAACGTGTCACAAGAAAAGGGCGGCAATTTCAAAAATTCTTAAGCAGTAAACACTGAATGTAGTACTGCAAAATAATTTTGATACTTTTATTAATTATATTTAATCTTAACATTTAGATATCAATTAAAATTATTTGTTTTGGAACATTTGACTAAAGCGTGACTGTTCTTAATTGTACAGTTAACAGCATATCAGTAGGCCTATTCACTAACTCAACTGACAACCAAGAATCGTCATCACCGTAAAAAATAGACACTTTGATTGTGTCAAAATCACTATTTCGTATTCTCTATCAATGATGAGCAATTTCGAAATGTCAATATCGGCATTCTCCACTGGACTCCATTTTGACACTTGATTTCGTATCGATAAACTGTATTAAAGTAACATTGTTGCAAAGCATATTTGAAGTCGTCGCATAGTACCTCTTAAGCCATTTGTTGTTAAATTAAAGCGAAAAAAAATACGTATCCAATATTTTTCTATTATCTGACTGACGGACTAAATCGAATCTTTTTTTTAACCCATTCGTTATACCTATTGGCTAACAGCACTTATAATATTAAAAATTCATATTTGTCATTAATTAAAAGGGTGTTTTTTGCAACGACTTCTTTGTTTTTTTGTAATGAATATGGGCGACTCTGGCCACATTTTTTTAATAAATGTGATGTTAGCCAATTTTGATTTCTGGCCCTTATATTTATAATGTGTTCATAACACATACATGTCTCCTAAGGGATTTTCATCACAACCTTTTGCTCTGATCCAGAACCACTATCTATCAAATTAAATTAGTCAATATAAACACCAGATTACAATAAAAAAAACATTTATTTTTGTTACAATTAAGTGCCATGGATAAATTACATAATACAGGTGTCACAAAATCATCATGTTAATCACAATAGAAAATTTAAGATAAGATTTTGACTATGAATCAGACTAAAAATACTTTAGTCTGATTCATAGTCAAAATCTGTTTCTAAATATTCTACACCTGATAACAATGACAAGGAATCATCAGAGTCACTCTCTTCACTACTGTCTGCACCAACAGATATAATAAATTTTTCAAGTTCGTTTTCAACAATGCCATCTTTTAATTTGTAATCATTTTCGACATTTAAAACATGATCAGTGTATTTCTTCCAGTCACTAGGGGTAATTAAGTTAAAACACTCTATTATTAAGTTTTCCATTTCCTTTCCTGGTATTCCAATGTTTCTGCTTGCAATTTTTCTTTTTGCTTGACTCCAAACCATCTCTATTGGGTTTAAGTCACAATGATACGGTGGCAGCAATAAAAGTTCATGATTATGTTCTTTTAAAATCTCTTCAGCTTCATATACAGGCAATGTTTTCTTATCATTAACCAAACACATTAACTCTGCCTTTGTCTGATATTCCTCAAAATGTATTCCATTATTTACAAGCCATTTACGGATATCTGCTTTGGTATTAGACATTATAGGCGGTTTATTGATCTGTTTTATATGGTAGCTGGCATTATCCATAACAATTACACTGGGCTTACTTAAATTCGGTATTAATTTTTCTCTGACCCATTTCATAAAGTTCGATGAGTTCATATCATCATGATAATCAGCAGATTTGGATTTACTACTGAACACTAATAATGCACCAGGCACAAAACCTTCCTCAGATCCAGCATGCACAACAATATGCCGTTTTCCAGAGGATATCTTTGTAGTGACACCAGTTGTTGAAGGTCCTTGCCAAGACTTTTTAACTTTATAATTCTGATGTACATAAGTTTCATCAAGGTACACAATTTGCTTTCCTTCGTTTCGTTTTATATTTATTTCTCTCAAATACTTGTGCCTCCATGCAGAAATCTGGTATTTTTCTATAAGCATAGAACATTCATTTTCATTGCTTTTAAAAGAAAATCCATTCTTAAGCATAATTTTTCGTAAAGTCTCACGGCTACCACTGAATCCTATTGCATCTTTTAATTCATTGTGAAGGCTTCTTAATGTTGGAACAATTTTTTTCACACAGTAAAATTCATTTACTTTATTCCGAATTGCACTTAAATCAAAATTATCTAAAGCAGACACTGTTGGTTGATGAGGTCGTTTTTTCCCAGGAGTGTCCCATTTTCCTTTATTAATTAATGCTTCATTTTTTATCCTTCTTAGTGTCCTTATACTTACATCTATAAAAGATTAAACACTTTGAAACAAAGATATGTTAAATGTATTTAAAAGCAAATAATGATAGACACATACATCAAAATAATTTAAATACCTATTCAACTATGAATGCAATTTATGTTTAATTTAGTTAAGTTTATGTGCATATTTAGCATGTATAACAATTACATGGTTTGATTAGTTTCATGAATTCTGTGAATTTCCTTGTTAAACAAAACATTCTTATGACATCATTGGATGTCAACAATAAAAACCAATACATCATAAAAAACCTATGTAAATATTATAGGAATACTATCAATCTATCTTAAATCAAAACAAGAAAAGAGACCTGTCATTGAAGAAATTTTTTGTAAGTACTGCGTTTCCGAATTCAGCATTTCTTGTTTTTCTAAAGTTTTTATTGCATTTATCTCCTCCATTATTGGTTGAATATCACCATCACAGTTATCTGAAATAGAGCAATATTTTATAAAAAATATCTGTTTAGTTAATTACAGAAAATTAAAACGAAAGTATCAAAATTATAATACAAAACTAACCTAAAAAAGATACAACTTTATCTAATCGTTGTAATTTCTCCATGAAATTTTTATTTAATTCAGTTTTCACTTCAGTAAACTTGTCAATCATGATGGAAAGAAGTTTCCTCGATGAACTTTTTATCGGCTTCGACATAATTTTTAACCAAAAACACAAGTTCAAATTCGCAAAAACAACAAAATTCAATATTCTTGAATTGTCTAACGTAGTGTCAAACTGACAGTTCTATGTTGTTGCCATATGAAAACGGAAAAATAGGTGGTGTCACGTTTCGCTTGCCAAACTCTACTTCTAATATTTTATCTAAATTCCTAGCAATCAATAATAGTCTTAATTTATAAATATCTTTGTTTTCTTTATACATTCTATTTGTATTATCTTTAACAATGTAATCAGATAGACGCGCTTTGAGCCTGTTTTTATTTTACTTAAATTAAAAATTTTCATATTTTATTATTGTTTCTTTACGTGTAAAGACCATAAACGTGACATTGGCCGAGATGTGTAAATGCAAATAGGCCATGACTAAAAAAAGAAGAAGTCTGTTCTCTGTCTACGTCTGGGACGATTTCCGTGTATAACGGAACAAACAATCTTTATTAAAAAAAAACAAGCTTAATAGGAAATTCAGGAAATCATAATAGGGTATTTGACACTATCGAAAATAAGTTGCATTTTGTGGTCATCTGATAGATAATAATCTAATAAAGCTTATTTCTTAACATCTGCAGAAAAAACATGTTTAGATTTAGTAAAATAACGTAAAGAAAAAGAAAATGCAATATTTTTAGGAATTTATTCAACGACGAAAACGTCCTCTAATTGTTCGTCGTCACAACCAATCACGATTTTGTTTACTGGCCTGTGACGTCATCAGCTGTCATGTCAAAGTAGTGTTAGAAAGATAGATAAAATATCGATGCTTGTAGGTATCGAGTACTTTATAGTAATTTACTGATAACAGAATACTTTGCCACTGTTGCTGATAAGAACTGCCAAAAAAATACAGAAAGAAAGAATAATTTACTAAGCTTTTTAAAAAATCCAAGAAATAGGGCAAACGCCAGCTATTTTAAAAAAGAGCAACTAACATGTTTTTCTCATTTCTTGAACTTGAATAAAAATAATTCAAGATTACAAAGTCGATTTTGATGATATATACTGTTCTCCAAGTTAAAAACTAATAAATAAAAAATCATCGGATCTGTCTAATTATCAAGTGCCATGCATTTAGTGGACAGACATACTAAATGCATGTATAAAAAAATAGTATATTCTTTTTCGTACTAATGTCTCATCCATCTGTAGTTCGACAGGCTGTAAAGTGCGAGCCCTGTCAACAAATATAAATAAGTCGTAAAATGTTTATGATATAGAAAAAAAAACAAAAAGAAAACCTTCAAATGTATCGATATGAAATGAAAAGTTTCAATACTTTTACTCTATATAGCTACTATACTATTGTGATTGTGAATCTGTTTTCTTCTAGACTCGAAGTTTGTTTGTTATTTATAGAAGTATTAGTACATTGTGGCACTACCAACCAGTTGTAGCTCGTTTTATAAAGAAAAGTAGAGGAAAATAAAAAACGTAAAAATACGCACTACGACTTCAATTTCTCTTCTAAATTATTATTTCAATTTATTGTAAAGACAGTTGTTACTTATCGATTTGACATATTTACTGGCCTGTGACGTCACGAACAGCGCCATTAGATAGGGCAGCGTTTTTCGCGTGATTTTGGCTATTAAAATTTTAACAATTATTTTCACAAAAAATAGAAAAGATTCCAATGAAATATAATAACAGTGTGTTTATAATGTAGCAAACATCGATTTAAAATAGTTTTTAGAAAAGTGTCAAATACCCTTTTTAACCCTCCAAGATATTTAACTTAAGACTTGGCATTAGCCATCTAAAAGAAAATTAAAAGACTTAAAATATGACGTGGCTGTATGGATGAAAGTTCTTTGCCTACCCTGAAAGGTGTGAAATAATAATTATAAAATAAAGGAAATCATAAATCAACAGCATATTTAAAGCAATTTGTAAATAATTAAAGCATCGTAATTCTTCTTAGTTATAATATGGGAGGCGGTGATTTGGTTAGTTATTAAATCAATTTTTGTGAATTTTATTGCTTTTTATTCTATTGCTTTTACTACTAAAACTTTTACTTTGCAGAATTCAAAGAAATCATGGCATCCAAATACAATGAAAAATCAAGAACGGGTTTGGAAAGCGGAGCAGGCAGCAGCAGAAGAAAAGAAACGTATATCAGAACTTCAACGCGAAAGAGCTGAGGAAAGAGATCGGGCAGAATTGAATCAGATGATTCAACGATCCGCAGACAAATACGGCGATAATCGCCTCAATTGGATGTATGATGTACGCTTTTCTTTTGAGATTTGCATATTGTTTGAATTAGCTACTGAAGGGACCCAAAGTGAAGATTTTTTGTCACTCTAAAACTAAAAAAGGATTTCTCCTTTTCTGGACGCCAATGCAATTAAGACTGAACTTTTCTATTTAGATTATATTAAAATAAAATTAGTCACAGTGACTTGAAATCAAGTGTTATATTGTGTTTTATGTATCTAGATTTTAAATAGGACTCTTAAACAGCCATCTTGGTTTGTATTGCTCTTCAGCTTCAAAGAATAAAGTGTGTAAAAACATTTAACCTTATAAATTAATGCATCATCATAGTATAATATAAGTTTAGTCAGGTTTACAGCATACTGACCTTTTTAATTGAACACAGATATGAAATGGTGTTGCCTTTAGGGTGGCCAGCATTAATGCTGTGACAAAAATCATTAAGTTTATATTTAGTAATAAAAGGTCAAGAGATCAATTCAGAAAATAAATTTAATAGATGTATAAAGTTAAACAAATCCAAAAAATATTTAATGAACTTTATTTTCTATATTCTATGCTATAAAGGTGACAGTTGGCCAATCCTATTCTTAATTGGCTTGCATAATATTTAATTTTGAGAATATTGTTATGGTCTATATAATTTATTAATGACTAGTGGCCTCTGGCCACTTCGTTCACGTTATTTCATTTCATTATTTCTTTGCTCCTAATAGTTGCAGCGTGAAGTTATATAGCCTAAAGCCTTCCTCTATTCAACACAAATAAAATAATTTTTCTATTAGAACCAGTAGTTCCTGAGATTAGCGCATTCAAACAAACAAACAAACTCTTCAGCTTTATAATATTAGTATAGATGTATTAACCTTAAAGTGATTATGAAAGGCCCTTCTGGTTACTGTTATTTATTTCTTTCTAGGAAGGAAGGATAGATTTTCTTTGGCATGGTCTGTCAAATCTTAAAATATTTCACATTCTTTTACTAAAAGTGACCATGTTATTCCTTCCGATGTATATTTACTTAGCTATATTTCAACTATTGCCCAGCCATGAAAAAAAACGATTGCCTAGTTTTATAAAATAGCACCATAGAATTGAGGTGAAATTTCTGATATTGAAAATTTAATTGTAAGCAGAAAGAATAAACCGAATATGAAAGAAAAACATATGAATTACTATGAAATAAAATGACATTGTAATAGACTACTTCTAAACACATATATTTATTAATTGCAGAAACCTGACAAAAAAGTACAAGAAGAAGATTATCTTCTTGGTAAATCTATCGATCAGAACTATTGTCGGGAAAAGGAGGAACAAAGTACCATACCAGCTGTTGCACGACGTGTGGTTGGTTCCAGTATGTTGACTAGTGGTGGAGATGCTCAAGTCGATTTAGCTCGCAAAATTCGAGAAGATCCCCTTCTCCTGGTTAAAGAAAGAGAGAGAGCTGCCCGAGCAGCTCTTCTCAACAATCCATTGCATCGACGTCGCCTTGCAGATTTATTACGGAAGGAACAGGTATTATTTATTCAATATATCATATTCTTATTGAAAACTGTTTAAAAAAAACTCACTTTGTGCCTGGGACTCAGGGGGGACCAGATGGGTTTTGGACCTATGATCTTTCGCAATCCGGGCGACTGCTCTAACCAACAACTGAGCCACTCAGGACCTAACAGGATAGTGAAATTTGTAAAGCAGGTGTTAATTTTTTGCTACTACAGAGTGTACTTTCATCAATGTCCAGGCAATCCACCCAAACAGCCGAAAGAAATATTTTTATAAATATTTTAACTTTTGATAAAGATGAAGAACTTAGTAGCCCTAAACAAGCCCCAAACCTAGTCTAGTTTTGAACCTACTTATTATTTTCTTGGATCTCTAAGACATTTTTATCTCTGATGGATAGCTAGCTAAATAGGTGTTAAGTCATGCCTTGAGGGATCATCTGACCATACTCTGCTTATGCTTGATATGAACAGCACAGTTATTACGCTAGACGCCTCCAGAAAACTTTAGAACTGATTGATATGGTTTCTGGCCCTACCTTGATTAAGGATGTTGATGAAGCCTGCAACAATATCACTAATTTAAAAAGCTTATTGGATTAACTCCCAGAACTGAAACAATATCAAATAAAACTGAAGATTGAAGGGAAATGGCGTTTAAGATGTTTGGCAATTATCTCGTCATCCTTCTGACAGAAGAAAGTTTAATCAAGCTACAACAGAATTAAAAACTATGCTCAAGGAGTCTAACAATAATAAATTGCGAACATAATTATTGATGATATCAGCAACTGAACAAGGTGAGCACTCATTTTGGTAGGCAACAAAAGATCTCGATAAATCACAAAAAACAACCCTCGAAACAGTTTCAGTTGGGTGCGGACAAATAGTAAAAAAACAGAAATATTTGCGACACACTTAGCAAAAGTGTTCATCCTCAATGAAGGTTGTAAAGACTACCATGAGATAGAAGAAATTAGCAATCGGGACTTTCAAATGTCCTTACCTATCAAACCAACTTCACCCGGGGAAATAATAACAGAAATAAGATCTTTCGATTCAAAGAAAGCTCCAAGGAAAGGCATTGTTTATCTGACATACCTATATAATGCTTTTTTTAGACTTTCCCCTTTCCCTGCTTTATAGAAAATCTCGCTGATCATACTTATTCATAATCCTTCTTTGTCAATATGAATATTTCTTCAGAGGCTAAAAACAGTAATGGAGGAGTGTTGCCTAGTTCCGGCTCACCAGTTTGGCTTCAGAAAGTATCACTCTACCGTGGAAGAGCTTTATCGCGTATCTGACACCATACGTCAAGGCTTTGAAAATAAGGCGTATACATCTGCAGCATTTCTAAATGTAAAACAGGCTTTTGATCATGTCTGGCATAAGAGCCCACTATGCAAAGTTAGGGATAATCTTCCCTATTCATTCTTTCCAATCGTTATATCGTATCTATCCGAAAGACAATTCCAAGTTAAACAAGGAGAAGCAAGATCAAAGCTATACAACATTGAAGCGGGAGTATATTTACGTCCGATCTCACCACCTCCTCTTACGTAACAGTCGCGACTTATCAATATTATCGATGTTGCTTACCCCTTAAAGACTATCACAAATTTGTCAGTGCTAGATGAAATGAATACTTGGATGTAGAAAAGGCGTATCCGTGCTAGCACCCAAAATCAAACCATAGCAACTTTAATTTGAGGAGAGGTAACTGTCCTGCGGTGAAATTGGGTGGAGATATCCTACCACAAACTGACTGTATCAAACTCACATAAAAGAAAAGAGACCAGATCAACTCTAAATATAAAACCCTTCACTGTTTAATGGGTCAAAATTCTGTCTTAACTGTGGACAACAAACTCATTTTATTGAAACTTATATGGAGTTATGGCCTTCAACTCTGGGATGTGTCTAGTAATAGTAACATAAAGTGTCTTCAAAGAGCGCAAAATGGAATCCTCAGAAACATGGTAAATGCACCATGTACCAAGGTTTGCGCGAAACAGTGAACCCCCACTGTACCAAAACAAATTCCAGCTACTCACCAAACCCATTGGCTACAAAGTTATTGAATAATATGGGTTTAGTCAACTGGCAGCAATATAAATTAGTGGGCCAGCAGTTCCCTAAACGCCTTTCTTTACCTTTAAAAAAACGGATAATAGTCCGGGTACTTGTTAATTTATTTAAAGGCGATTTTTAATATATAGACAAAAAATCTAATATATCATATATCTATATATCAAAGCTTAAAGTTCTTTATCATCATCTTCATCTCCAGCTTATTAATGTCCCCACAGCTCGGGCCCAGGCCTTCTCTATAAATGGAAAGTCAGGAAACTTCATTTTAAGAGTCGTCTGTGAAATCAGTTGATAACCTTCCCTGTTTATTCTCTCTACGCCCTATGCGATACCTAAGTACTTATAATGTATTTTTTACCAGATTACCTGAACATCACATGGCATTATTCATAATATCCAGGTATTGTGATAAATAAGGCAGTTCAAGTCGTAATTATTTAAATTGCCTTCAGTAGTTTCTCATAGTTTACAATGCCTGGGCATTATGAATAATTCTGTTTAGATTATGTAGGGTCAAATGTAATTCAAAGAATTCAAACTACATTTAAGTATATAAACATTATGATAAAAGAAAAAAGCATTTTAAGCATTTACTTTAAGGTAAATATTAGCTCACAATTACAGATTGCATGTACTTTAATTTTCAAAAAACCACCATACCTATTAAAGAACCATAGATTAATAAAGAACCAACTACGACTAAATAAGCTCTGCCCCGGTCTATATGCATGATTCAGTTAACTGAAGTGGAAAATTTTAAACCTTGACGTTTTCACATACTTTTTTAGTTTCAATTGGTTTATTCGCTTGCTATATCAACATAAAACTTTTTTTTATATATATATTTATCAGTTTTAGTGATATTTAAAAATCAGTAAAGATTTATTTAAAAAAAAATAGAACAAACAATCAATATTTATCTTAAAAGCGGTTCATATATACTCGAAACTTGTATTGAAGTAGGGTGGTTTTAAGACAGTTTTTGAATTCATTCTTATGAAATAAATAAATCTATTGAATATGACAGTCAGTAGTAATAAAAAAAATCGTCATAGATTGATAATAATGTACATTAGTAAAATTGTATACTTATATTGCAGCTTGTTTTTATAAACTTAGATTATATTTTCTTAAAAATTTCTTAAAATAGAATTTAATATTCACAGCAACATAGAAAAGAGAAAACCAAGAAGAAATCGAAGAAGAAAGAGAAAGATCTTGATGTTATGCTAGCATCCAAATTAAATGCTTTGAGTGGGCAAAAAGGAATAGATATAGCGAAATTGCTTGATTCAGAAGATTCCTCGTCGGATTCATCTGACGATAAACCTGTTAAGAAAAAGAAGAAAGTAAAGGAACAAAATAAAAAAAAGAAGTCTAAAAAGTCGAAATCAAAGAAAAAATATGACACATCTCCAGATTCTTCAGATGTGTCAAATAATTACAAGCATAAGAGGAAATCAAAGACCGAAGAAAAATTGACAGACAAGTATAATAACTCTAAAAAACGTAAAATTGACAACGACTTCTCTGAATGTGAAAAAAGCATAGAACAAGTAAGAAAAAGGATAAGTCCTGAAAGAGATGTCGATAGGAAGAGGAGTCGGCGCCATTCCAGCGACGAGGACGAAACAAAAACACAAGGTGAAAGGAACGCGATGAGGAAAGGACGCGAGGAAACATATAACAGCAAAAGAGATGTAGAACGGACGCGTGAGTGTGAAAGAGAGAGGGACAGAGGGCTTGATTCGCGTTCAGATTATGGAAGGAGGTGGAAGCCTGAGAAGCCAAAGAAAGGGTTAAGCGATGCGGAGAGAGCGTCCAAGTTAGCAGCTATGGCGGCAGCAGGGGCGGAACGTGAGGAATCACGCGGTAGGCGCGTGGCCGAGCAGCGCCGAGCGGATCTCGTCGACAACGCCGGAGCATCTCGACCACGTACTAATGATGCGAGAACATTACCCGAGTCACTCGAATCTCGCATCCGATCCAACAAACATTATATACAACGCGATCGACACCACATGAATGAACACTTTGCAAGACGGTAGTTACAAATAAAACAATCGTTTTTTTGTTATGTTATAATTAGTTCTAGTTTACATAGAATATCTTAACAAATGTAAATAATGTATCTATCAAATTACAAGAAATTCACTCGAAAGTATTTCGACAATGTTCATATTTTCAGTCATATCTTGATAAATATGGTTAGTCCAGCGGTATCTTTTCTTTGACGATCTGTAAATATAAAAAGTTACTCTTAATACGCAGTGTTTTTTTATTTTTTATTATTCATTGACTGTCTCTTGGTCACAATCTGTACTGAACGCTAGTTAAGGTTCTGTCTTATTTTACTAATTGGGTTGTTTGCTGATATTTAATGGTGATTTTTAAAAAGAGCGATTAAGACCTCTATATATACTATTTCTAAATAGACTAAAGAGAAAAATACGTCGAGTTATCAAAATTTTCGTAAGTGATTTTAAACTTGATGTATTACATTTTAAAATCAAGTGAAGAAAATTTACAGTTTTGTATAACTTGACTTCTGTCGTGTTGACTGTGACCAAACTAAATCTTTATTTTGTAAAGTACTGTACATAAGAACTCTTGGTTCACTTAAATTCGTATAAAAATCATCAAGTTGTGAATAATTGCCCGATCCATTTAATATGGTACATTATTAATAAATTACGAATCTCCCTGGCCTCCACATAAAAAAAAAAACTAAGCTATTAGGTATTCTCTTTTAAGCAAAAACTGAGGAAGTATTTAAAAAATAAAAATTAGTTCTTGAAATCATACTAGATGTCACTCGCGAGTTTTGGATTTTGTTTATGATATTCATTCAAATTTTATTTCTGACGTAATAAATATAAATTGAGTATTTTCGATTAATAAATATGACATCGTTTTGTGTTTCTTATAATGTCTCACTTTCAAACTAATTTTAATTTATTTTAATTGTAAGTTTAAGTTGTTTATTATGTTACGTGTAAAGGAACGATGTTTGGTTGATACGTCAACATTAGTGATGAGCGAACTTATTGGTTGCTCGTAACTTTCGTCGAATTCAAGTTTGGAATATTAATATAAATATCAAAATCAATTCAATCTAGACTGTTACATAGTACTTGTGAAAGTCGAAAACTTTACCAATAGTTCGCAAAACTAAGGCGGGAGATCTCTTACTGACAAGAAACGGCAAGAAACTTAGCAAGGGCTGCTTCTTTAATTTCAACTAAACAACTCAACTATACTATATTTGAGGGATCGTAACCACCTAACGCACACGATACCACCGCAGAGATTTTAAGAGACCATAACAACTCTAGGTACTTAGTAAATAATATATTTCAATAAAACGGATTTCTAGAGTAGGTTGTGTAGGAATTCAAATTATTATTAACAATATTATTGTAAGAACCAAAAAGAACAAACCCGCCGTACGAATTAACTTAACACATGGCTCGACGTCCGCCGTCGACATGCAAGATCAGTAGCAATATAATAACTGTACGTGTCTTTGACATTTGAAATTTAAAGTTACAACCTTGCTGTTCGTTTAGAGCAGACGTTTCTTGTTAATTGCTGAATGTTTATTAAGATGATTTAATTATGAATATAAGATTTAATAACTGATAATAGTTTTATAAAGTCTTAATTTCGAAAGCACAAGTTATTTGCACGTTACACTTTGCACAAACGTCATTTTAGCCAGCAGTTATGTTATTATGTACGAATATATAGTATATTTGATACATATCGGGTAAGTTTATAGATAATAAACGGATTTTTCTTAAACATTATTGTTTTTATGACTTTTGTTGCTGATTAATAAACCCTATTCATTAATTCACCATACATAATATAAAAAAAAATATTGAGAATTGATGTAGTTTTGTTGTTGTAAGTTCAACAAACAACTAATAGCAATAAAACTAACTTACCTAGTTGTTATTTTTTCAGAACTTTTGTTAAATATTAAAATGAAAATTCCTAGACCTACTATGACATAAGTACCTATTTTATTTATAAAACGTAATATTATTGTATACCGTAGTTAGATGCCACTTTTAATTATATCACAGCATTCAATTGATTTCCATAAATTTAAAAAGCCTCTGTGCTCACTTCCATTATGTTAGTTTCCATTTTCCTCTATACAAATAAAGAATAAATTTATTCAAAGATTACTTTGTATTAATCGAGTTGCGATTGCATAACTCGAACTAGTTAAATTTCAACTCGATATTAATCCAAGTTATCAGATCCATAACAACACTAACAAATCTATTCTCTTTGGTTTAACGTCAGGAATTGACGTTTAGATCCAACAATTTGTGCTGCCATCTAGTAACATAATTTTTTGTAGCTTCTTTATTTTTTTTTAAATACTTCCTCAGTAATGGTATCTATCATTATTATAAACACATAACAGGTCAATCAATTTACGGAAAAGTGGACACGATTCTTTGATTGTTTGTTTGCATTGAATAGGTTTAAAAAGGTACAGTAACAAATTGAAAATTTTCTTTATACGCGTGTGGTGTAGGCTATAAATTATGCGGGCGAAGCCGCGGGATAGCTTGTTGGATAATAGAAATATGCGGGCTATTCGTCTATTTTCAAAATTGATCTATCATAATCCCTTTCGCTTATGTATATAGCTATTGCTATTTATGGAATTATGAAACGATCAAAGTTTCAAACGATTTTGGAACGAATGATGATTTGAATGATCAAGAATATTAAAAACTTGGCTAAACCCGTCGAAAGAAGCAGTTGGCATTCAATTCTTTCGTTTGTCATTTCTCAAAGCTTCTAAAGCTTTGCTTGCCAATTCCGAATAAGTTAAACCAACGATATCGTTCATTCCATATCCATTAAGAAATGTCGCGGTCACATGTCAAATAGTTATAGCGTGAAGGTCGTGAGTATCTTTCAAATGTCAAATTGAAAAGGATCACGATAAACTTTAAAATTAGACAGCCCCCTGAATGTCGTACGCGGGTACCTCTGCGCACATGCCGGCGTATATAGGATCAGAGTCCCATGGGCCGCGCTCGGGCAGAGGGAGGGCGCGGCGTCGCAGCTCCGCCATGAGGTCGCTCAAGTCCATAATAGGGATGGGGTCTAGTGTACGCGCGCGCTCAGCCAAGTACTCGATGTAGTGGAGCCTGGAACAGTGGCGGACTAACCTCATCGGAGGCCTGGGGCGGCAATAGCCCTGCATCGACTACTTTTTCCAACAGAGGCAGAAACTTGATATTTACAAGTTATCTTTTATCCAGCTCCCCGCGCGCGCACTTTCAATTTTAACTTTATTATACTTTTATGATTTTGGCGGATGGCTGCAGGCATTTGGAGGCGCCCAGGACCGGAGCGCACTGCCACCTCCGCCCCCCCCTTACGCCGTTAGTATATCGACGCAATCGCATGGAACATTTGCGAATTCTCGTCAGTTGTATGGCAATATTTCGCATGTGCTTTGTCTCGCTTAATATTAGCTCGATAAAGTATCTGCATCCTTGTCAGTACGGTTTCGCAGTTGACTGCCGTGATAGGTCGTTACACAGACGCACATGTTTTGCGTTCAGGGTTACCCGTCCCGATTTGGAATCACTATAAGAATATCACGAATTTTGTTAAAGATGACAACCCTATTCGCATAGTTTTGTTAATGTTTTGCATTCGCATGCTACGGCGTCGGTATACTAGCGGCGTTAGGCCGCCACTGGCGAGTACACACCTCGATCAGTCCGCGCCGGTAGAGGCCGTCGAGGGAGCCGTAGGGGCGGGGCGGGGGGCGGAGCGCCGCTCGCCTCACCAGAGTCTCCAGGTCGTCGACGTCCAGCAGCGGCAGCGGATCTACCTTGTGCGCGCGCACCACCCGCGACAGGTACTCCAGGTAATGGTTCCTGCACCCGTATTATCTAACTTGAGTGGTAATCGACGACGCTTTGGAACGTAGGTTTCATTCGTTTTGACTTTGTGAGGCCGCTAATGTGCTAGTCGGAACTGGAGAAGTTTGACGGAGTTGTGCATAGAATTTTGTATACATGAATAAACTTGCGTGTGCTTAGCACAAACGTTTTCATTCATAAGTAGTCATAAAAGAGAACTGTTTTTGTATTTATGGAGCCTGAGATTCAGGTTTAGAATATAAACCTCATTCAGGCACAGAAGCTACTCAATTGTAACATTGAGTTTAATTAAACCTATGTATATTTTTTTTTGAAAAAATAAATATTATTATTATGTACTTTATTCAAATTAGCTCTAACCAAGCATAAAGTGTATATTATTATGACAGAGGGTAATTAAACCTGATACCAGATCATTTTATTTAATTTTTAGACGCCATCAAAATATTTGTTTTCAGAATTGAAAATAGTTTGGTGGATATTTTATAATTTATGTAGCAACACATAAATGCACTCCGAAAATCTATGGCAATACCTTCCCTAAGTTACGTTCCAATTCATGCTATAAAATAATCTATGTGGACAATTTGGAATATTTTTTTCATTCGCTATCAATTTTTGACATTTCAGATTGAAAACAAGAAAATCCTGAAAATGACGAATTACCACCAAATCACGCATTGTTTTTATCAACTGTTGACAAATAAACAGACTTTTGCTAGAAAAATAAACCATTTGATATAACAAACATAATGCTTGTTTATTTATATAACAGAATTTCATCGCTTTCGTGATTATCCCAAAGTGTTCTACCAAAGGCTAAGTAGACAAAGTTCTTCCTGCCTTTGTTTTAATACAGCGTTTTCTTTTTAAAGTGTTTTATTGCTCTGCAATCATGTGTTTCTAGGTGAATCATACTAAACTTTTTCAATATATTTTTCTCAAACTGGGGACATTTCAGACCTAAAACTTTAATGAAAGATAGAGGACTAGGTCTAGTTTTCTTTATAGTGGTTATATTTTGTCGGAATAAAGTACCAAAAAATATTCTCTTCAAAACGAATGAAACCACCGTGTTCCACACAAACAGAACTGGTGGTAAATGTACAAGTAATTTTTTTTAAAGAAAAAGACAATGAATTATGTGCCCAGTAATTTTTAAAGTCACACTCGAAAAAAGTATTAATGAATTCATAAAATAGAACGACAGACATTGTTTTTACCACTCAAAATAAATAATACGACTACTGATACCACTGCCGCAGTAACCTAGTCGCTTCCCCTTTGTTTCATATAGTTTTATCGGAAATGCAATTATACTAAAACCTGAGACGTTATATCTAAGACTAAAAAACATATTGGTACATCAGAACTGAACATATTTTTAGTATAGTTTTAGATACGATTATTCATAAAATTATAATATAAACAAATGTGGTTAATACATGTAATGATAATATGTTTCCATACTTGCATAAGCCTGCATGTTTGGGCGGCGCTTCGCTTCCACATATGCCGTCCACAAGGCCGGTAGGTGTTTCTCGCTGCAGTTGTATTGGACAACGGTTACTACCACCTTCCGGCACTTCTGTCTCGTACGGGACGTTATTCATCTAAAGCAGAGCAATAATTGTTTGGATTACAACATACTGTTCTCATTTTGGTAAGTCACAAAGAATAATAATCTTTGAACTTTAATACTAATCGTTGAAAGAGTTGAAATATGTAATCAACTGCAAAGTAACCAAAGTTTTAAGAGCGCGCAACTAGTATAAAGCCTCATGCTCTTGACTAGTTCAGATTTACCCTTTATACAGACTTTAAAAGTAATGGAGTAGTCAGCAAAACTATGAAACGTTCTCTAAAAAAGTATTATGCGTTTGTTAAATAGACCACCAGGTTTCTAAGTTTCTTACGAGCTGGCTAATTGAATAGCAGCAGGTACCTGTAGCAGAGTTTGTAATTGATGCGGCTCTTTATCACGAAGGTAGAACAGACAGTTGCGAGGATGATGAGCGTGCAGACCGAGCTTGGCACAGTACTCGCTGAGGCCACAGCGTGCGCCCATTGTGAACGGTTTGCCACATCCGTAGCAGAACTCGTACTTGCATTGAGTACACGTGAAGTGCATGCAACCACCCCTTTATATAGAGAGAAAGAAGAAAAGCAATTTATTGTTGGGCAGTTGGGCACATATAACAGACACAGCAACAATATATCCCCCCCCCCCTGGAGATACACGATGAAGAAGACTAACCACAAGTCACGAGTTCTTAATTTTTGACGCCGCTTTTCTGTTTAATTTAGGATAAAATTAATACACGTGATATGTTACTACATCCCTCCTCCCTCGTGATATTTAGTGATTTTTGGCGGACCCTCTTCGAGCCTTAAGTGATAACTCAAAAATATAATTGTATAAACACGATTAAAGGTATTATCAATGTGAGCCAACACTGAAACCAATCCGGTATAAGCAGCACTAATATTCGGTACATTTGGCGCGTCATCTTGTCAATACTGCGTTAAAAAATGTAGTACCTTTATGTGTTGCTCACTCAGTTTGATTCAAATATACGCATCACATTACTGGGGAGGTTCGCTCCTGACACGTTCAGTTTCGCCACATGCAACGATCGGTGAAGGCCAAGAAGTAACTGCAGAAACTCCAGTTAAAATATACTTGTAAACGTACCGAACGGTTGTTCGTTCACATATTTCTAGCTGCGATCGGCTTTCACTGCACCTGTGTAAAACATGCCTGCCATTTTCTCTAAGTGCTAGCTATACGCGATTGCGTCTAATAGCCCAAGTTACCTGGATAGCGAGTATTTGAAGTGGCAGCGCGGGCATTCGAGGCCGTTCTCGCGCAAGTGTTGCTGCACGGCCGCCACGGAACGTTCCGGGTCGTTATCTTCCAACCAGGCGGTGTACTGTTCGCACGTTAGACCCTCATGATTTGCGGACCACTACCACCAGAGAAATTCATAATTAAACTAGACTCTGCATGTTTTTTTTAAAGTAGCTCGATGGCGTAGAGGATAAGCGCTGCGGCCCGTGATCGTTGTTGTTAAGCAACTTTCGCAAGGGTCGATCACGGGATGGTTGACCAAGGCACGTTAAGCCGTTGGTCCCTGCTGCATTTGCAGTCGTTAATACCCTCCAATCCGCAATGGGCCCGCGTGGAAGGTCATCGCCCATCCTCCTTAACCATAAATAAGGAAGGTCTGAGCCTCTGCAGTGGCGACGTAAAAGGGTTGATGATGATGCATGTTTTGGAATCGAAACGTTAGATCTTAGAAAGATTGCAAAACTTTTGTGTAGTAATTCAATGGATTGCCTCATTATGGCACATCAGGTTATCACAAAATTAATTGACAGTTTTTTTTTACTTGACTGTTGCACATAAATTCTTACCGGTTTTCTGCATTTAGCGCAGCTGACAGATCGACACTCGGGACAGCGTATTTTCTTTTGTTTTGGATGCACGAAGAATCCGGAAGAACATTCCATGCACCATCTGAAGTTTGGATCGCGCGCGAGGGTGCGGTCTCGTAACTAATGAAATATTATTTTTAATACATACATGAATTACATATATTCGAAATGGTCAAACTATGTAATACAAAACACGTACTTACTTTTCTTTGGAACAGTTCGTGGACCTCTGCTTCTAGTAAAGTTTTGAGTAATATATCGAGGTGGGCAAAGTACTCTAGCCATGAATCTTCGGGCATATTTTCGAGCTCGGGTATCTTACAGTATGGGCACACGCAGTCGGCAATGCTTCTTTCGGTTATTTGCACAGTGAAATAGTGACGAGCGCATTCTCGGCAACAGCGATGCGTACACCGTAACATTGATACCATCTGTTAAAGATATTATGAATTTAAATAAAAATGTAATAATAATAATTCTGATCTCATCTTTTCTCCTTTCTCTCCTTTTGTTAACATCGTCTATTTGGGCTTCGTGGGTAAGTGACAGTATCAGACCTGTGATTTTGTAAAAATCCAGACCCGAATTCGAATTTACTCGTGTCTGAATTAATTTTTTGTATAAAAATACAAAACATAATTGATTGAATATACATGTCTCAGATATTCTATTCCTATGTCATTTCGAAACTCACTTCACTTACACCGTTATTACCAATTAAAGGTTGAGCGGATGTCGCTTTTTGAAATGAATTCATACAACTAAGCGAATTCGAATTCGGGTTTGGATTTTTACAGAATTGCAGGGCAAAAAAGGCCACCTCCCCGCTCTTTTTTGCGGATCAGCCCTGCGATTTTGTAACAATCCAGACCCGAATTCGAATTCACTCATGTGTCCGAATTCTCGTCATTTAGTATAGAAATCATATTGATTCCATTTTTTGTATAAAAATACAAAACAAAATTGATTGATTAAACGTGTCTTAGATATTTTAATCCTATATCATTTCGAAACTCACTTCACTTATTTCACGAAACATTATTACCAATTAAAGTTTCTGCGGATGTCGCTTTTTGAAGTGAATTCGGACACCTGAGTGGATTCGAAATCGGGTTTGAAGTTTTACAGAATCGCGGGGCTGAACAATGAGGAAGTATTTTAAAAAAACGAAAGCACTAAAAAAGATGACAACTCTAGCAAAAGTTGATTTTTGCAGGAAACGAATGGACCAAAGATAGTCATTTCTTTCTTTCAAATTTACTTTTAAACTTGAAAGAAAATCGGAAAGGTTGTCATGAAGAAATCAAGAACGTACCGTAGCGACATCTAGTTTGATTTCGGGAACTAATGTTTTTTTAAATACTTCCTCATACACTTAAATATGAATTTATTTTATATTTATTTAATATTAATATTGAAAAAAATACCAAAAATTAAATTGTGAGTAAATAGAGAATGGTACCCAACACGAAAGTAAACCCAAATGCGAGAATTTTGAGTAGGTTATATAATACTAACCACCGACCGTCTTATTAGGTACACAAAATACTAATGCATTTCCTCGATGTATCAGGTACACAAAATATTACTTTGAGAGATCTTCGAAGAAACCACCGAAGTTTGCCAGATTGTCAGTGCTGGAGAAATAAAACATGGCGGTACGAAGTTCGCCGGGACAGCTAATCTTTAATAAATACCTGTAGGTTTATACGGAACGGTCGGTGCGGAGCCGGACTCGCACTTAGCCGGTGTTACATTTTTAGTTTATGCTGTTGACTACATGTCGGGTGGTATACATACCTCGTGTTCGGGCAATCGTGAGGCGCACAGCTCGCAGTCTTGTTGTAGATACGCGAGTGCGGCGGAGAGGTCCACGCATTCTAGCGCGGCTACTAGTGCAGCGGGCGCGGCCGTCCCGCGTGACGTCAGCTCCACCGCTAAACGTGCCTGTTCCCACGTCTCCGCAGCACCTTGCGCTAGCAGCATACGCGCTTGCCGCTGCACACACATCGTACTCGTAACATCACTCATCTTAAAAACACGTTTCCATGTTGGAAACTTAAGGCCTGATACGGCATTTGTAACGGGACCGGATTGGCCACGTAGCCAAAGATAGGAGCCCCTCGCATTTGGAGCCTCGTTATGGTTCAGTATAGTCGATAAATTAGTTTTTCAAGTTAGTGTAAAAAAACCCTTCTGACTAAACTCATATTTTTTTAAGTATAAACATAAACTGTCAAATGAAACTTAAGTTACGGGGGGGGGGGGGGGGGGGGGTACAGAGAATAAGCAAACCTACTACCTTCTAGGTGTAGATATTACTCATTACACTCATTAAATTTAAAGATAAAAATAATCTTATTTAAGGTTAAATTATTTATTGCGTGTCACATAACACATTGCAACCATTCAATATTGTGTAGTAGTTAGACTTGCTATTTATGAATAAAGTCGGATCTTGCCAGAAATAGTCTGATTTTTCAATATTTTTAATATATGAAAACGGAAAGAAGAAGAAGTTTAGTTTTCAAAGTGATCAAGAAATTCTTACCTCTGGTGAGCCTTCTGGAAGCTGCACTTTTGCTAAATCAATGATTTGACCGGATACACGTCGTAATGTCAAAGGTGGTGGTGGTGAGGGCACCCGTTCTGGTTCTTCGTTTTTCTTTACAATTTGTATTTGAGATTCTTCTGAGTCACTATCGGTCCATTCATCTTCAGTTCGGCAAGACTCGCGGAAAAAGCTATCTTTCTTCTCTCTGGGAGGTGACATATTAACAGGTGATGGTTGTTTTGTTTCTTGGGTTGGAGGAGGCGGCGCAGGTTTCTTTTTATGTAACGTAGAGGTAGAAGGCTTAACTTCCACAGTCGAGGGAATATTGATTTCGGTTTTTGGAAATTTGTTATTGAAAAGTTTCGATTGTAATTGTTTTACATGACCGCTCTGAATATTTCCAAAATGAGCTTTAGGCGGCGCTGGAGCGGGGTGCTGTTTTTGTGAAGTTCGACGTACAGGCACTTTAGAAGCTATTATCTTTGGGGAGGTCTTATCTGCCTTCTGTTTGTTGCTTTGAACAAATTTAATCAATTTAGGTATGTTAGATTTAATTGAATTCAGAGTTTTGTTTGCTACATTGTTACTTGATTTTAAAACATTCTGTACAGATGATTGGTCTGCATTTATATTGGTATTAAATTCAGATACTTCATTATTAGTTTTCTCACTAACTTCATCTATATGATCTTCATCGTGTCCATTGATATTTTCTTCTTGTTCATTATTATTTTCTTTGTCTATAAGATTAATTTTCTCGCTATGAGTTGGATCTGTAGGACTAGTTTCACGTGTAGTGTTCGTAAATACATTTTCAGATTTACTGTGGATTTCTTCATTTAAATGTATGGCTTCTATCGGTTGAATATTTATTTGGTCTATTTCTAAGTCTAGATCAGTATAAGTAAAAGATAAGTGAGTGGTTTCATTATCAATATTTACTTCTGTATCAGACGAGCTTTCCGATGATATGTTTTCTTTATCTAATACATTATTTTCTGGAATTTCGTTTGTAATATTAGTGTCTTCTATGATATCAATTATCGCATTATGAGTGTTTAAATTACTATCGGAAATAACAAGTTTTGTTGAAGTGAGCGGTTCTAAGCTTGAAATCACTATTTCAAACTTCGGAAAATGGACAATCGTCCTTTGAACTGGTATCTCAGCACTGTTATTTGTTACAATATTCTCTTGAATGTTACTAATATTGATAGTTTCCTTCAGGTCATTGTTATCACTTGCATCATTTGTAATATTATTTTTTTTATCATCAGAAGTATTTAATTCAGCATAAATTTCATCAAAACTGTTTACTTTATTGAATATGTTGTTATTTCGATCTTCTTCTCTGACATTAGTAGTTTTTTGTTGATTTATTTCTATAGACATACTATTCTCTTCTTGTAAGCTACGAGCGATTGAATCTAATATTTCTATATTTGTATGTTTAAAATCTTCAATTTGGTCTTCAATATGATCCATTGCTTCTTCGAAGTGATCATTTTCTTCAGAACTAGTCCTTTGAACTACAGTAGGACGTCTTTCAGATATTTGTTTTCCTTCGCTATCTGTAACAGAAGACTCATCATTTGAAGACATATCATCCGTATTATCTTCCGTTTCACTGTAGCTTGACTCATGTTCTGTAGATATATCAGACTCTTCCGAAGTATCATTTTCACTTTGAGATATATTTCTACTGTCTATAGAATTTATATCAGAATTTATTTCTTCTTTCATTTGCTGTATTAATCTTTGAGTATTGTCGACTATTTCATTTAAATTGCTTGATTTTTCTTCATCTACTGTTAGAATTGATTTATGTTCATAGATGTCTTCCATATGTGGACGTATTTCTGTAGTAGTTGGAGTGGTTGCTGGTTCCGACAAAGTAGCATTATTAGAGAGAATTTTCTCGTGGGTCTTTTGTGTCGGATTTTGTACAACTGATATATTCATGTTTTGATCATTTGAAATATTTACGGTGTGTAAAGTTTGTCCGTAATTTGTAACATTACTAGTGTCATATATGGATGGTAATCGATTTATTTCTTTATTGTCAATAACATTTTTGGAGTTTTCTTCTTGTGGTGTTTCTTTATTGTCTTGATGATTATCAAACGTATTAGTAAGTCCATTGCTCAAAGTATCAGAAGTAAATTTGGACGTTTGGGCATTTGTCGAAAAAGCTTCGAGTCTTTCTTGTCGCTGACTCTCGTTATTATTTTGGTGATGATCATGAATGACATTCTTAATTCTATTCGATGGTCGGTCCGCTGTCATATCGGTTAAATATGAACGGGAATCATTGCCGAACACGTCATACGTATCGCGTTTAGGACCCGAATCGGCGGCTCGCTCCTGTTCGTGCACGGGCAAAGGCGTAGATCTAGTCAAAGCGTTGTAAGCTTCTATAAAATCGTTTTCGGATTGAGATAAGTCGAGGCTGGGCAGTTTGAAGTCACCGATCGCGGCATCGGCTCGATGTTTGTCGGGCGGCAAAAGAGTTCGTAACAGCGTATCGTCATGTGGAGAGTAAGTCGCCGCCTGAACGAGGAGATCCACCGCTAAAGCCGCTTCCCTCGCGCCTTCGAACGGATCGGTCGGGTGAGCGTTCGGGTTAGCGTCCAGCGGGAAGTACATCCAGTCGTCTCGGTATTCCGGCGCCGGCCCATCGTACTCATCCGAGCTACCTTCCGCTGAAAGATAAACGGGACAGTTATGGCGTGGTGCGATGATTCTGTCTAGCGGCGAGGGTGGGGGTGATTACCGCGGCGGGGGGGCGCGGCGTCGTCCTCCGCGCCCGCCGGGGAGCCCCACACGCGACCCGTCACCGCCGCCGGCGCCGCCGCCTACAAAATAATATTTTAATTATTATTTTTTATCAATTTTGCATTCATAATGCTATACTGGAAAATTCTTATTGAAAAATGCTTATAAAATCCACTTTGTCCCTGCTACACTGTACCCTGTTAGGTCCTGGGTAGCTCAGTGGTTAGAGCAGTCCTCCCGATTACGGAAGGTCGTGGGTTCGAATAATATATTACTTATTTTCATGGAAGAATTAAGAAAAGTTATTTATTGAGCACACACACAAATAGGTACAATTTTTCAAGAGACAATCATAGTGTATCCGGTATATCAAAAAAGAGTCAAATCGACATGTGGCGTCGCTTTTCTTTATTTTATTTTTTATACTTTTGATGTATATTTAAATTTTGTTTTGATATTTGCAATTTTTTGTATTGTTAATGACACTGTGCTTTGATGAACATCTGTTTTGTGAGCATTACAAGCTTTTGAAGATACCTTAATGTTTTATTTTCAGACTTATAGTGCGCACACCACGCGCCTCAACCTTCGTCATTATCACTTTAAGTAAACAATCATTATCAGCCTATTTATGTACCTACCTACTGCTGGGACTACAGATGTAGCTGGAACTTATAGCTTAACCTGTCTTCCGAAGTACGGGAGATCTCGAGACGTTAAAATTTTGGTGATCCACCTTATGACGGCCTTGTGAATTTGCTTACCACTGCGCCATCGAACTTTCGATTTTTTACCTACTTTTAGCTTTTATCTGATAAGAGCGGATACAGCTAATACAGATGAATAGCGGTTATTATATATAATAGCAGATTATTTATTGGTTTTCGCAGATGATTTATTGATTATTAAAAGTGGGTGTTTTTGTGGAAAGAGAAAAAGCAAAGAATTTGTGGATACTTAACAATAAAATTTTCAGTTCGCTTGCGCATCTACACTTACTATCATTCAAAGAAAAATATAATCTAGCCATATTCTAAAAATGTTTGAATATAGTCTTCTTCTTCTTTTATTAGTAGCTTATCTGCGCATTTCGCACAATTCTGCCAATGTCAAGTGAATAAGTTAATTTCTACATGTAAAAATCGACATCAATGAATTCATTCCTAATAGAGATAATCGATTTTGAGGTCAATATATATAAAAAAAAAACAATTTTCGTAACAAGTATTAGTTTTAAACTTCAGAGGGCTAGACTTCAGTCATTATGGTATTTAAAAATATATATATGTGTTTGAATATGCAAATTTAAATAGATTTCTAATATATACACAGTCAAACTATTTTTTATAATGATTTTTTTAAATTATTTGTGACCGTGACCCATGCTATGTGAAGTGGACTATATTAGGCTATACCTGTCGCCGGTGCCGCTCCACACAGTCAGTGACGGCGGGCCACATGGCGCCGCGGTGTCGCGCTAGAGCGGCGCGCGCTTCCAATTCCGATACGAGAGCGCGCGGCTCTAATCTAGCAGCGGCGGCTCGAACACCGGCGCACAAACTAGGCCACCGCTCCCGTAGCCAGGCGAGCGGGCCGGCTGGACTCTGAGCTAAGGCCGCCTGCACCTCGGCCGCGCTGAACCCGAGCCGCTCGGCTTCGCTCATCAGCCGCGCCAGCTCTAGGCCCCGCTCGGCCGCCGCGCTACTGCCCGCTAGTGCTTCTAGGGACATCGCTCGCATCGGTTCTGGTGATGCCGCCTGTCACGATATCAGCGAGAATAGGGTTGACGAGTAATTTTTGTTTGTTTGTCCGTTAGGTAGATTTTAAATACGTATTTTTTGCGTAATCAATAAATTACGGCGATACATTGAGTTGAAATTTCGCAAGACGTCACGCATTTGTACAATATCTACAAAACTGTGACGTAGCAAGCCCCCACTCCTCAACTTTAATACCTATTATCTAAGCCATTTCTTATTTAAATAGAAAAAAATTATAATTTAATTTTTCTATTATCTGACTGACTTAATAGAATTTCTTTTTTTTAACCAGCCGTCATCCCTATTCGATGCATATAATTAGCATTTTAAATTTATACAGAGTTATTTCTAAAATGCCAACAACCTCCCAGGACTAGATAATATCATAAGTAAACGTTTGTTCTGCGAGTTTTGATTATTCGTAACATTTACGTAAAAGGGCTGATAATGATGATGATAGGAACTGTGAATTTCTTTACCTCGGAGCCGTAGTAGCTGGCGCGTCGTTCGTTAGGTGCCCGTACGCGATGCAAGTCTAGATGCGAGGCGCGGCGTGCGAGTCGCGTGTGCCTCGTGCGCGTGCGCCGCCGCTCGCTGTCGGACCACTCCCCCACCGGACTACTGTCCCGCCCCTCGCGCCACTCCCACCGCCCGGGCACATCCCCACCACCCCCGCCACTGGTTCGTGCACTACGCTCGCTCTCCTAACGTAATAAGAGTTTTAAATGGAAAATGCTTAAAAATCCACTTTGTGCCTGGCACTCTGAGATAAAACTCGAACCTATGACCTTTCGCAATCCGGGCGACTGTTACCACTGAGCTGCCGAGGGCGTAACAGGACTGATTATTTTTTCAAGCATTTGTTACTTTTTCGCTACTACAGAGCGTATTTTTCCTTAATGTTACGGCAATCCACTCATACAGCCTAAAGAAATATTTTTACACATATTTAAACTTTCAATAAAGATGAAAATTAAGACTATTTTTCAGTATAACATTGTGAATGTAAAATTGATCAAATATAATAGTAACAATAGTTATTAATGTCGGTATATGAGACCACAGTAATCTTTACTTGTGTGTTATTACGAACAGCAACTGCCATGAAATGCAATTCTTACTTAATTATTAATGAAATGATTTAAATTAAACTTGGTATGTACAGATGTAGTCGAGAATTACGGAGTTATTCCTTAATATGAAACTGAAATTACCTCAAGTTATTAGTTTAAAATAATTTAAATGCTACAAAAAGTCATTTTCCACACAGACGAACTCGCGGGCACAGCTAATAAATTAAATTTTAGACATAAACATGCGCCTTAAGTGTCCATTTCACCATAGATTAATAAATAGTCGAAGTACCCGCAATTCTTTTAATCTGAGAGTAACAAATAATAATGCAAATTAGTATGTTTCAAAATACTTTAATCCTATCATTATATACAACGACTGAAATCCTAATAAAGTATAGTTAACGATTGTTTTCATTTATTAATAATAGATGTCGACGCAAGCAATATAAGATTTCACTTACTCGAGTGTCGCTGGATAGTGAATGTCGGCTGTGAGAACGTTCGCGGCGGGCATCGTCTCGGAATCTTCGCCGAGCGCGAGATCTTGACGGCGCCCTTTCCCACGAGTTAGGTACTTCGTATGTCTACGATAACAATTATATGTATCATTATGATTCATCATTAGTTTTAAATACTGCAAAATTATTTTAATATGGATAGCGTGAAGCAAAAAATCAAGATATCAGTACCTTGTATACTGCAAACTTTCTTACTGTGACAGTTAAATGTGGGAAATATGTCGTAATTTTTATACATGGACTAGTAATTGGACCTATAATTAGAAAAAAAACCTAGTATCCCTACCAATGTGGATCTGTCACTAGGGATACGTGGAATAGGAGCATAATTCAGGTGGGCGTTGTTTTGTCATTTGTAAATATATCGAAGTTCCTACATAAATACATATCATTTTTATATTTCTACAATAATCATTCTAGTCATTCGACATTAAATAATTTTTATACTAAACTTCGAAAGCAAAATTTGTTGCCTAATTCCTCCCAATTACTCAGAAGCACTCACAACAATGAAAATAGAACCTTATTAAATCCACTAATAACTAAAATGGAAACGTAAGGCGAAAAGCTGTTGAAATATTTTTAGAACTATAGTATATTTTTTTACCTGCGTGGAGATACTTTGCGGCGGTGGAGACGTACCGGTATTGGATACGTTGGCGCGGACGGACGCGGTCGGTCGCGTATCACGGCGTACCTCTCCAGGAGAGGATGTGCCAGTGGACTTTTTTTGAACGGAAGGGGACCTTCTAGAATCTTCTCGGGGCGGTGACGGACCAACGGATACGCTGTGACGCACCGGCGCTTCATATTTCACGCGTTCTCTGTACGGTGACGTCCTGTTTGACATGTCATGTTTGTTTCGACTCTCAGTATCTTTAGGAGGCGATGAACCGACGCCCATGTCGTGTCTAGAAGGCTCTACGCTCGCTTCCCGTGCTGGGGTCACTAATCGGTTTGTCATCTTTTTAGTGTCATCCTCTCGTGGAGGGGAAGGGCCGCATCCGGTGGAGACGCGCTCTTTTTTCGATAAAGTTTTCGTCTTTGCCGTGACGCCGTCTAGAAAAGTTTTGTGAGATTTATTACTTAGTCGTAAATAAGCACCGTAAATTTCCTGCAGAAAAGATCGCTCAGCTCAATAAGCTGCACGAAGTTAGCATTAATTGTAATGAGCATAGCTACAATGACTTTTTAAATTATTAATTTATTGAGAATTACCTTCAGGCTATTATTGCTTGTGATAGAGCGTTATACTATTTCTCAATTTATCCTTCTTGTTACTTTATAATTCGTGGCAGAGTCTAAAGATTTTTGTTTAAGCAAAGGAAAGAGTCACAATCCGCGATAGATCATCTGTTAGAACTATTTTATCTGCCAAATTTATTTTATGATTCATTTGATACTAGCTTTACGCCAGCGGCTTCGGCCGCGTGAACCTGTGTAATGCTAAACAAATAAACCTTCCTCTTGAATGCTTGTATATTGATGAAAAGCGCATTAAAATCTGTTGTTTTGTTTAAAAGATCTCAGCTTACAGACAGCGAGGAGTAACATTTATAGATTATATATAATTTTGTACTTACTTTGAACACGGATATCTCCGTTGGACCGCGCAGGCGACGAAGAATCCGTCGACCGTTCGTTGACATCCAATCGAGCGATACTCCTCGCGGTATCGGCGATAGCTCTCGCGCTATCAGTAATGCTCTGCGCGTCGCCCTTCCTTTGTTTGACATTATTTCTAGTGTCAGCAGTTTGTACGATTATTTTTGGTGCGGCAGTGGGTGTACGGCAACAGACTACGCACACACGTACTCCTGGTTCGTTTACGAACGTGCAATGTTCGCATTGCCACGAGGCAGATGGCGCTGCTGGCGGGGGCCCTAATGAATCTTCCTCACTCGGCTCGACTGTTTGCGGTTTCTCCGAATATCTCTCTGTTATATTATTACCTGTAACATAATGGTATTTTTTGTCAGAAATGATATAATTTGAAAAAGAATAATGAGTTATCCAGGAGTTTTAATTCTATCTTTTGATTATAGATAATTTTGATTATGACTTTGAAATGTCATAAGACTGTAGTAATACATATGTATAGAAATATTAATATATTTATATACCGACAGGTGATCGCTCTGTGTTTTAATTCGGATTCTGAACATGTCTAGAAGGTAGTGTACACACGGATGCATATTAGACTAAAACAATATGTCTTCCCACATTGATGTTGGATTCTAGCTACAATGAATCTATAGCCTGACATGCTGAGTACTGAGTGTAAGTATAAAAAGTAATGTCAAATAATTCATATTACCTATTTAGTATTTACTCGCTGTTTATTCGCGACTTGACATGTAAATTATAACCTATGTTAACCCCGTGTGATGTAGTTACTTGTAGGTGATGATTTTTAAAATCAGTCCAGTAGTTTAGGAGCCTATTCGATGCAAATCTCTCTATATAATATTAGTATTTATAAATATCCCATTGAATGTGAAGTATTAATTTATTTTTATGTTATTCTTTATTTAAATGTCAAAAAGACGTCGGTACTCACCTGTTAGCCTATTACCTGCTCGTCGGTCTCCGTCGCTCTCGGTCTCCGAGTCGGCGTCGCTAGAGGGCGTCGGCGGTGGAGAGGGGGTGCGGTGCTTTACGCGGCGGGAGGTGCGCGAGCGCACGCTCATGGCGGGCGACGCGGCGCGGGAACACGCGCGGGACACGGCGCGGGAACCGGCTCTACTCTCAGCTGTTACAACCATACAGCTATTTATATATCAAATCGGCAGTTATAGGGACATGCTGCGGGAACTGACCCTATTCTCAGCTGTTACAACTATAGAACTATTTATTTATGCACCAATCTGTAGTTATAAGAAAAAAATATGTGCCTAATTTGCACTTGATTCAATCATCAATACATAGTATAAAACAAAGTCGCTTTCCGTCGTCTCTCCATATGTATGCTTAGATTTTTAAAACTACTTAACGGATTTTGATGCAGTTTTTTTTATTACCGTTTTTTAATACAAGACCACGCGCACGAAGACGGTGGCGGAAAGCTAGACAGTTTGTTTCCTTCAATAAATAAATTTAAAAAAAAATTCAAATCGCTCTAACCATAAGACTGACAAACATATTCATTGTACGAAGTCCATATTAAGAAAAGGCTATTATAAAAATCAAGAGACTAAGTTTTGTTAATAATTTCATGGGGAAAACAGTTTTAAGAAACAAAAGAAATAATCCTATATATTTAAACAGAAACGATAGGAGATCAGATTTTCTGAAAACTATTTTAAATTAATCATTAAGGGCGCTTATTCCCACTAATATTCGGCGAATAACCTTTAAACTTTATGAACTTAAAAAGTACGTAAAATTAAAATAAGATTTTTTAATTATATAAAAAATGAAATACAATTTCATTTTTACAATTTCATTAGATAAAAAATGAAATACAATTTCATTTTTTATCTAATTGCTGTCCGATTACATATTCTTAATCACAGTGCTAATTTGAAAATTTGTATATTATTGTAATTCAACAATTCTCAAAGTATTAGGAGACTAACAAAGCATATACTTATTGCGGTTGCGAAAATACGGTTATGTTTTGTTAAATCATCGGAGTTAAACAGCACACCTAAAACTAGGTTTTGTTTTATAAGGCTCCGTGTAAACATTTGGTATCCAAAATGGTTCCATCTTTACACGTCTTTTTTCTTTTCTACTATAATCAGAGGTGAACAAGAAAATCGGTTACTATAAAACAGTTGCTTTCTAAGCTTCACCAACACCCTGTTACCTCTAATGTGACTGATTTTTATCGACATACCATTTACTATGTACCTACATATTAAAATGCCAATAAATGTTTTAATATGCAATTATAAAACCATTTGTAAAGACATCTGTTTTATTAAACAAGGAAAATGATGTGCACTGTTTAAAAATTACCCTGTATAATTAAGATTCTGTTTCTGTTTTACAAAATGTATGATCATAATAATAATTCTTATGATGTAAATGAAATTAAGACTTGCTCACCCCTGCGATATGGCTGTGGAGTGTATGGCGCGTGGACGTGCGTGTGCGCATGATGTGGCGGGGGCGCGTGTCCACAACAAGCGGGCGGAGTCCACGCGGCCCACGGGTGATCGAGACTAGCGCAACTGCCGTACCGCCACGCCGTCGCACACCCTGCGCATCCCGCACTCATTCCCGCATTCATTCCCGCACCCATTCCCGCACCCATCATCCCGCCCCCACCCAATTCCAGTACTGATGCACCCCTCCGCAACGGTCTGCCCCAGCTCTGTGAAGGCACGTTCTCGGGACTCTCCCACGCTTCTGCTGGCATTTGTTGAATCTGAAGAAATAGAGCAATTTTCTTTGAATAGATTTAAGTTAGTTCGGTTATAAAGTTATGGACTGTTTAAGGCTTGATAATGAAATTTTAAAATTCTATAGTTACACTAAAAATTTGTTATTTAAAAACTATTCCATTTTATTGCTATAAAGTTATATAAACAAAGTATATTGATTGTAAGAACATCGGCAAAATTATGACAATTTTTTGTGTGACTATACTAAAAGAGGAGAGATAGTGAAGACCTCGATAAAAAAATTAAATTTTTGGTTTCATCTGCGTCTATAGGCAACACCTGCATATTCGCATTAAACCGAGCGCATGGTGGGTATTCCTACAAGTTCGACCGATCGCGATACGCGAGTGAACTTGTGAAAAAATATAAAATATCAATTTCATTACCATATTAGAGGGCATATTGAAACCAGGCAGGGAACCTCGGGGTCGTCCCCAGCCAGATGGGGTCCCCAGTGGCCCTATAGCATTGGTCTGCGGCTGTACAGGGGCTGCCTGATGCAAGTTGGGTAGATACGGCATACTGCCCAAGAACTTGCCCTGTAGATGGGCTGGCATTGGTGCATGCTGATTAGGTAACGTCGATATATGATTATTCGCTGTTATTGCCGTATTTTGCCCGTGTGCCAGAGAGTGTGGTCCTAAGGTTGCACTACGAGGATCTGCAACTGGCCTGGGACTAGGACTTGCTCCGCTTAACTGAAATTTATAAAGTCAAATTCATACGTCCGATATAATACTTAATGTACTTATGACTATTATTTATTATTATGAATATGTAGGTAATAGCACAATAAATTGTTTATACTGTTGTGTATAGCGCAAAATTAAATAAAAACAATGTGCTTGAAAAATTCGTCAGTCCTGTTAGGTCCTCGGTAGCTCAGTGTTTAGGGCAGTCGCCCGAATATAGAATTTGTTTAAAAAAGGGCAAAATTACTACAACTCCTTGACTTCAGTTTTTATTCGATCCTAAAGTTTATATAGGGACATGGATTTAATAAGTTTCATCATGACATGAATTCAAGAATATTTTATTACGTGCCATACAATACCTTGTGTCGGCGAGGTGGCGGTACAGGTGCTGTAGCTTTTGGTGGTAGCGGCGGACGTTCGTCACGCATTTGTGACGTAGTCAAAGCCTGAGGATATTAATTTTTTTATCGATTTTTGTACATTATTATACGAATTTGCTATTGTCTCAAGTGAACTAAAATAAGAGACAAATTGCAGTGTGGGTGCAATCTTCGGAGAAATAGTTTATTAAAAGTATTTATAAAAGTAACCATGTGGTTGCCAAATAGCCAACTGCGTATGCACTGAGATATATTTATCCATTAATTTATTCTTCTTATTCATGGTTTGGTAATGACATGGTTTTTGTAAATGTCGTTAACTAGTAGTCGTCAGTCCATCTTGCCGGGGGTGTCTGAAACACGTTTCCCGTGGCGTGTTTTCCATTCGAGAACCCGTCTACTCCACCTTTCGTCGGTTCTGAGACAGGTGTGGCCAGATCCATACATTTATGGATGACATCCATTACTTTAGTCTTCTGCCGTTTCATCTTATTCTGGATTTTATCTTATCATCCGAGGGTTTATTTATTTAATACATAATAGACCGTACATTATAAGTGAAGGATAACCTGTCTTTGATGGTGCCTCCGCTTGGGATGTCTGTGGTACATATCGTCACATGAAGCACAAAGTGCTCGTCGGCCACATTCAGTACAACGAACGCGCGCACCACCACCCCCGCAGAGGCCGCACGATGCACCTGCATCTACCGGGTGCCCTGGTGAAATTAGTACATGTACAAGGATATTAGTACCCTTGGCGTAATAAATTGCCAATTGAATTCAAATAATTTAAAACTAGACCGTGCCACACCATTACTGGGTTAGCACTAAACAAACGATTAGGTTTATCAACCCCCGATTATCGACTTTTTCCAACGAGGCAGAAACTTAGTTGTGCGCTCTTTCCCCGCAACGTGAGACCGGATTTTATGTTATCATATATTAGCAGTGCACGATCTTTTATTTTATTACATACAGGACATTTATTACTTGTCCATCCATCGTGGATTTTAAAAGACATTTTTGTAAAGCTAGTTCTTTTATTTTAACCGTAGCTTACAGCATAAATTCTTATACAGCTGACTTAGGATAATGGATTTTTGTGATATTTCTTATAATTTGTATATATAATGACTGATTCGAACTAATGATGAAATACTTTTATAAGTGGATTAGAGAAAAACAGATTTGGGTAATCTGATGTACAGTCGCCTGTTGTTTGAAATCTTCGACTTTGCACGTAAACAAGCGGTGTCTTTGAACGAGTCGATGACCGGCATTCATAAAATCTATTCTTGTCGACAAGTAAGTATGTAGGTCATTTCAACATTATGTTTAGACAGATTAAAAAATCAAACACTAACTAGTTTCTGATATTTTAGCAGTGTTTTTAGAGTAGGTAATCATCAAAGTTTCAATGATGTTAAATTTTCCAAATATCACTCAGTTCTTTATATGTTATCCATAAGCGTATACAACCATTGAAAAACTAACGAGCCAGGAATTCATTGTTTTTTTAAACACAGTCAACTATTTTTATTTTAGACATACCAGTTGGAGGTCGAGGCGGCGGCGGCGGCGGCGGTTGAAGTTTAGCATTAACATATTGTTCCGAAGGAAATTCCACCACTTCGTAATCAGGTTCGGGTTTGGCCAGAGGTGCCCTCTGGGCAGTAGGTGTTCTTAGAGTCAGCCTCGTGGAGGATGGCACGGCAGCCATTGACTTGGATGCCGTCGGCTGTTGTGGTAGCGGGCGTGACAGATGCGCTGGCACTGGGCTCGCCACTGCCCTACCATCTCGACCACGACCTTTCAGCATCTCTATAAAATACGATTGAAGTAGGTATTTAGATACACTTTTTGCGTTTTTTTTTGCTTTGCTAAATGGTAATATATGTACGCAATATAGGTAATTAGTTATTAATGTATTATGCTTAAACTTTTAATTTACTTTTTAGGTTAGATTCGATTCGAGAACCGTCTCCTAAAAACATCGGATTAGGCCTTAGTTGTGATCCCTGGTGTATCTAGTGCACTTTTGAGTCATTTCAAAGCAGATAATTGAAGACAATGCCGTATACATGCAAGGCGATATGCCTACAAAACGGTTCGATCTAGGATAATTAGTTTTTGGTGTCCTAGTGTCAAAAATCGAACCGCTAAATATTTCAACCTTAATTTGACAACGAATAAAATGTTTCTGAAAGCAGGTTTTGTTTCAATAAGGCTTCAAACAATACCCTGTATTGTATCCGAAATTTTAATGGCATGTACTTTTTTTTTAACGTCGAGAAAATGCATTAGGCACTGCCCCTGCCGCCCGGCAAGCGACAGGGGTGTGTGGGACTCTTCTACGTGAGCCCATAGCCTCGCGGTGGGCTCCCGAAGGCTTACCCACAAAAACCCCTACGGTGTACCCTCCCCTGGGGATAAGACCTGGGATGCCGCGACCGAGTCGCCGAGACGCTCACCCCCCTTGTGGGATTTTTAATGGACGATGAAATTGTTAAATACATTTTCACAAACATAATGCAAGAACGTATTATGAATTTCATTATTTAAGCGTAAAATCAATTTATTTATTTTGTAATCGCAAATCAGTTTTTACAGGCTATACTGTATTTTTACTTAAGAACTTGCGAATTTACTCACTGTACGTACACAAATCCACGAGTCCACTCTCTACAAAAACTAAATTTCTCGGAACATTATGACAGCAGGACCCGCCATATACATACAGTTGTTTAGTTAAATGCTAACATTCAGTTCCAAATATAATTTCACTTGAAGGAAAGTTTGTTAGGAATTTTACAAAGCATTTCAATTAAGTATATTAAACATACATCATCAAATTTTAAAAACGATGCACTAGATATTTCACCACAATTAGTTTATTAAAATGTAATCTGATATTTTTCTATAACGAGAGCTTGTTCTTAATTTACAAAAAGCCTTGCTAATGTATGTTCGCTTTTATTGCAAAAGAATAAGGGTTATACTGCGAGTGTTCTTTCGTCAGACAAACCTTACTGTTTATTTATTATTAAAGAGTCTGTAACTAATGCTGAATTCGACTAAAAGAAAAATAAAGTTATTTAGTGACACTCAATGTCTTTTTTTGTATTTAAGTCTATATTTTAATAAATTTGTAATGAGTGTTTAAAATAAAGAAGTATTTTATGTAACAAAACAGTGTATCTATTGGTTGGGACAGACGGCTGCATGTCAGGTTACCATAATACACTGGACCGCAAAGAAAACGGGTCGGTTAGAAAATCTTCAATAACTTGAAAACTACCTCACCTAGCTTTATGAAATAAAAACTCAATTAAAGAATATTTAATGTTATTTAACAAAGTATATAAAACCTTTTTATTTACTTTAGATAATTGTGTAAGAAAACTGGCAATGAAGATAATGGTTGTTTTTCAATTTAGTTCTAAAAAAATCAAAGCATTTGTTTCGCATTTGTTTTAGTTTTGACATAAAAACTACAATAAATATCGTGTGTTTGTCATACAAAAATTGTATTCTGAAGTCATCATATCGTTAACCCCTGAAGAATGCACCAGGATTCTGACAATGCTTGAAGATGGGCGCAGTCAGCGCAATACAGCGAGAACTGTTGGTGTCAGTCTTTCCACAGTTCAGCGGGTACTCCAGCGTTTCCATGAAACTGGATCCAACCTAAGAAGACCAGGTACAGGCCGAACGAGGTGCACGACTGCGCGGGAGGATCGCTATATGGTGTCAACAATTTTGAGAAATCGATTTCTTACGGCCGTTGAGGTAAAAAATCACCATTTACGAGCTGGAGGAAACTATCTGAGTACAGATACAGTAAGGCGACGTCTGGCTGAAGCAAATTTGAGACCATTAAGGCCTGCAAATGGCCCAAAATTAGAAAGACACCACTTAAACTCAAGGCTGAGTTATAGCAGAGAACACGAAACTTGGACTCTGGATGACTGGTCAAGAGTTATGTTTTCAGACGAGTCTAGATTCTGTTTATACAAGCACGATGGGAGGAAAAGAGTGTACCGAAGACCGGGAGAGCGCTATAACCAAGCTTGTATAGAAGAAAAAGTACCATATGGCGGTGGCTCTATACACGTGTGGGCTGGGATTTCTTCCGAAAGCCGTACTGAGCTAGTAGTGATAGAAAATGGCAGTTTAACAGCAGAACGATATGTGAATGAAATTCTTAATGACTATGTTGGTCCATTTTTAGTAGATATGGGCGAAAATGCTGTTTTTATGCAAGACAACGCCCGCCCGCATACAGCTCAGATAATGTTCGACTATTTTCACGAAGTGGCCAGCACGAAGCCCCGACTTAAACCCCATCGAACATGCATGGGACGAACTGGGACGACGTGTACGTCAACGGAATCCGCCGCCAATCACGCTGCGTGAATTGAAAGGAGCTTTGATCGAGGAATGGCAGAACATTCCGCAGCATCGCCTTAAAAACCTTGTGGAAGGTATGCCGAATCGCATAGCCGCAGTTTTGCAAGCTCGTGGAGGCAACACGAAATACTAACATGCGTGAAAACGTCACATCTTTATACAATTCATATTTACGAAAATGTCAGAAAAACTACCTTTTTCATTCGTTTGACATTTATTGAAAATAGACAACTTTTAATTTGTATTTTTTTATATTCAATAAATTACAATTAAATAATCTTTAATTTAGTTTTTATTTCATAAAAATAAGTTAAGTAGTTTTCAAGATATTGACGATTTTCTAACCGACCCGTTTTCTTTGCGGTCCAGTGTATGTAAAATTTCTGTAATTGATTTTCAACTCTACTCCTCAAACTATTAAGATTAAAAATCAAGTGGATAAATTTTACATATTTATATAACCTGACATGCTGTTGACTGTATATATAAAGTTCTACGGCACTGACAATGCTGAATTCAAATTAGATTTGATTACCAATGGAGTACCAAGTGTTTTATCAAGTGCTAAAATGTAAAAGTATAGTATAGCTATGACCAGGATAGAACGGGCGTTGCCACATACAGACGCCTTGTCGACCTATTTATTAGTATACTCATATCCCAAAATACCGAAACTACACAATGATAAATCAGAAAATTCAGCAAGCTAAGACATTTCACTTGTTAAATATTATTGGTTGGTAATAATGGCTATTGTACCTGTTGATATATTATTGTATGTCTTAAAAACGAAATTAATATCTTCATAAAGTTATTTGATATGCCTTTGCAACTAAAACTAAAATATACACACCTACTCAATGATTTCTGTTCCGCTGTAAAACAACAGGAAGCAATGCACAAGTTCAATCATCGATTCACACACATCTTGTCGATAAGTTGTCAATATGCAACCTATTATGCAACCGCGCACTTGTTTCTCAGCACTGCACTCGCGTAGTAGAACTGGGCCTACGAGGACAGGTGGGTGGCCCAGCTTCGATGGCCGTCGCTGGCGCCGCTAATCGTGCGCCCTATCCGGACGAAATTGACAGCGGGAAGACGCACACGCTGCCGGCGCGGCGTCTCTATTTCTGTCCGCGGCCGCGTTGCCCCGATTTTACTAAAATTACGACGCGTTCGCTATTTCCGCACTCAACTCAGTGCCCTACCGACCACCTCTACTTTGCTAAATGCTTAAATAAATTATAACTATATTACACCAATGAGGCGTAATCACTAAGATTAAGCTTTGGGCAAACTGTACGATACCACGACTCAAATACATTCTAACGCAACCATTGCGTTTTTTCCTTCGTTGACGAAGTTAAGGTCGGTGATTGTAATAGCATATACTAGAATAGAATTAACAGTGTGATTTTTCATCACTATAGAGTACTTTAAAAACTAGATGTAGCTCTACTTAAGACTGATATACTACAACCTTTAACAACCGGTAACAAAATTTAATGCAAAAAAATACAACAATAAAACCTACTTTTAATTCTTTAAATAAAAATAAAAAAACATTATTAATGATATTTAGTTGTCATTTTGAAATTCTTCACATAGCAACGTTAAGTATATGCTTGTAAACAAATCATTGTTTGCATTCATCGTGTAGTGTTAAAATGGAAATATTGCATAAATTTAAACAAAATGGTTATTTTACAGCAGAATTATACCATTTATTGGCTAAGAAGAAATCGGTGGATCCAATCGAAGAGGTGTGAATTTCAAGCATGTTGAAGAATTAAAAAAAAGAGCCTTATTCAAGAGCAAAATATTTAGTCTGTCAATATATTACTGTTTTATAGATCATTCCATCACAATACGAGAGAGAGATGAAAATGAATACGGCAGAACGGCTGAATAGTTTAAATAACATTATTATCGACAACATTTTTCGAACTGCAAAGAAGTCACAACAAGTGGTTTTATCTTTTACACCGAGGCTGTTGGTCTTTCAAAACTTTAAACCAAACGAGAAAATCGTTGCAAAATTTACCGTTAAAAACATAAGCAAGGTGGGGCCTCGTTGATTTTTATTGATTTTGGAAATATGGAATTATGAATATGATAAATGTAGTTTATTATACCTACAGGCACCGACCTATCTAAATATGGTATGCAAGGAGTCTTCGTACTTCCATATAAAGCCGTGCGGAGCAAGTCTACTGTCCAGACTGGCACCAGGGATAAGTGTGACTTTCGCCATTACCTTCACACCTGTTCAATATGAAGACTATACTCACAGAGTTACTTTCTATACAGATGTGGATCAGTATATTTTGCCTTTAATTGGTACAAAACTTTATATTTACAAACTTATATAGTTTTACCTTCTTGAATAATTTTATGTTTATAATCAACAAACAAATTGCAATAAATGAGGTCAGTTTGGATTATTAATTCCAAAATTAGAATAGGTTGTTATCTACTATGTGTTTATGACTAGCCTACATGAGTGAGCTTATGTAATATGTGTGTGAGCCTGATAGAATTATAGTCATATAATAAGTCTCGTAATAAAACCTGCAAATATGTGCAAAATAATGCAATTTGCAAATACCTGTTTGTATATACGTATATTTAAGTATTTCTCGAGAGCTGGCCATGTCAAAAGTTACACATTGCATCTTCAGTTCTTAAGTCAGCATCATAAGTTGATAACGTATCTTTAATTTTTGGCTAATTACATGATTGGGACTATTATGGCGAGTGAACGTCAAATAGTTCATTAGGTAAAAACACTTTTCAGAAGGCCTATCTCTTTCTCCGAACATAAAATTTCGTATTTTCGAAACGATAATATGTTTTCAAATAAATCTATTTTTCGATAATTTATCATGCATGGGTGCACAGATAATCTTCACGGATATGCTTTTACAAAATTTTCAGTTAGCACGATGTCTTATGTTCGAAATAAAAAACATTAGCGATGTTCGTGAATAGTTAAGTCTAAAAACTTTCAGTATAATCTTCTTTTCGGACATAATATTATTTTAATGGGTTTCTAGCAATGGGCCCAAGGCCAGTTTTTGATTTTCCGGACTCTGTAACTATACCGAAGGTGCCACTTAAAATCGAGAACTATGTTTGGATAACTGTCCATAACTGTGGTATGATTTCTGCTGGCTTTACTCTCTCGACAAAATGGTAAATATGATAAATATATAAAATGTTCTATAATAGAAAGTCTTTAATGTAAAACTAAACCCATTTACAGTCCATTTTCAGTGGATCCGAAATCAGCATATTTAAATCCAAATGAGAAAATTAATATAAAGTTAATTTTCAAAACCATGAAACTGGGTGAAACACAAGGAATATTGCACGCGGAATTCGAAACAGGTGAAAAAGTTAACGTACCGATGTATTCTGATATGAATATTACATACACGTATTTTAGAATTTTCAATTAATCCAATTTTCACCACGTATGCTTGTCAGTCTAAGTACAATCATGATGTATGTCATGATGTACATCGGGCGAAGAAATTCATAATAGTTTTGTGTCATTGTGTCAATCGGTCAATATATGACGATTAATGTGGATATATTAGAAAAACTATGGCAAAGAGATGATTTTTTTATTTGTCCGTCAGGTACATTAAACAGGTATTTTTACATAATTAATAAATTATGGCGATAGATTGAGTTAAAATGTCAAATGACACGCGCTTATGTAGATTTTTACAAAGCTGTGACGTAGCGAGCTCCTCGACTTTATATGCCTGTAATTTAAGCTATTTATTGTTTAACTGTAGCAAGAAAAAAAGTTATTAATATTTTTCTGTAAAGTTACTGACGGACTAAATAGTATAATTCTTTTTACCTAGGCATCATCTTCCATTAATCTGATCAGATTTGCTGTTGTATTTTATTATATATAGTCCAATTTTGACTAAGTCGTGTATAATATTCGATTATATTGACAGGAGAAAAGTTTAAGATAATGCTATTCGGGAGCACATATACAGTAAATGTAGAATTGGAAAAGCAAGTTGTGCGCTTCCAAGATACTTACAACACAATGGTTCGTCAGCAAACATTGAAGATTATTAATAAATCAAGCTTTCTACTGACATATATGTGCATGAAAAATGATTGCGTTTATTATGGTAAGTATTAACCTAGTCAAATAAGCCAAAATTGGACAAATACATAGAAAAAAAAAATCATTAAAATATTCAATTTTTATCCTAGACTTTGAAGATAAAGTAAAACTAGCAACTATGTGCTTCAATTTAAAGGACAGTGAATCCATGAAGTCAAGAAAATTAGTTTACTATGATGTTCTGAGTAGCGACGAACATGAAAGAGTTTATTCGAGAATATTCTTTGATGAAATACACGCTCTTGTTGCTGATGAGTCGTTGACTTTTAACAATACACATTTTTCTATTACACCTATCGTTAGTAACTAATAATCTAATATTGTCTTTCTATAAGTTCACATAGTAGAGGTTAGGAGTTTTATACCAAATGTTTAACTTAGCAGAACAAAATGTAATTGCACCCAGTGCTGGTCCTTTATCTGTGTAGAACGAGATTGTTTATTGGCATAACGTAGACAACGCGTTTGAATTTCTTAGGCTTAAACTAATCTGCTGTCAAACGTAAACCTTAAACAGCAAAATGTATCACAGGGCCTTCTAAACAACCCGTGCTCTTGTTTAACAACTTCGTAATGCATCATTTTATGCAGTTTTAAGTTTTTAACTATTCCCGTGCGGGGGCCGCGTCTGTACGTAGATGCAGTATGATAATTTTAACATTATACAAAATAAACTAACCTTAAAAACCCGGTTGGTGCCAGAGGGTAACCTCTAGTGCATGCATCTGTCTCATCGACAATACCATATAAGGCTAAATTATGTATTTCCATTTCTTTTAGAAAGGAAAGCTTTGGCCAAACAAAGCTACTGAGCTAACGATAACGTTTTCTCCGAAAGATGTAGGAGATTTCCAAGCAACGGCCTATTTAGATATTGATGGCGTAATTGACAGGGTACCACTAAACATGGTTGGGATTTCTCTCCCACCATCAATTCATCTAAATCTAGAAACTCTTGATATGGACTGCGTTTATATCAACAAAAATTATAACTATGAAATTGTCGCCGTAAATAAAGGTATACTTAGAATTGTTTTTCAAAAACAAGTAACATTCTTCTTAATCAGACTTCTACAGCAAAATGATATTTTTAGGTCATATTAACGGAGTAATCGTATATAAGGAAGTGCCGACATTGTTTGGCAGCCGAATCACATGTAGTCCGGAGTTACATTGTTTACGACCAGGAGATAAAGAAATCTTTATAATCTCATTTTGTAACTCGAATCAGGGTCCATATTTTGAAGAAATTAATTTCATAATACGCGACACGAGTGTCGTCTTGAAACTTTATTTGAAGTAAGTCATACCACAAATTGTGTTAATTTTAAGTATGATGTAGGTAAGTTAACTATTCTATAATAAAAATAATACACCGATTGACTTTTATTTTCCAGAGGTGAAGTAATATATCCTTCTTTAATGTTTAGTGTACCTTGTTTGGATTTTGGATCAGTGAGTTTAGGTAAGTTTTTAATTTTTTGAATGGAGTGTGTACCTAATCGTTTAAGTAGTTATTGGTAATGGTAAAAGAGTTAGATATCGTTAAAGGCTTCGAAGAAGTCGTAATTGTATTCTTCATTTTTATATTATCGTTATAAGTACCTTTTTTACACTAATATTACTTATCAGGTGTGCCGAAGACTTTAGAATTAGATGTAATCAATGAATCAATAGTTCACGTACGTTGTTCAGTGAAAATATCATCCGATGGCCCTGAAGTAAGTAGTATTACACTGACTGATTATGCTGTCGCGGATAAACCAAAACCAGAAGTACCTCAATGGCCTCGCGAATTTAGTATAGAACCGTGCAGAGTGGAAATTGAGCCTGAATCCAGAGTCTCTTTAAAGGTACGGAATAATTATCACCTACTCAACATGTTTTTCCAGTGGATATTTTGACTTATACTATTGATTATTTAATGATTTTGGTTTAGATCACACTAACTGCTAATCTTATACGAGCTAATCAGACCGCTCTTGAACTTGAATTGGAAAAATCGGATAGCCCGCCTATAATTCTACCCGTGACTTTCAATGCTATGGTGCCCTTAATTACTATAGCACCAGAAATTAGAATAAGAGCATGTTTTATAGATTTTGAATACAAGAACGAAATATATGTGTCATCCAACGAATTTTGGGGATATTTCACCTTAGTTGAACTGGAGGTAATTCTTGTATATAAACTTTTAATAAGCAATTTAAATAAATAAAAAAAAAATAACACACTGGCATATTGTTTCAGGAGGAATCAACGTTGGAAGTGGACGTAGGTGTAAAAGAAGGTCTTATCGAACCAAACAGTACAATATGTTTGCCCGTCAAAATTAAGACCGGTGTTCTAGGACCACAGGAATACAGTGTACGGTAATAACTATTCTTAATAGTATTAAGATAACCATGAGGAATAGGATATTTTGTTTGAACACATTAATATTGGCATGATAGGTTGCACCTGTTTGGATTATCGAAACCAATTGAAATTTGTCATATATCCGGCTGTGGAGTACGACCAATAGTTACGTGTTCGCCAGTAGCACTCCACTGGGGACAGGTCAAATTACTTAGCAAATCGCAAAAAACATTAACTCTCTGCAATGATTCACCAGTTCAAGTTAACTTCAAGGCTTCACTAGTAAGTACAAATTATTATATAATAAAGAACAATAAATGTTATTATTTAATTAATTTTGTATTCACAATGGCATATTGATATTTATGAGTGACAGGTGCTCGAGAAGCCGCCTTAGGCAGGTGCTTGAGATTCACCAGTCTCAGATGGGACTGGGGAATTATTTAACATTTTTCTTTAAGACAAATTGTTTGTAAAAATTAATAAAGCTGATTATTTCAATAAGCTCAACAAAGATGGCAGATGGCAAATTCAACCAACTGAAGGCCATATTGACCCTGAATCTGAAACAGATTTACTACTGACGCTGTATTTATTTGATGCGGATAGTTATACCAACAAAGCAGTATTACAATTGGAGAAAGTTAAAGATATTGTTAGTAAGAACTTTATATTCAATTTTAAATATTTTAAAATACTGGTAATTATTATTTTATTCTTTAAAATTTTAAATCAGCTGGTACCGTTATCGGCAACTGGAGTTGGGACCAGCATAGTAGTCGGAGAACAGAGGGATAGAATTTTTCTTGGCCGCCATTTTACCAAAATACCTTTGAATTGCAAAGTAATTATGGAGAACTGTGGAACTCGTATGCACGCATTAGAATGGAGTGAATACTATAAACCACCTAAAAATAAAACGCCTTCGGCGTAAGTATTGTAAAAATAACAAGTTAAAATCTGAGCATAGTTAGCATTTTTATTTATTTACCAATAAGAATTCTGGTATTGTAAGACATCTAAACTAAACAAATTTTTTGATAATTTGTGTCTATTTTTCAGCAAATTCTTAAAAATTAAGCTCAAAAGCTGCTGAGAAATAGACAAAAGATATTAATAAATAAATATTTGGCTTATTATGTAGTGATCAACTCAATTCACGAGATTATTTACTGTTTGTAGCAGCTTCTTTAATTTAGATCCAAGAGTTTTTAAACTACAAGCAGGAGAGAAAATGGAATTGTTAATATCTGGGCTATCGACCAGAGTCACGACAATTAAAGAAATGTGGTACTTAGTTGGTAGTGTAGAGGGCGTTAATAAAAAAGAGTTATTGATGGAGTGCCAGATTACGGCCGAGTTTGTTGATCCAAAAATTGAAGTATCTTCGTCAGTTATGGAGTTTCGATATGATTATGGCCCATATAGCGAGTTTTATAAATTGACAGGTAATATAAATAAGGCTTTTCTAACTAATGTAATTTAATGTAACTTAATTAATTATATTAAACTATTGATTATGATAATATTTACAGATATTGTCACAATAAAGAATATTTCCAAACTACCTCTTGATATAGATATCAGTGTAAAGCCACCATTTGCTATTATTCAGAAACAAACAACATATAAAATATTACCAGAAGAAGAGAATATGTGTTGTTGTATATGTTACAATGAATCTGATTTAAATGTATCAAATCTAATTGGCGAAATGGGTCTACATCAGTCAAGAATATTTATTGATTATTTAACATTAAAGCCTGTGGAGCCTCTTAGGAAAGAACCTTTACACTTCTTTCAAGATATCAATAAAATAAAAACAGCGTTTAATCTCACACATGCAGTTGAAGAACGTTTAGACGATCAAGAAGTAATGAAACTTCAAATACTATTTGACACTACAAAACACTTATCTTTAAAATCAAAAGTATATTGCGACCTAATGAGAATCAAATTTAAGGGTCATAAGAACAAGGTATTTTAAAAGTACAAATCAAGTTATTTTAGTAGTAGTAGTTATTTGTGCCCAATAAGATATTTATTATATTTATTCGTTAACAATTAATGCATTTAATTTCAGGATGCAATCAAACTTGTAGGAAAAATTAATTTTCCAAATTTATTACTTTTGACACCTCGAATAGACTTCCAGTGTATCTTAAATAGGAGTGTCGAAAGTAAAACTATAAAAATACAAAACGTAACACCACTGTTAGTTTGCTATAGGCTTCAATGGAAGAAATGTTCTGTCACTTCAAAACCTGTGGTAAGTTTTAATTAGGATCATATTCAATTTTGTTGTTACATTTGGTAAAAGCAGAATTATTGAATTTCAGGCACAGCTGCAATTACCAAAATCACGAGAAACCACCACAACAGATATTAAATCCCTTACAGATGCTGCAGAGACTCCTGGTAGGTATAAATATGTAATTTGCGGGGTTTGAGAAAAAGATTATTGCACATTATTTATTGCCCTTTTCCTGATTATTTATTTGGGACCAATATGTATTCTTCTTCCATATTTCTCGAAAAGCTGTTATTTCAACTTTCACTCTTTTCTTATACAAATTATCTTTCACACGGACTATTTATCTTTTCTTTGATCTTGCTTTTCCTTTCATGCTCATAATCCTTTTTGTTACGTGCAAATCATATCTTGAAATAATTGTATAAGGGGAAATGAATGAATGCATTAATCTTTCTATTTTACGAAAGCATCTAAGTACTCGTAAAGGAGCTCAAGGAGCTATAATTTTATCAATACATTTATTAAATTTATACATTTATTAATGATACTATATAATATATAGTGTATATGATATGTCTAATTAATTGTCAAAAACTTTTTTAATATTTTAACTGTTTATATTAGACAAGAAAATATACTGTTAATTAAAATATTTTATTGATTTATTATTACAGATAGTAAATTACGGGAAATTTTAATTGATCAACCTTCTTGCGTATCTAAGGAAGATAAGCGTATCGATAGTGCAGTAAAAGCTGTTCTACCTTCTCTTAATGATGTGATTGGTTTAGAAGCTAGTTTCGATTATTCCAAAGATGAACAAGAGTTTCAGAAAAGGCAGTTAATTAAAAAAATTGCGCCGATGATAGATTCTGAAATTGAAAATATGTTTTCATGGATTTATAAGATTCCAAAACTTGATAAAGTAAATGATGTAAGTGTAAACGAAGTTTTACAACTGACACCACATCGAGGTTTGCTTAAGCCAAACGAGATACAGTATGTGCATGTTATGTTCAGACCAAAACAAAATATCCATGTACGTGCTATACTTGAATGTGAAGTTTTAGGTGGGCCACCTGAAACCGTTTTAGTAACAGGACAAAGTTCAACACTCATGTTTCATCTAAATACTCAAAAACTGAATTTCAAAATAAGATCTTTTCACGAGAATGCATCAGAAGAATTGTCATTATTAAATATTTCTAAGTTACCATTTGAATATAAAACTTATCTGAATGAACCTAAATTTGAAAATGAACTCGAGGGCACTATTCTCGAGATAGAGCCTCCTGAAAAAATATTAGAACCCGAAGAAGAAACACACTTAAAAATTGTGTTACGACCAGGAGTAGTAGGGCATTTTAGAAGAATGTTTTTATTGGAAATTGGACATCTCCCTCATCTCCCGATAGAAATTTTCGGGTGGGGTCAAATACCTCAAGTGTACATATCCTTGCAAAGACCTGACATGATTAAAGTGAGTATATTGACTTTAAACTAATATACGTGTATGGTATTAATTCTTGTACTATAATTAATTATTTTTTTCCATTACTAGTTGAATCCGGAATATGGTTATCTTGCTATTGCATCACTGAGTTTAGAATATCTAGAAGCAGTTAATGAATTTTTCATAAAAGAAGTTTCTGAACATTTGACATCTCCGTTTGTAGAAAAGTGTTTCGAGGATCCCGATTTTCAGCAAGACTGGCATATATGTTCATCATGGGTAATTCTATTGACATGATACTCAAATTTCATTATTTTTCACATTACATCATTAATTTTGTATCGACATTACTCGTAATGGAAATATTTTTTTAATAGGCGTGGAAGTTAATATTTAGTAGATATGAAAAAAAAAAACGGAATAATGGTCTTGTCTATAAGAGTTCAAACCGGGTGTGAGTGTTTCTAGTTAATAGTGATAATGAAATTTGGATGTTATTATTTTATTTAAAAGTAGGTAGGTATTGATATGAGGAAATCCGTACATTCCACACTCGAATTCATGCTCCGCACCTTCTCAAACAATACAGAGGGTATATAGGACAAAACAAAATCAATTTTTTAAGTTGGCTTATGCGGAATACACGCAGTAGACGTACGTACGAACGTTATAAAATTCTAAAACAACTCCAAAGAAATGCATTTTTTGGTAATGTATGATTCAAGGTATGTAGGATGACACTTTTTCTGGTGCACAAATAATATTCACAGATATGATTTTAACAAAATTACAAGAATGATTCCGAAATTTCATTCGAGCACAAATAGAATAGGCGCTCAGGTTTCATGTTAATTCGTACAAGTTATATTTTCTTTTTATTCACTTCAGGTCAGAATGGCTTATGAACTTTTTTAGTTCAAAATGGTTTTCTTTGTGCGTTTCCTTTTTTTTTATTTAGTTGCGTTACTAAACGCTTTTAAAAATATTTCTTTTCCTCCACTAGGACTCTTATCCTTCGGTAATGGATGTAGAGTTAGCCATAGAAAGGATGTTGGTAATAAATCATATAAAACTTCGCCCCGAACTTTTAACAGTATATTCGAATTCGTCGAAAATGGGACCGATTTCAGGATTTCAAACAATTCCCTATGTTATTGATTACGGCGTGGTGATCACTGGTAGTACGGTATGTAATAGGTGGTCATAATTTCTTTATAGACTCTTACTGCTTGAATCTATTGATCTTGAATTGAAATGATTATGTGATGGGCAATACTTATGCATGGCATGTCCATTCTATCTCATTAAGTTGCAATTGTAACATCAACTATTAATAAAATATAAATAAAACTCTATGAGGTACTTAGGTTATATGATGTAACACGGTCTGTGTCTGTCATGTTTATTGATTGTTAATTTGCTATAACATTTTAGGTGCAATGTACAGCAGACATAATAAACTATGGTCCAATACCTACGAAATTGCATTTAGCAAAGGGGTGTCATATACCGACATGGTTAGGATTGAAATTGTGTGGAAGGATAATGCCCGGCGAAACGGGAAAACTTGAAGTGACATTTGCACCTACGCCTGTTGATTTTACAGAGCTAGAGCAGAATCTGGAAACAGGTTTCAATTTAGAGGTGACTTTTTCTATTAACTAACTTTTGAGTAATTTTTGTTTGTCTGTTCGTCAGAAAGATTAGTAAAGAATATTAAACACGTATTTTTTGCGTAATCAAGAAATTACTGCGATATATTGAGTTCAAATGTGGCCCAGGAACATTTTTTTTCTGTATATTGTCGCGTGATGCCACGCCTTTGTACATTTTCTACTTAGTTGTAATGTAGTGAGTCCCCACTCTTCAACTTTAATGTCTATTATATAAGCTTGTTAAATTAAGACAAAAAAAATACGTATATAATATTTTTATAGTATCTGATTGACGGACTCATAGAATTTCCTTTTTTAACCGTTTATCATTATCTAAGAGGTTTTGATATACATGAATTTATTTAAAAAAAAATAATATTTCGCTAGGTACCATACGGAGTTACGATTCCAATCCAAATCAAAGCTCTTTGTGCAGTACCATATTTGATGTCAAATGTGACTTGCATTAATTTTGGTTCTGTAAGGTGTGGCGATAAAATAATATGTTCGATACCTCTTAAAAATGTGTAAGTATATATTCAATAGAAAATGTTAATGTAATTCAGCAAACTTGATATTTCTACGGCGCACTCTTTTAATGAAAAACGCTTTTAAATCAACCTGGGGCTACATGATTTTTGAAATATTTATCAGCTTACATTGTGAATGCAAAATCGATGAAATATAATTATTAGAACATATTTTCACCTTAATCGAAAGTTTAAAATTTAAAAAAATGTTTCTTTCGGCTGTTTGGGTAGATTGCTTGAACATTGATGAAAATACGCTTACTAGTAGCGAAAAGTAAGAAGTGTTTGAAAAATTCGTCAGTCTTGTTGGTTTCCGGGTAGCTCAATTTTTAGGGCAGTCGCGAAATGTTGTGGGTGAAAAAATGTGAAAGTCGCGAAATTTTTCTTTAAAAGACATAAATATAAGTACTGTTCACCAGGGGAAAACCAACATGTATATGGTATGTTACGTTAAGATTAAAAGTCTCCGGTCCCAATCCAATGATGGTCTTAGATAGTTCAGGTAAATACGAACCAGGTGAAGGAGGCTGGCTAAGTGTAGCTTTCAAACCAACTATGGAAGTAAGTATAGTCATTAGTTCGTTGGCAATACAACTTCTTCGTTATATGATATTATTTATCCTTTATTTGCTTCAATAAAACCTAATTATTAAATTGGTAAACAATAGGAAAATAGGCACTTTATAATTTGTATTTATAATAACAAAGACTGAATTTAACAAATAATCAATGTATTTGTGTTACAAACAGATGACCTACGAAGGATTACTTATATTTAGATTCCACATGAATCCAAACAGAATGACCATCCCAGTGACGGGGCAAGGTATACTGCCGCAAGTGCATATCATTGGTCCGCAAGTTAATTTTCCACCAACTCTACCGTGGGCTGACACCACTGACATGTATTTTGGACTCACTAACCCTTGTCCTTTCCCAATAGAGCTTATTATAGCTCATCACGATGTGTAAGTAACTAACATTTGAAACCTAAATAATTAAACTAAACGGCCTAATTAATACGGCCATAATACAGAAAAAAGTACGGTAGACATCAATTAGGATATCTTCATTTGTCGAAATATATTTTTAAATAAGATATATATTTAAATAAGATAGTGATAACATTTTATCTTAATATTACCCTTATTTATATGTTTACAGAAAATGGAAAGAAGAAGAGGAAGTCTATCAATTACTAAACAAATATTATAACAAACCTGATGAAATGTTGATACCAGCCCTAAAACCGGGTGACGACTGGCCAAAGGAAATAATTAACTTTTATACAACGTTTAATGAAAACATAAGAAAGTTAGTTGTTACCTATTACACACATAGTAATCACAGTTAATGTTTCGTGGTCTATTTTTATAAAATTTTAATTGAATAGTAGACAAGTAATCATATACCAAAGTATTGTAAAGTATGCATATCGTAGATGGATGACGATTTCCGATCACTGCTTTCAGTGACTGGAATTACTAAAAGTCATTTTTTTAATTATTATTTTTTAAGGGCAGTGGATGAACAAGCGGCTGCTTTGAAGGCCGCAAATGCAAAAACGTCGCCTACGGCTGCAAAGTATGTATATATCTATATCATGTTAGTTCTTTTGCGTGGTAGGTAAGAAACGTAACTTTTTTTTAAACTACTTATAATAACGGGTATTAGACGCGATTTTTTGCACTGACTTGCGCCGACGTTTACCCGTTTATTATATAAACATGCAGCGCTATAGTTTAAAAGTGAAGTAATGTAATTGTCGTGATTTAAAATTACCAGAAAGGCAGCCAAAGCTTCATCGAAAAGTGCACCAAAAGTTGCAGCGGTAAAAGACTCTTCCCCGCGAAAGTTTAGAACAGAAGCAGAGATAACAGCAGGTGCTGATCCCAGATTAAACTTATTATCTATTTATTAGTTGCTATCAGAAACATTCATAATGTAATATTTAAAGTATAATAACAATCAATGACCGTTTTTAGATGAAATTAAAACTTTGAAAGAAAATGGCGTCGATCCACTGAAGGAGTGCTTACATGTCTTTGATCAAATGTCAAGTGTTAGTGATACTGATAATAAAGGAGTTATTGTTTTTATGCATGGCTCTCCTTGTGAAGGTAACAAATATATCGTATAATAAAAATCAAAGGAATTAATGAAGAAATTTATTTGAATTAGTTTAAGTAATGTTTTTACAGAGCTTTATTGTCAAGAAATGGCTTATTCGGTTGGAAAAACACTAAAGATACCCACTATAAACATCGACTTATGTATAGTGGACGCTTTATGTGTAAGTTCCTGCCCTGCCAAAGAGATTTTGATGTCGGCGATTAACGAAATGTATGAAATGGTTCGTAAATCAGGGGTTAAGGCGGATTCAGAAGTAAACGAAGAAGAACAAGAAGGTCACTTTTAGCTTTTACTCTTTAAACATAGAGTATATTAGAAGAGATTCTTATTTTCAAAATACTATTGTTTATTTATATTTTTAGAATTATTTGCTGATACGGAAGACGAACATGAAATAGTGTGGAAAAAGATCGAGTTTTTAGCTAACAACAGAAATGTTGCAACGCCGAAATCTAAAGCAAGCGAAAAAAAGAAAAAAAAGTCTTCCAGTTCTTCGCTTGCTTCACATACCGCTTTAGGCGCATTGGGATCTACAACCATGTTTCATATGGTAACTGATGAATGATAACAGTATTAAATTTCTATGATCTACTCTTCTTACAGTGCCGTCCATTGCCGGAGATTGGCTATCATCTGAGCAATCGTCACTTTATTGATGGCTGCTCGGAACAAAGATTTTTTACTCCGCCCATATTTTTACCATGTAATTTATGAAATGTTTTAAAGAGAAGTAATTAAAAGGTCAGCCATAAAAAAATTTGGTTAGCCACAAAAATCAGTATTTTAATCGTTTGATCAGCATTTAAAGATTTTGTATGCAAGAGAAATAAAACAATCGGCAATCCTTGTTTCGCAAATAATCTTGATAATGATCAGTAATTTAATCATATACAGTCAGCTTAAAATAATATGTGTATGTCAAATAAACAGTCTATCCCCAAAATAACTACTTGATCAGAAAGATTCAGGATTGGTCAGCAAGAAATATTTGTCCGGTCAGCAGTTCATTTGATCGGTTTGCGTATTTAAAGCATGGTTAGAAGAATAACTAATTGGTTTGCATTTTTATTGAAAAGTCTGCAATGTACGTTAAAAGTGGGCAGAGCAAGAGTAGTCGCATGATACTAGTAGCCAATCGCGTGCGTGTATTGTCATTCGGTGTCTATGCGGCGATTAGTAGCTGTCAAATTACAGTGATAACAACTTGTTTTATGTTAATTAGTGTGAATTTTGATATTTTGCGAGTATTATATGAGTACTGTAGGTAGCAGCCGGGACCGACGGCTTAACGTGCCCTCCGAAGCACGGAATCATCTTACTTTCGGACAATCAGGTGATTCAGGCCTGCAATGTCCTGACCAAACTGGGAAAAACTCACAAAGAAATATTTGAGAGTGTCCCCACCGGGAATCGAACCCAGTACCTTCGGATCGAGAGCCTAACGCTCTAACCACTAGGACACGGAGGCAGTTAATTTAATTAGTTAGTTTACTCTAAATACCCATTCATTGTTTTTGTAAGGAATGCGCTCATTTTGCGCCAGTCATTATTGCAATTTTTTATATGCTTCACAAAATTAGATTAGTTGCTTCCCTCTAAGTGCTGTTCAAAATTGTATTTAACATGCGTCACTCATTGCAGCTTATATGATTATTATGCTAATAAAAAATAATTACAGCCGTCCAGAATGTAAAAAATTGTCGATTGATTTGATATTGTTTGCTAGCCATGGTCTGCTGACCAATCATATATTTCAACTGACAGAATACATTTTTCTGCTAGCAAAAATGTGAATACTATGCTAACCCGTTAAATAACACCCTGTTTTAAATAGCAGGTATCTTATAATTATTTCAGGACCTGATGACGGAACTGTTATGTGATTACTTCAGTCTGCCAAAATTTAACCGAGGATTTGTTGTTGATTCTCTAACAAGCATAATGTTAAAAAATGCTCCACTCACACTGACTACTGTTCTTAAATGTAAACATAATATAAGGAACATACATCTAATATTGTGCCACTCAGATTTTTACAAATGGGCTCAAGCGTACGAAGAACTCCAACGTGAAAATGATTTAATTGACGAGTAAGTGATTGTTATTGTACTAATTCATTAATTAGTTAATGCGTATTCTTTATAAAGGTGCATTAATTCATTTTTAATAATATCTGAAGTATTATAATTATTATAATACCAACTGAACAATTGCAGTAGCAACTTTTTGTTCAAAGGAACGTTTCTAAAATATACGATGAAACCGAAATAGAAAAAATCATTAACTCCTTAGAAGAAATGGACGAAGAAGAATATGAAAATTCATCAGCGGAATTTAAAGCTATATATATAGCTTATGGCTTGGAATTAAGGAGAAAAAAACTTTGGGAAAAGAAAGGGTACGAATTTCTGACTATTACAAATATATTTTTCGATTCAATTCTCAAGATATATTTCTATTCAGGTACAATCCAGATCTTCAAAAGAAATCTGTTAAAGGTATACTTTTACTTCTTATCACGGATATAAAAATATTACAATTTGTTTAAAATCGTAAACAAGTCTTTTTTTACAGAGCGCAGTAGGTCTATCTTGACTATCGGCGGCGGTTCTGAATCAAAGAAAAAAATAAAGAAAGAAGATACTAAAGGCAATTACAATGTTATGAATTTATCTCCTTAGAAATTTCATAAGAATCTCAATCTGAAAATCACTGAAACTTTTTACAGGCAAACCTACAAATGAATATGTAATTATGAATACGAAATATAATGATTACATGAAAAACACTTATGAAAATCTCATTAACATTGCAAATAATTGGATCTTTGAAGAGGGTGACCTAGGAAATCCGCTTTTAGGTTTCAATGGTCAAATTCTAGGTGCAGCACAGAAAAAAGCGAAAAAGAAATCAGAGTTACAGCTACCTCAGGTAAGGCAATATCTTTGTTGGGTTTATACAACGTCTACCATTATTAACGCACATCCTGAAAGCAGTTTGTTTAAAATCAGATATTGATTCGATTTCAACAACTAATTTTTTTGCTAAATTTAACTGGAATCAAGTAAATTATGGTCCCTTGTAGCCATTAGAGCCGTCACAAACATACGATATACAGCGTGTTTGGTAATACCTGTATAATCCCGAAACATGGCCATACAACCTAGCACAAAGAACACAATTGATAGGTCAAAAAACAATTTCATGTAAATTGATATTTTCATACAAATATTTGAACAATTTGTTTTCAATTACTATGCTACAACCCTGTAAGCTTACACGTGCCGTCCCGGCGCACTCGCTCTTTCTCTCTCTCTCTCTCTCTCTCATTACCTCTCACTCTCTTGTTTCCTTGAATACATTTTGATGTTGCCGACGCGCGCACTCGACTACGTATGAGTTTACTTGTAATTAAAACAATTTAAGATTAAATAGGTACATACCTATAGCGTTCTAATCACTCTTTCAGCTTTCACTTGTCAACATTACCTACACTTCACCTCCACTTTATCAGTCCAGGGTCTCGATATGCCGGCCACCGCATAAAACACACATCTCCATTCGACTCGACACAGACCGTGTCGTGTTACTCTCGACGTAAAGTCATATCCTCTGTCTCGATGGAATAGGTGATCGGCCGGCCTACCTGTGGTACACTATGGAATGAACCAGTTGTATGTAACCAATTCACAAATGCCGCGAATCACCGGTAAGAAGGAAGACGTCGATGGTTTTCAGGTCTTCCTGACACGTGGCGCTCGTCATAACGCCGCCGAGCCGCAGCAAGATTACCGTCACAAGCACCGCCACACATTATCATCTCGTAATATTAGGCATTTGAGTACGAATTCATTGCACTGACCGCACACAAACATAACACACAGGTAAACAGAACGAGAATGAAAAACAAACTAAAAGTCCCGAAAGAACGAAAACGTAAGTTGACCTTCTAAATTCTGAAAACTCACAAGTACGCCGATGAAAGTCACGGACGCGACTGACGCGATGACCAAAACTACATAGGTTATTATTATTGCAACTCGAACACCAATGTACCTAAATCAAAAGTGTACTGATTTTGGGGTTCCGCGTCAAGAAATATTATTTATTATTAGACCTTTCCATTACAACTAACCTTTATTTAATTATCATTTAAACTAAGAATAAGAGAGATACTTAGATTATTAATATCATTGTATAAGTCCGTATTTTATTGTTTCGTGAAAATAACACGGCTTTATGAAAAAAATAACAAAACTTCAAAGCAAATAATCTACAGAACCTTACTGACACATCAGAAACCCGAGTTTCTCAATACACATCGTCGTCGATTTTATGTCTCTCTCGCTCTTTCTTGCATAGACTAATGTGAGCAATGGTGCAGATATTGAACTTCAATCAAAGTATTTGCAATTTCTTTTTTATTTTGACTGTATTATTACAGAAGTTTTCATATTAATAGTTTTTGAAACACCGTTAATCACAAGATTAGTGTTTTTTTATAGTTAAAAGTCATTTACTACTAACTTTTTCTTTGTTTGGAAATAATAAATTCCTCTCAGATGCATATTTATTCTAGGCATTTATCTTTAGATTAATTTAACTTCTGTTATTTTTTAAACTAGTTCGGCACATGGAGTCGATGACCAAATACAACACAACAGCTGTTTTTAGGGTTGTCAGGGTACAGTTTTACTTCGAAGAAAAAAAGCTGAATATCTAGGTCATGTGCTGGGTTTCAGTCTTAGTGATCATTTTTCTGGGTTCTATTCATCATACCGTATGTGCCATATTCGGGATTATACAGGTATTACCAAACACGCTGTATAAACATAAGTGATGTCTTTTTAAAATGCAATATATTTTGAGCTTGTAATTAAATACAACATAGGAAAAAACAAAGAAAAATGAGCTTTCTTTTAATGTGCCTCGAGTCTAAAATGCGAAACGCTATGATGAAGTTCATAAACCAAAGAGTAAAATAGTTCATAAACAAAGAGAAACACGACAGTGGCAGTGGGTGATTATTTTATCGCTATTTAAGTTTATCGAATTTTCAATTTCTTATGCGACTATTCTTCGTTATACTAACGTACAGTAAATAAATTGAAATTCTTAAGGGTTAGGCCCAATGTGGTGAAACTGTGTTCGTCGTGTGATATGCGATCGCAAGACTATGCTAGCCGAAACTCATAACAAGTAAGAATCATAATTATTGTCTCAACTTAAAAAACACTAAATCTTGAAAGAGGATAATATTTCACGGCGAGAATTGTTATTGGTGGTATCGTTGTGGTATTGCGCTGTAGGTACATATATTTGTAGTTGCAGGCTAAGCCGTAATTTTGACGTCACTGTGTGGATTTTGTAAGATGTCCACACTGTTACCCAGCAATTAGTATAACAGTGTCCATAAATAAACAATGTTTTAGTAAAAAATTAAAATTCTAATTTTTGTTTTATGATAATGAATGCATTTTCTAATTGAGGTATATAAGGATGTGCGTTATTTCTGTTACACGTTGTATACTAACGGGAGTTTTAAGAAGTCACATGATTTTTATATTAAATTGTTTATCATCAGCATCAGCCTTTTTACGTTCCCACTGCAGGGGCCTTCCTGATAGTTAGGGAAGATGGGCCTTGACCCTCCACGCTGGCCTAATATATTTTTCTTTTGGTCACCCATCCTGTAACCGACCCTTGAGAAAGTTGTTAACTACAACGATCGCGGGCCGCGCCGCTTATCCACTAGGCCACCGAGCTAAAGTTCGAATGGCTTTAGTATTTATTCTTGTACTTTACTACTTGTTAATGTTTTAGGTATCAGATGTAAGTTTTGCAGATCGAGGGTTTCCTTTGACGTTGATAATGTGTCCTTGTCTACACTATAAAAGTGCCTTAGTGAATATGCTTTACAATGCACCGGTTGTGTACGAAGCTCTGAGGCAAGAATCAGAATACGATATTCTTAAGTATCCAGTGGATAGAAAAGAGTATACAGTATTATTACCGAAAGTTTACCCATCCATACATTACGAGGAACCCCTAAAGTGGCGCTATTTAGACGAGTCACCGGTTAGTATTAAAGACTCGACGTTTAAAATTTTTTATCACATTGTAACTTTTTACGGTTCTGTACCCAAAAGGTAAAACATATTTACAGTTATACAGCAAACAATTAAAACCACTCTCCAAATTTGAGTATGTTAATCTTTACGACAAATAATGAAATACGTGTTTTTTCTTTTTATGTCGTTTAGAACAAAAATGTTGAGTTATATCGTCACCAAGTTATTTTCAAAAAACCTACATTTGTGGACGCTCTCGCTGCCCAGTACATGCGCTTTACGCGCTACGTTACACTAACCCCTCCCTCCCTTGCCGCGATTCATTCATAGTAATAATAGCAGCTACCTAAAATGTTTTCGTTTTGTCATGCTTGGGGAAATGATAAATAAAGTTGAAACCTCTTCATACTTTTACGGGCTTAGGACCGTCAAATTGCATAAATCCTATTAGATACCTACTATTACAATAGCTATACTGCTTTAAATTTATAAAGTAAGTAGGTAAGTAAATATCGAGTTACCTAAAATTCTGTTTAGTTAAACCAATTCAAAGTAAGTACTTAACTCGCTATTCTTTTGCAAACAGGCGTATTTAAAAAATCATCAACTTTATGTACATAATCAACTAATCAATTTACCTACCTACTTTAACTATTTACCTACGTATACTTTAATAATTGTTCAAAGTACATACCGTTCCTCTCCAAACAGTGTCTTGCACCTTTTCTGCACATTGTCTTTTAATTTTGCGAGCACTACCGTGTCATTTATCACTTGGTAAAATGCCGCTCTGATTTGCACTTTTAAGGCGCCTATTACACTACTCAATCTATCGGGCACGATATATCGGCCGCGATTTAGGGCGGTTGGTGTCGTTGTGATTACACTGCACTAGATCGCCTCCCTAACTCAGTTGGCATGCAAACGTGGCGTTGAAAGGATGGCTCCTTCGCTCACAAAGTACCAAAAAATTGGCATAGCCCATACTTTAACTGAGGACGTAAATAATAAAACAAAATGTTGGGTGAAAAATATTTGCTTCTAAGAGACCAACTATGCAGTTTGAACTACTTAGCCCGCAGTTAAAGTATGGGTATTAAACTTAGTCATACCTTATATAGCTCAAAACAGCGGTTAGCTGTGCTGTAACCTTAAAATTTTTAGCAACGAGAAATGCATATCATGAATTCATGACTTAAAGTATAAATACTCAATAAGTTTATTGTTTCCATAGGTAATTTAAAATAATATTTCATAATTAACTTAGTCTCACTATGGACCCTATCGGGCACAACAAGAAGAATATAAAGTTTATTATAGCATTAGTTTTTATTATTGTAATATTTATATAAAATTTATAATTATACCAGACACATGCAAAGGCTATCTAGAAATGTTTAAAACATTATATCATATTGATATATATATATAAGAAAAAGTAATAATATTAAATTACACTTTATATTATTTATTTTCCTTTTGAGAAGACATTTTTGTCTGTTCGCAAATTTCGTTGTCGTTCACTGACGTCTCACACGCACGCTGCGCAACAACCGACTGAGCGCTCTAACACCCTAACAGCGATCACATTACCCAATAAATCGGCCCTAACTCTCATCGGGCGATCGGGCGCCCACGTTCACCCGATATCGGGATCCTAAGGGCGCTTGTGCACTACACTGAATTTTCAGGTCCGGCGGTCCGATTTTTTCCGGTCCGGAATGACATGAAAAACTCGGATGCGTAGCTTGTGCACTTGTCCGTTTTTTTCCTGATCGGAGCGGCGCAGTGTAGTGCAGCTCTCTTTGAAGCTACACGTCACTTACGCTAGGTACGATGAGATTTTTGGAACGTCGGTAATTCCATTCGAAGACGTAGAAAGGTACCTAAATAATGATCTGATCGTTTTACATAAACCATAATAAATTATGGCAAGACTAATGCATTTTTTTTACTGCTATCGGATAACTACTATCAGATGTAAAAACTTATACCCTTACTTATTTAGGAACAGCATTATTCACATACAATAGCTAAAAATATCTGTGTCATTAGAATAAAATTACTGATAATGGTCTAGTACTTGATGTTTAAATTTTTAAACGTGCTATTTTTTTTCGAAGTTTTGTAAAAACAACTTTCAGCGATTACAGAGATAGACTAATCGGTGGCGCCATTTCGTAAACAAATCGAAATTAGTGACGTGTTAGCGGAGAATTATTATGCTAAATGAACTTTACGAGATCAGTTGACTGTATTATACATAGGCATAATTTTTATACGCGTGGTGTAGTTTCTTTGAGCAGAAATATTTTTCCCTTAGAATACTTCTTTTTTAAAATTTATTAATGACGCAAACAATTTTATTAAATGCGAAAAAGACATTGAGTGTCACTTAATTACTTTTGTAAATCTTCTGTTTATTCTTTATTATTACTTCTGTTGTCGAATATTTATCTATACTTATCAATTTTCTAAAAAAAAATTGATAATAACAGATTTCCAGGCAAACTTTCATCCCCTATTTTTCGCGATAAAATGTAGCCTATGTCCTTTCTTAGAGTTAAGTCTATTTACTATATTAATTTCCATTTAGATGGGTTCAGTTGTTTAGGCATCTAAGCGTAACAACACTTATTTATCTTACCTTAAGCTATCGATACTTTTAATACGATTCTAAAATCTAGCTAAGTATCGATACTAGAACCATACGCTGATCAAATTAGAACTTTACCAAGTTGTGATATATACCAACTATATTGAATCATCATATAAAATATAGCATTTTATAATCAACAATAAATATCGATTATAAGTTTATTGGAAATTAACTATATTGCCGAAATAAATATCGATTCAAATCGATTATTTTTTCCCAAGCCTATTCCTTATGAATTTTCCGGATCTCGGACACAGCAGTGCACAAGCGTAAACACGTTTTTCATTGCTGCCATCACGGAACTGAAAAAACCGGTCCGGAATAGAGAAAAGTAAAATTCCGGACGGTAAAATTCCTGACAGTGCACAAGCGCGCATTACCTACATATGGCCTGACATATCGGACCTGAAAAAATCGGACCGCCGGACATGAAAATTCAGTGTAGTGCACAAGCGCCCTAACTCTCTAACTGCGATTAGACTACCCAATTTACAGTGTACCCGATGGATCGGGCCCGATAGATTGGGTAGTGTAATAAGCGCCTAAGTCCTCGAGGCTTTGTGCTTCCTCAACATACAAACGTCTTTTAATTTCGCCCCACAAATAAAAGTCACACTGTGGTAGGTCCGGCGATCGCGCAGGCCCCACGATGGGGCCTCCGCATCACGTTGATCACCATGTATGTAACACTGCACCATTTCATAATATTCGCGATTGGAATACATTACGACGCGCGAAATGTGGCGCTGCGACGGGCGGTACGCAACACGGAAGCAAAGGCGGAAGCGCATGCGTTCAAAGGGGTTGTGCGCGGGCGACTGACTGATGTGCGCCGACAAAATAAAAAACCGAGCAGACATTGTTGTTGGCGCATGCGCGTACATCCCTTGCGCCCGCGCCCTTGCTACCCCTGCTGCCTTGTTTTATTCATAACTAATGTGACAATGCGAATGTTATAATTATCTTGTAATTGCAATAAATTTAAATTTCATTTTGAAAATTTTACATACCGTTTTTCACATATGTGATCTATTAACGATACCTAATGCCTAGAAAAAATTTGGAGAGTCATTTTAAATGCAGGCGGTATATATAGTTGACATTTTTACAAATTATGTATTTCTGTTGCCACTATAACAAAAAATACTAAAAAAACGGAATATAATTAATATTTAAAGGGGAGCTCTTTACGACAAACGTGATGTTTTGCGTTTTTGCATAGATAATGTTACGAATAATGTGTTACGGAACTCTTCGTGCGCGGGCCTGACGCACTTAGCTGGTTTTTTAGAAAAAAATATGTCCTTAATTTTATCTTTAGCACACATTTTGCATTTCAATTTTATTAAACACACGGCTGCACATCAAGTTATCTCAAAAGTTAATTTTTCTCGATAATTTTAAACTTTACCCACAAAATATTAAGGTGTAGAAATATGATAAATATGTATTTATATTTATATTTTATAAAAGAAAGTAATGGTTATTTTAGTGCTCTACTATGAATTAATATTTTGTTTTAAACAGTTTACTTAAAATTACAATGAATTATATTGCAGTTAAATAAATATACTTAATGACATAATAATTAAAAAAGTATTATTTTTAGATAAAAAAATGCGAATGTAACCAACTCACTGATCTCAACTTATTGGATGACTCTACACAAGATAACGTATTGAATATTCTCTCCAAATGGCATTGTACGTGTGGAAAAAAGGTACATTAACGGCCTTAATTTATTACAGCTTTATGACAGTGTAAAAAAGTTATATTAAGTGGGCTAAAAATTGTATTGTAAATTTATATTTAAATATTTTATTGTAAAGGTTTCTATTAACTCTTCTTTACCCCGATGTAAGCATGTTTAAAGGTTAAAAAAGAGAAAACAATATTTACTATGATTTACAGAAATGAAAAAAACCGAAAACAAATTCGCAAAGCAACGCTAATTTTTTTTTCCAAAGTTCTGATTGGAATAATGTAGCGTAATCTAAGATAAGTTTTACAGGGAAATCTAAGAGACTTGATCGGGCAGGAGATATGCTCAATAACAAAAAATCTGTTTAAAATTCACGCTTTAGGATTTGCTGCCAGCTCGTTAGATATTCTGTTCTCTTCAGACATTATTTGAGAAAACAAAATAGAGCATACATCAAAAAGGTTATAAAAATCACGCAGTTAGGATTGCATTTAACGGATTTATGTATTTGGATCAAGTCTCCTACCTGATCAAGTCTCCCGGAGTTCCATTATCATATATAGTCTGCGTTACCTAAAATTACTAATTTAGTATTCTATTATATGTGCTTATATTCATTATTTCAGGTGACTTCCTCTCAAACATCAACAAGCGAGATACCGTCAGTTTCGATTGAAAAAGAGAGCGTTGAAGAGGAATCTGAAAAATCGGATTTTTATCCCCAACCGTTGCCTTTACGCAGTGTGACTGGGATCGCGAGTATGAACCTATTCATCATCATCATCATTGTACGTCCCCTCTGCAACGGCTCAGGCTTTCCACGCTGGTCTAATGTGGATTAAAGGGTATTAACGACTGCAAATTTCGCCGAGACCAACGGCTTAACCTGCCTTCCGAAGCACGGACAAGCTCTAGATGATTTTTTTATTTTGGCCACCCATCCCGTGCGAAACTTGCTTAACAACAATGATCGCGGGCCGCGGCGCTTATCTCGTCGTATTATCGAACTACTCTACATGAATCTATTAACAGATACATCTGGCTGCACGGCAGTCGCCCGCCAAGTCAAGCGCAAAACAACACTGCCGTACCATCCTTTTCTGGAACCATTTCGCCACATTTTCAGGACCCTATTTGAGAACGCTGAAATTTTATTTTTATTTTAGCTCGCGATAAGAGACTAGTTTTACAGCCCGGTGACCTTGTGAGATGTAAATACTCCTTCAACCCTCAAACAGAGGGCAGTTTCAGTCTGAAGCGTTACGTCGAAGTCAGTGGATGGCCAGAATCACGAGTCTGCATTAATATTAACGGAATCTGTGATTTACCGAGGTAAAAATCCATGCTGTTCAATGTTTATGTAAAAAAAATGTTCTCTAGATCTAATTCTATTTTATTATATATGGTTAGATTTTATAACCTTTGTGATTTTAATAATATGAATAATGAATTCCAATTAGTTGTACGCACTGCCGCACGTCACACTGTAAGCAAACCTATGTTAGTAGGGAAGTTCTATACGAAGCGCGATTGGTACTGTATAGTCTGACGTGCAGTTGTGTTCATCATTATCATAAAAATAAAAGTTTTTTATTATCAGACTCGACAGTCGGCCTAAAAAGATGTTTGAAAATTTCGTGAGAAGAACATTAGAGGACAACGTTTATAAAGTGACATATTTAGACGATTTGAACGTATTTGAATTTGGACCTATATTTGTGGGACAAAACAGGTAAAAACTATTACCTATATTGTATTATTACCTATATCCTATTACGTATATTAAATTATAAGTCCATTAAAAGGATATACGAAGAAGAATATGTAATAGATTTGAAGAATTCATCACTTATAACTGCTGATGTTGAGATAGAATTCCTAGAAGAAACTACTGTGTTCGAGATTGACAAAACATTTATACAACTTGAAGTAAGTTGATTTTTACTATGAATCACAAATAATATTCCTAGTATTTAGAAAAAGAAAACGTCCTTAATGAGATCGCTTAATGCTTAAAAATCTACTTATTCATTGGACATGGGACTTGAACCCATGAACTTTAGCAATCCGGGTGACTACTCTAACCACTGAGCCTCGCAGACCTAACAGGACTGAGCAAAGATTACAATGGACTGAGGATTTTTTCAAGCACTTGTTACTTTGTTACTACAGAACGTAGTTTCTTCTATGTTCAGGCAATCCACTCAAACAGCCGAAAGATATAATTTAACAAATACTTAAACTTTTGATAAACATTAAAATTTGTTCTATATATTTATTATAAATAATAAATATATATATAATATATAATTTTGTATTCACAATGCTTTACTGAAAAATATTAGTACCTGTTAGTTCACGGGAAGTTCAGTGGATTGCGAAAGGTCGTGGGTCAGAGTCCCATCTAAAAGTGCCAGGGAGAAAATGGATTTTTTAAGCATTTTTCATTAAAATCATTTTTCCGTATAGCATTGTGAATGCAAAATTGTTGAAATATAATAAAAAGAAAATTCTTTCTGTGAACTTAATATGAATTATTAACCTAATATAATTTGCAGCCCGGGTGTAGAGGTAAACTAACAATATCTGCCGCCCCAGCTGTGGTAGGTATCCATAATGTCTCACTGTTGTTCTGTGTGAAAGACAATCCTGAGATAGTTTCAGTCAACATTACTTGCAGTGGAGTTTTACCGGTTTTGGAAATTCTCCCCCTTACTAAGACGATAGGTAACATTTTTGTGTTTTATTGTATATTCTGTAGCACTGTTCTAAAACTAAAAACTTTTCAATAATTTAATATACCAATATTTTTATAAATTGTAAATATACAATTTAAATAAAGGTAAAAGGCAAAATCTTTAAGTGTAAAAGTAAAATCTTATTTTTTTAGAATATGGCAAGTTATTACTCTATAGAAGAGAAGATGACAGATTTATTGTGAAGAATGATTCAATATTATCAGTATTATGGAAAATAAGAAATGCAGCTGATTTCGTTGAGGATTTTATTATTGCTCAAACATCAGGCATTGTACCAAGACATGATAATCAAGTAGTTCCTATTACGTATATCGCATGCAGAGTCGGAGTTATCTCGAATAAACCATTGATAATCGATGTAAGATAAAATATCATTATCATACATATAAAATAAATATTCGATTTAAATAAGTGTCATTTTCAGATTTACGATGCAGAAGGTCGAGGAGAGCCGATGGTGATAGATACATTACACTTATCAGCAGAATGTTATGATGTTATGGTCGAATGCGCTTACGACAATCCAAATGAAAGTCTACTAAATTATGGCAATGTCAAAGTTAACTCCACCGTTGTCAGAGAAATGTATTTATTGAATAGGGGTAAATACAACATATACTACAAGTGAGTATCACGACCTTATCATTTAAGGTTTATGAATAGAATAGTTTAATTGAATTACGTATTAGATAAAAAATAGTTTCACCGTTTCTTCTTTATTTATTTTTTATTACTAACTAGATAGCTAGAAGTAAGGGATGCAATGATCGATGGAATACTCGAAATACTGAAAAACCATAAAGAATCTGTAGAATTGTCTAATTCTTTGAGTAAATTGAATAACTTTGAAAGATTTAATTTTGTAACAGATTGAAAAAGGTCAAAAATTTTCCCGAACCAGCACTTCTGCGTTCCTTTGAAGCGACTCCAGAATGTGGAATTCTTCCATCTTCCTTGAAGCTTGCCACCATAGAGTTCGAATGCACACCGACTTCGTCAATGAATCTTATCAACGTACCTGCCTATATATGTTCTTTATTGGATGGAAGCAATGATCAAGTTGTAGTTGCCAAATTTCCTGTTCATGTTACTATTGCCTCTTTCTATAATACGTACGTAAAATATTGTTCTATGTTAGTATCAAATTCCTACTACCTTGTGTACTTTTTGTTTGTTGATCTGGTTCGTCGCGGCAAATGTAAGGGATTGTTCTAACATGTTTCTTTGTTTCTATCCGTTGTACTACTGGAGTCATATGTGGGTATATCATGAAGATTTATAGTATTTATTTCATTTGAAACAAACTCAAAAGGAAAATGAATAACATCTTTTTAGTTCTATCTATATCAACTCGCATACAAGAAGATTGATGTGTCGCAAAATATAGAGCCGATTGTATTTATTCAAAGTCCATCATATTCCCCTGACTTAAAATCGGTGGATTACAATTATTTTGCCCATATAGAAATTCAAATTATATGATTATTTACGAGATGCCAAAAAGCAACAGAGACAGTTTCCCTAGAGGGATCTCGAAATTATATCTACATTGGAGTATACCATTTGCTTAGGTGCTCTGTAAAAGTGTCATTAGAAAGCTGAAAATGTATATTTTATGTTAGAGCCTAGGAATAACAGAGGTTTTTATACCTAGTTCCATAAATAATTTCGACACTGTCATTTAGCCATAATAATCTTTTCTTTTGTTCTGTTTATTCTGACGCTGTGTAAACTCTGCTAATAAACCACATCAGGGTTATGGGCGTAAAAATCCACCACGCTGAAGAATGTCTAGAGAGAATAGCGATAGTATGAGTACAGTCGCTGATAGAGGTGATTCGAGTTATAAGAGTGATTCGTATTTTGGAACTATGAGTAGTACACCCGTTATAGAGAAGCTTGACGGTAATTCAAACTATTCTACGTGGAAGTTCCAAATGGAAATGTACCTAATCGATGCAGACTTATGGGAGTATACGAGAGAGACTCCAGCCGTAAGTGACGTACAAGGTACAAAGAGAGATCAGCGGACTAGGGCCAAGATTTGCTTGATGATAAAGCCTCATTGTTTAATTCATGTCAAAAAGGCCTCGACAGCTTAACAAACATGGGAATCATTAAGAGATGCTTTTGAGGATAAGGGCCTAAATAATCGCTGCAGGCTGCTATCAAGACTAGTAGGTTACAAACTAGAGCGTTTTTCAACTGTTCGAGAATATGTCACTGCAGTAATGACAACGTCTCAGGAGCTGTCAGATCTTGGAAAAGAGATCGATGATGAGCTATTAGCTGCTTTGATTCTTCAAGGTCTTACCCAAGAATTTCAACCAATGAGATTAGCTATAGAGAACAGTAACATTCAGCTTACTACCGACTATGTGAAGACCAAACTTTTTCAAATGGAAGATACGTTTGCCGCTTCTACTTCCAAAGAACGAGACATGAATATTTCTGTGACTTCTGCACTTTTATCAAAACAAAAAGGCAAGAAGAAGCCAAAAGCTAAGAAGCTTCAATGTTTTATTTGTGGTGCTGCACATAAAGCGATCGAATGTCCTAACAATCCAAAGAAGCAAAAGGAAGCGTTACACACTTTTGCACTAGCTACAGCTGGGGATTCCGGAAACGAGGATTGGGTTCTCGATTCAGGAGCGTCGTCACATATGACTAACAAGAGAGAGTGGTATAAGGACTATAAGAGTATAGACCCAATAACAGTGACTTGTGCTAACAATACAAAAGTGTATGGAGAAGGAGAAGGTACGGTAGTATGCAATTCATTAGGAGGAATGTCAGTTACTAATGCTATGTATGTTCCTAAGTTATCAACTAACTTATTGAGCGTAAGTACTATTGCGAAAAAAGGTTACATAGCAGTATTTGGAAACGAAAGGTGTGAGATTTTTAAGAGTAATGAATGTGTGATTTCAGGTCGAGTATTTCTGAAAGGTGTAGTAGAAAGAGGCGTATATAAATTAAAACAGTGCTGTTTACAGGGATCAGCTCTTGCATCAGCGACTGAAAAGGATTCACTGATAGACCTGTGGCATCGGAGAATGGGTCATCTTGGTAAACGTAATCTACTACTACTTAGAAATAAATTAGCAACAGTGGTAAGTTTTCCTAACACAAATTCTAAACTCGAATGTGTATCTTGCTTGAAGGGAAAACAAACAAAACAACCATTTCCGAAAAAGAGTACACGTGGTATGAGAGCTACGGAGGTACTTGGTCTCATACACTCGGATGTGTGTGGTCCCATTAATGCTCCTTCTTTTGGTAAATGCCGTTACTTTCTTACCTTTATCGACGATTTACACATAAAGAACGAACGAACATAAAGATGAGGTGTTTGAAAAATTTCAAGAGTTTAAGGCACTAGCTGAAACGCAAACTAATAAGAAGATAAAGGCACTAAGAACGGATAATGGCACAGAATTTGTTAATAGAAGGATGGATGAATTTTTGAAGAGAAATGGAATTCAACACCAACTCACGGTTGAGTATACCCCAGAACAAAATGGTGTTGCTGAACGAGCAAACCGCACAATATGTGAGAAAAGTAGAGCGATGATTCAAGGTCTACCTAAATCATTTTGGGCGGAAGCTGTACATCATGCAGTGTACTTGAAAAATAGGTCACCGACTATTGCTCTTAAAAATAAAACGCCAGAGGAAGCCTGGACAGGGAGAAAGAGTAACCTTGAAAATATAAAAGTTTTTGGATGCAAAGCTTTTATGCACATTCCTGACCAGAAACGAACGAAGTTTGATGCCAAGAGCAGGGAATTAGTCTATGTTGGATTTTGGGATAATGCCAAAGCATATAGATTGATAGATCCTAAGTCTGGTGTAGTGTTTAAAGCGAGAGATGTTGTATTTTTTGAAAACCAAATGTATCAACAAGAAGATCCTTCTACGACGAATGCACATTCAGATTTTTTAGAGGAACATCAAATAATTGAGGAAGTTCGTACTACTGGGAGTAATGTAGAGCAAATTGGAGCCTCAGCTAATGAAGCACCTGTTGAATTTAATCAGGAGGAGCAAGAGGATATGCCTGGAGAAGATTTTGATCAACAACTGACTGTATCGAATGTTGAAAATGGAGAAAATTTTAATAGAGCACCTGTCGAAATTCGACAACAGAACGAATTAGATGGCGAATGTCGCGATGAGGACAATTATTTTTCAGCTGATGAAGACGAAATAGAAGCGTCTACGGCTGAAAGGAGATATCCATTAAGGGAAAGGAGAGCCAGAGAGTTTCCCGACTACATCCTTTATCATACAACCGGGACTGAATCGGATCCAACATCGGTTCAGGAAGCTTTGTCTCGGAGAGATGGGGATAAATGGAAAAAGGCAATTCAAGAAGAATTGCATGCATTAAAGAAAAATAATACATGGACCTTAGTGAAACCACCGGCAAAGTGCAACATAGTTGATTCTAAATGGTTATTTAGAATCAAAGAAGAGGGAGGAAATAATGTGAGATATAAAGCTCGACAAGTTGCACGTGGCTTCAGTCAAAGAAGAGGTTTTGACTATGAGGATACGTTTGCACCGGTGGTCAGGCACAGCTCGTTGAGGACTTTGCTAGCTTTAGCCAGAGAGATCAATTTACAAGTTGACCAAATGGACGTCAAGACCGCTTTCTTAAATGGAGATTTAAGAGAAACGGTCTACATGAAACAACCTGAGGGCTTTGAAGTTAAAGACAAAGCTGGATATGTATGTAAATTAAATCGGTCATTGTATGGACTTAAGCAAGCTCCTCGTGCATGGAATAAGAAACTAGATAGTGAATTGAACCAACTTCAATTTATACAGTCTAAAAATGAACCTTGCGTTTATACAAGATTCATTGAGAATAGAATCATAATATTAGCTGTTTACGTAGATGACATGCTGATATTTTAGAATAACAAGGAGGAGCTTCAAAAGGTAAAACGGGAGCTTACCTCGAAATTCGAAATGAAAGATCTTGGACCAGCACATATTGTTTTGGGAATGAGAATTACCAATAATAAGGATCATATTAAAATTGATCAAGAAAAATATATAGAGAAGCTCCTCAAGACGTTTGGTATGGAAGATTGCAAAGTGGCTGCAACACCTGCAGTACCTGGAACTCATTTAAGGAAGTCGGAGGACAAGCCAGATGAGAGAATTCCTTATCAGAATCTTATTGGGTCATTGATGTACCTGGCGGTTTGTACCAGACCAGATATTACAAATGTAGTTAGTTCCCTGAGTCAGTTTAACACCTGCTACGCCGAGGAACATTGGTCAGCTGCTAAAAGGGTGTTGAGGTACTTGAAGGGCACAAAGAATTTCGGAATTCACTACACAAGGAATCGTGATGTGACTAATAGTCTTCAAGGCTATGCTGATGCAAGTCATGGTGGCGATTTAGACAGGAAATCTTGGACGGGTTTTGTTTTTACATCTCAAGGAGGAGCTGCAGAAGCAGAATATGTTGCCTTATCAGAGTCTGCAAGAGAGGCAATATTCTTAAAGAGATTTATAGCTGAGATTATGTGCAAAGAGGAAAAGTGTATCACAATATTTAGTGATAGCCAATCTGCTATAGCAATTGCACAAAACCCAGTGCATCATCAGCGAACGAAACATATCGATATTCGCTGCCACTATATTAGAGAAGCTGTTGAGAATAACCAAATAGTGGTTAAATATGTTGAAACCAATCGGATGGTTGCTGATGCATTGACCAAACCCCTAGCAAAAGGAAAGTTTGACTGGTGTGCAAGTCAAATGGGTTTAAGAGTGTGATTGAATGACAGTGAGTATGCATGGTATATGCTGAATCAAAATTAAGGAGGAGTGTTAGAGCCTAGGAATAACAGAGGTTTTTATACCTAGTTCCATAAATAATTTCGACACTGTCATTTAGCCATAATAATCTTTTCTTTTGTTCTGTTTATTCTGACGCTGTGTAAACTCTGCTAATAAACCACATCATTTTATGACATATTTTGTGTCAGATTGATTGTTACTGTATTCGTAATTAATTAAAGGATATTGTTGAATAAAGTCCCTTTTGTTTGTTGTGACCAACCTAATAACTATTTCATGTCTTTTTGTTCTGATTTTGAAATATTTTTAATTAAGATGAGTAAAAATGTACTGTTTGCACTAGGTTTGTTAGTAGGAGGATATGTAGGAGAATGTAGTTTTAAGTCAAATGTTAAATAAGCCTAATATTTGACAGGTTTACATTGTTTCCATTGGGTGAGCTTAATTTCCATATCATAGCAGTTGGTAGTGGTGTTATGAGAGAAGTTATATTAAACAATACCAGTAAATGCCCTGTCACCTACGAAATTGTTTTGCCAGAAAAGTATCAGCCCGATCCGAATGCTCCAATCCAAGCAAAAGTAAAAGATAACAAGTAAGATTTGTTGATAAGTTTAGAATCAATACAATACATGATTCTGTGCAATCTATTAAAACTTCAAATTACAATTTTTCAGAATAAAGAACCCCCCATTAAAATGCGGTAATTTTCTGATTAATAATGATGATAATCTTCTTGCGCCGGGTACAAGTAGAACTATAAATATTCAATTCATGGCTACTGCTGCCAGAAAATTCGAAGAGACTATAAAGTTTATAATAAGCGATACATGCCCTGCTGAAGCTCAAGGAGTACCACTCAAGCTCGTTGGAACGGGAGCAATGCCTACTTTAGATTTCTGGAATTTAGAGACTACATTCAGAGAACATCTTATTGTGAAGAGCCTGTCCGAATACAAAGTACCTGAGGTAATTCATAAATATATGTATATTTTTCCTGTACCGGTAGTACAAATGTTCATGCTTGCTATTTGTTTTATTTTTCAGCCATCCCCTCACTGTGTTTTTGTGGAAGATTCTGTTACGCTACATTTCTTCTGTGTGACCGTTAATACTAATCTCACTGGCGTCATTGATCTGTATAATAACGGTTTAGTTGCATGTGCACTTAATATGAAATTACACTACCAGTCTAACTCTAATCAAGATATATTTTCATTAGATAAATATGAAACTCACATTGAACCTCTATTACATAAATCATTAGGGATCATATTTTCCCCAAAAGCACTTCAGGTACCTACGTTTATTTATTAAATACTACTATTATCTGATACTGATATTAAGAATTTCGATATATTTTCTCTAATTCGGTGGGCTATTCCAGGAATACAGAGCAGTTTTGGAAATAAAATTGAAATTGCTTGATAATCAGGAGCAGTCATTTAAAATATGTTTGATTGGAGAAGGCGTCATACCAAGAATAAAAATATTATCACCGCCACTTAAACATCACACAATGGCTGTGTTACGCTTCCCGGTTACTTGTTTGGGTACTACAAGCAACAAAACTATTCGAATAAAAAATATATCCTCCGTGAAAAGTATAGTTCTTGCTGAAATATCACAGCCAAAGTATGAAGAAAGAATTGTATTTTGGTTGACGACAAATAATGATGATATTATTATATATGGAAACAATGGTATTATATTTATAAATGATTAATTTTATTAAGGTCTGCTTTTTGATGTTTAAAGAAAATGAAAACACACATCTAATTTTCAGATTCACTTAATCATAAAATTAAAGTTGTCATAACACCAAAAGAGATTGCAACGCTTGTAGTAAATTACAATCCAGTTCATAAAGGAAGGGCAAGTTGTGATGTGAAGGTCACCATCGTAGACAACCCTTACGAGTATTACACGGTTAATACAAAATTATTATGTGTCTAATCTTTCAAAAAAGAAAAATGTATCTGCTAATTCTTGAAATGGCTTAACATATTTTAAAATTGTTCTCAGAAAATTAAAATTGTTGAAAATATTGAGTCTTTAAATCTACTTTTATTTGAGTGTGATCGTTATTTTTTAGGTTTTTTGTGAGGCTGAAGCTTTCATGGAGGATGTCATTTTATTGGGCCTTGAAATGCTTTCTATGGAAATGGATTTGGAAACATATCGGTCTTCTAATGAAGGGTATTTATTAAATATACATTATACCTTTTAATTGAATTTACACATTATATACAAAGCATTAGAAATCACAATAAGTATCTCCTTCGTATTTCTTTTCAGAACAATGTCGACTATGTCTACAGTGGATACTAGAAAAAAGAGTAAAAGTGCTACATTTGATAAAAACGAAAGAAAAAGGTCGAAGGTCACGGAAGTGAAAAAAAGTAAGATGGGCTCAATGAAGCATAGTGATTCAGGCAGCGTCGAAATGTCCATTTTGAAATACGTTTTGGAGTTCGGTGCGTATATTTCTAAAAGCAAATATGGTGCCAAAACAGTACAACTACATAATATGCTAACATTTTCAAATTTAAGTAGTGATAAATACACGCAAAACTTTTAAGAAAGGATAATAAAAAATAGAAGTAATAATTATAATTGCACCAGGTGGTTGTGAATTATCAACTATCCTGAGAAGAACTGTTATCATGGTTAACAATTCTGAAAAAGTATATAAATTTGAATGGGTAGAAGTGGACAACATAGTTGTTAAGCCATCTATAGGCTACATATCCCCTGGAGAAGAAAAAGATTTAGAAATCATATTCTTTTCTACAGAACCGGTCGTTTTGAAGCAAGTGAGTATTTTTTATTATGAAATAATTTAATTTGGAATTGTGAGTATAGGCGTTTTTCCTTTTCAGCAATTGTTAAACTGTACATTGACAGCAATAAGTGATGATTCATTGACTATTGATTTGAAAGGTGCAACATGGGATAATAGACAAATAATTACAACCTTTGGGCACAACAGGTATGATAGCTTATACAAAGTCAGTTCTAAATAGGTATTATATCTTTATTCTACTGGTGCTAGCTGTCCTAATTCAACTGTTAAAACAACATTTAATTACATGATATATTTGCAATCTTCATACTGTTGACCATAAATTTATTCACTCCATTTTTAGGGAAGTGCTAATTAATGAAAGATACGAAACAATTATTGACGAACAAACTTCTCCATCTTCGAATGATCATTTGGGAGTTATTTACATGGTTATTGTTTATTCGGCAATGACAGAACATACAAAATATACTTCTACATTAAAAGATGAAATAACTTTGCAGGATACTTTCATTTACCAAGTAAATCTTAATATTTTTTATTGTATAAACATTATATCCTATAAACCAATCAATGATTAAGTCGTTCCCTTTTTAAACAGACTCGAAAATTTGAATTTACTGTACAAAACATTGGTCACGTACCCCTCAAAATAGCTTGGAGTTTTGTTCTCGACGATGAATATCCAGCAAGATTAGACAAATATAATAAAAAGGTGATCACCTACAGAATATTTCGTTGAACTGTTTAAATTTAATTTAGTAAAATTAACAAAATAATGATAATTCCAAATTAACAGAATCGTAGTTTTCTCGAGTCTGGTAATGAGCCAACAGAAGTCCAAAATGTAAACAGTTCAATTAAAGACGGCTCGTGGGTAGACATGCCCATAACAGGAAAAACAGAAGGAGGTATAGTTAGCTCAATGAAATATTACTTAATTCTGGAGTTTTTACACTTATTTATTTAACATTAATTTTTTGATAAAGTACCCAGCAAAGTGACTTTGTTCAGTGAAAGTCTGGAAAGAAAAAGTGTAGATACATGGTTCGAAGTGGATTTGCCTTTCGAAATAAAACCCGAGAAGGATTGTTTGAAACCCAATGAAAAACGGGTGTTTAAAGTTACATTCTTGCCGTTACAAGCATTTGATTTCAAAGTGAAGCTCAAGAGTATGATAGGTAAACACAAAATCTATATATATAAAATTCTTGCGTTACCGAGTGACTGACAGACAACGTACAGCCGAAACTACTGAGCGTAGAAAAAGTTGAAATTTGGAATAAATTTTCCTTATGAAGTGTATAGGAGCACTAAGAGAGGATATTTGAAAATTCCGCCCCGAAGGGGCTAAATTTGGGGATGAAAGTAGGTATGAAACTTCGTTACTATACGTAGAAGTGCCAGGAGTTTCAAATTTGCATGCGGGTTTTTTTAGGACGTAGGTGCTCACTTAGATTTATGTTGGGATTTTACGAAATTCGACCTCTAAGAGGGTAAATTAGGGTATGAACGTTTTTATGGAATTTTCTCATTTCTGAACTTAAAACCGCGACTTCACCCGCGTGGTCTAGCCACGCGGGTGAAGTCGCGGCAAAAGCTAGTGCTCTTATATTTTTTCACAAACTTTCTAATGCATTAATCCCGTTCAGCAATAACTATTTTTGTGGCAATATAGTTTTCAATGGTACTTAATTTCATTTAGATAATTTGGACCCTTACGACATGAACATAAACTGCAAAATAACGGCAAAGTCCTTGATCCCGTATGTCCATTTGGACATAGATGAAAGTGATTATCTCACATCGGGACGCAGGAAGTTTACTGGAGTGGCACTGCCTCCGCACATGACCGTACTAGAATTCGACGTTTTAGGCTCCGGATGCTATAAGAAGTTAGTAACATATCAGTTGCTTTAAATTTAATAAAACAAAATAAGTTATAATATTTCTTCGTCACTATTTCAGAACTTTCAGTGTCATAAATCCCACGAGCGAAGCTTACGAATTTATATTCGAAATGGTCCTATCAGATAAGCCTGAACTGATCCCAGTTCATTGCAATATGTTGAAAGGTTATGTGGAAGGAGGTTCATCCACAGACGTAACTTTTACGTTTTCTCCTACCGCCCCTGGGGTAAGAACATATTTGAAAAATCTGATTATTTTAATTATTGTTGATATGTATCGATATATTATTATATCACTTTACATTTTCCTTTAAAAGGTTTATGAATCGCAATGGAAGTTTATTATACCAGTCTACAATCTCGTTATGAATTTGTTAGTGGTAGGATTGGTACGGGAACCTGAAGTAGTATTTGTACCGACTATCCTCATAATCAGGAATTCGCTTGTTGGATTTACCACAACACACATTGTAAAATTGAAGAATAACGAAAGAGAAGATTTAAAATTTGAATTCAAAGGGAATTCTCTGTGCAATGAGTCTGGGAAGACGCCAGTGATTGTTGAACCTGAGTATGGAACTCTTAGGTCACTCTCAGAAACTCTGATCAAGTTAGTGATATAAATTTTAATACATAGAATACATCAATAAAGAAAGAAATTAAAATTATGTTTCTTCCAGAATAATCTATACTCCAATTGATGACGGACCGTTGTCCTTTAAAATTTTCTGCAGCATTACATACATGACAAAATACTTAACCCTATGCGTCAATGCGTTGAGCTATTCAATCAAACCTAAAGTGACGTATTACATAATTGGGAATGAGCATTTACTTAACAGTGAAGCTGTTACTAATATACATTTAGATCAGGTATTATTTGTTTACAATTTACGTAGAGTATGGTGGGGCACACTGTTACAATGCACATATCTCCATCCTTTTCATTACTTTCTATAATGTTTGTATACAGCTACGGTGGATAATAGCCGGGCCGCGAGATATTTTGAAAAATCAAATTTTTGATAACATTGTCGTATTATTTCATGTCTGATATCTATTGCTAAACAATTATGAGCACTACAATTCTAATTTAAAATGTACTACTTTTAACGCAGCCCGCGAACGTATTTGCACACTAAAGTTTGTCTCACAACATGTCCAAGGTTGCCCATACCTGGTATACAGTTTTGACAAGCTCTAAGATGGCCATCTTGAATCAGTTTTCATTACCTCAGCATATTAATGTTATTTATTTAAAGAAGAATTTAGGTGACCAAACGATAACGTCAAAAAAAGTTTTTTGACGTTATCGTTTAGTAGTTTTTTGTAAAAACAATCTCTATTACTCATTTATTTATTTGTATGGCTTGCTCATCTGAGGCACTGTGTTACGAGGCACTATATTACACTGCAACAATTAGCTACAACCAAATTTCTAGTTTGTTTTGTGCCTAGGTTTTAAAAGAAACGATAAGTAATCGTAATAGAAAGACGGATCACGGTCTCCATACTCAAAGAAATATTAGAGAAATGACTCTGATGGTCGAAAGTGGGATAAATCTTCGTGAGGCAGGAAATTAAAAGAATATTATTTTCATGACGTTGCAAAGATATGTATAGGAGGGTATAGCCGCAACCTCGCATCTTGCAATTTTTATATATTCCCGAAAATAAAAGAACTTGCCTTGTAACAAAGTATCCCAGATACGGGGCACAGAGTTACAATAAACTTACTTGATTAATATGCTAGCTTGGTGGTGAAAATAGTCATGTTTTAATAATTCTTATTAAAGAGGGATTGTTATTGTTTATAACCTAGTCAGTTAAAAGTTTATCCACCTTACCCTATAAATAAATACAAGCTTTAATACTTTAGACTACTACGCTATACACGAAACCTAAAACTATCTTATTATTTCTATGAAAGACTGCCTCAACATATCAGAGGACCATACCTTTTACCGTAAAGAACGATGGATCAGCAACATTCTTCTTCGACTGGTACTACAATACTAACTCCGTAAAAAAGTATCTGCAGGTCAGCGTTGAACCTAAGAGTGGGCACGTCACGCCAGGCAACGAAGTAGAATGCGTACTCTATTTTACGCTGAAAAAAGTACCAGTACAGGCTTTCCCTGTTACGTTAGCTGTAAGTCTTATGCATTATGTGTTAACGTTTATATTGTCAATATGTGGTTGCATTTGTTTGTTAAGAGACTTTAGAGAGAAGTAATAAAAATGTGTTATTGTCATACCCTATATCGTCATCCCGAATGCAGATTTCAGACGGTCCAGAGTACTGTATTTTACTACATGCCGAAATTGAAAAGCCAGCGTATCATTTCTCTTGCATGGACTATGACTTTGGCAAGTGTATCATTAATGCTCCTGATACCACGTACAAGAAGAACCTGGCATTTGTGAACGACGATCAAGTACCTATCATGTACGTATATCCTCTCTTCGACGATGATTGTGATATTTTTTTATTGTATACAATATAGAATTTGACAAATGTTTGTTTGTTGTTTCAGTCTTAATTTGAATTTTATAAATGTCCCTGAGTTATTTGTCGATTACGGTGGAGTAATGAATGTTGAATCTAAAAAACGTTTGAAGATCCCTATTTACTTCCGGCCGAAACAAGTAAAAGAGTACGAATTCAAACTGCAGTTTTGGGTTAATTCATTGTGCGAAGAAATCGTTACTATCAAAGGAGAAGGTAAATTGAACTGACTTTTGTATATTTAGAAAACGATAGTTTTACTTCCAAAAAAACTAATAACCATCATTAAATAAAACATATATCGATTACAGGCGTGCCGCTTCTATATGATTTATACGAAGGATGTCAGAAGAGTTTTGATTTAGGAGCAGTGAAAGTAGGCGAAAAGATAATTCGTCAAATAGAAGTGATGAATCATAGTAAAGTTCCTATTGATGCGAGTTTTATATTCAGAGATATGTACCCAGTTGTGGAAGACACTACCAATTCAGAAGCGACCAGTGTGTGCCTTAGCCCTAGTGCTGCTAATACAATAAATACGGACACGGGTCCTTCGAGGTCAATATTTTTAGCTTAATTTATAATTTAATAGATATTAATATTTATTGATATCGTTCATTTCTAGTTGGATATTAGGTACTAAAACGAATTGAAATAATTCTATTAACTTCAGAGTGAAAATGCTACAATCTTACAAGGACGATAAAATCCGAGACCAAATTGCAATGGACATACAGAATGCGTTATCATCGTTGAAGGTCATACCTAATAAATGTAAAATAAAGCCATATAGAAAAGTACCATTAAAAATTCAATTCAAACCAGTAGGAATGATAAACACATTGAATGTTCAGGTACATATTGTATAACTTTGTAAAAACAATATTTGTCATAGGATTATTCCAACTATATCGATGTTCATGTTGTAGTTAAATATGAAAGTTTTCGAATTCGAGAGACCCCTGGTACGCCTGAGCGGAAGTGCTACTGGTATGAGCTTGTGTTTTAGCCAGAACTCACTGCAGTTCGGCCGCGTGCGTAAACGAGGGTGCAAGATACTCAAAGTCATGCTACAAAATAAGGGAGATTTTGGAGCAAGGTTATTACTCTACTTATTCTTTAGCCTAACGTAAATTTAACTAAAAAATGAGTATGTAAAAAATATCTACTAAAATATTATTTTTATTTGATTTGTATTTTTTGTAGATTTTGGTGGCAGCCTTTAATATCGAATGAGTTTACAATATCTCCACAACAAGGAAATATTGCAGCGCATACAAACGTAACATTCACGATAACTTTCAGACCTATTAATCACAATCCTTTTATCAAAATATGGGTGAGTATTATGATATTTAATAAATAGCTGCTGCAATAACACTATTTAAACCTTTATGTCCAACATGATTGGGTTTATTTCACAGGCAAGCTGTAATATTGAGAATTACATGCCTCTAGAAATAGCAATGTATGCTACTTGCGTAGACTTAGGCAATGTTCAGAATAAGACGATGTATTTAGAGTGCCCTGTCCGAGAGCTACAGACTGATTACGTGGTGGTGACGAATCCGTAAGTTGAAGTTTTGAAAAGGCCATTTATACGTGTAGAAATAATTTAATACAAGAGGTCTTCATTCCTCAGGTCCGACGATATGTGGCTGGTTTTGAGTGAAGTTTCAGGAGGACCCTTCGAGACATTAAAAGAATTCCATGTGGAACCCAACTCCACTTTTAATATTCCAATTCATTTTAAGCCCAAGACGATAGGGAAACACGAGGTAAGTAATTTTTGGGTACGAGTAGGTTTTAATTTAAATGTAATTATGTATTTACTCTCTAATGAATTTATTTGTGTTGTAATCCGATGAACAAATGAAATACCGATGAATAATATAATAAACTTGTATCTATCTCTTTTTTAGAGTCAAGTATTGTATTCACCACTGGGCGAGAGTGCACTTTTCATATCATTGATCGGCGCAGCATTACATCCCAATCCCAATGGGAATATCCTAATCACGGTCCCAGCTAAAGACACTTACGTCCAGGAATTACTTGTTCACAATATAACAGAGGTTTTATATTACATTGTAACAATTACATCTTTGCTTATATCAGTCTTTCCCTATATCGCCGTAACAGAGCTACCACACGCAGTTATTACTTATGAGATACCTATGCATGTCTGGATATCACACGTGTTTCGCCACACACACACATGTGAGCTGGAGTTGTTGACATTGCAAAGTCTAACCTGCACGCGTAGTATGACAAACTCGAGAAACGCTTTGTCTACACTCATTTGTCAGTTTCTCGGGTCGAGAGTGAGATATAGTATGGGCGGACCCGAGAAAAGTGACATTTGAGTATAGACAAAACGTTCTCGAGTTCGCCATGCTACGCGTGCTGTAGTAGCAGTGACACGAAGGTATGTATAGTAATAGTTGGTGGTAGCTTTGGAATTGCGCACGGACGGTGCACAAATATCTTGCATGCTGGGTATTGAACGCATTTTCCGATATCTTATCCGATAGTAAAATGGTACTATTTATCTTTAGTACTTATATATTACCGTGTTAAGTTGCCCAATAATGGTGCAAATGTGGTAACAAACGAAAATGGCAGAGTAGAGCTATAAAGTACAGTCGAAAAGTGGTGGTGATTGAAAATTTCGAAGTCGCAACACTGGATCTTTTGGTGTATTTTGCCCTATATATATATTTTTTTTATCGTACATATAAGTTTATAAGAAGCTTTTGAAAATACCTTCTTACATCAGTTTCCAGAATCTTACGCTGTATCAACGGAAGTGGAGAAAGTGATCCCAGATAAGTTTGAAGGCTATTTTGAAATAAAACATCCTGACACAGTTAAAGTGTGGGGTGAAGCTGCCGCTACATGCCGTTGGTCATACGTATGCTACGAAGAATGTGAAATGTATCTCAAAGTCAGTCTCATCTCTATTAAACTTTAAAGCGTTCTTTCCACAGAGAGGTATTTGAATAAGTAACCAAAACACGCTGTAATTTAATCACGATATTTTTATCAATTAGGTACTAGGTTAAATTTGGAATTGAATCTCTAACGAGTCATTTAGTTTAAGCGCGTACTGGTGACTTGTCGTCCAGGTACTGTCACCGTGCTTGATAATCCTCGCGGTAGCACTTAAACACGTGACGATTAGTAAAAAATCACTATAAAATAAAAAACGAATGACCTACATTAGTTTTTTATAATAAAAATCTAATGACTTACATTAGTTTTTTATAATAAAAAACTTATAACCTACATTATTTTTTTATTTGTTGTGATTTTGTGACATCGATCCAAGGACGTCTCGCCCCCCCCCCCCCCCAGTGAGATTTTACAAAAGTTGCCTAAAGTAAAGTAACTTTGACTTCACTTGCTTGATCGATCATTCCCTTATGTCGTAACTCGAATGAATTTAGTTGGAGCGGGAGAAGGGGATTCTAAATTATTTTTATTCTATTTTTATAATAAATGTATTAACTTATCTACACTACAAGTTTTATTTGTTCTTCAGTTAAGAGTTTGTATAACTTTACGAGTTGGACTCTACGCTGTCGTTATTCAATTACCGTAGATGTAAGGCTCGTATACAAGTAAAAATCATGCTAATGTTTGCAATATCATGCCTCAATTAAGAATGCCCTAGGCGGTTGCTTAGTTTGCCTATATGGACGGGACCGTCCTGCATTTAGGTGACTAAAAAAAACAAACGATGACAAAAACAATGTGTTACGATGGTAAAGAATCACCAGGGGAGCGTAGCTTTACTGACATAAAAGCGTTATTCAACTGTTTTCTAATGCCAGGTAATGTTCATAAATGAAGACACACACGAGTATCAGTACTACAATATCACTGCGACCGTAACGAAGAGCCCTATAGTGGACACGTTGACATTCATCTCGCGAGCGCGCGAATCCGTACAGAAGGAGTTAGTGGTCACAAATCCGTTAGCAGAAGACGCGAGCTTTTTCATTCGATGCGATAAATTGGATTGTCCGGATATGCTGAAGATTAGCAGAAATTCAGAGGTACTTTAACATAAGATAGTGAGGTAAACATAAATAAGTATTAGATCTCAAGTTACCTAACTGGCTACATGACTTTTTTGTGGGAATCTGGTGCACAAGAGGACGTCAAGTTCCCACCGAATGTCAAATTTCTGTAATCTATATATAATTATACTTTAACGCAATGATATTTAAAATCAAAGAAACAGTTTAGCATAACTATTTTATTATCCTATTATCCTATTAATATTATAAATGTGAAAGTTTCTTTGTTTGGATGTTTGTACGTCAATCACGCCGAAACTACTGAACGGATTTTGATGAAATTTGGTATACAGATAGGGTGTTAGCTGACTTAGATAATAGGATACTTTTTATCCGACTAAACATTTCCCTAGGGTCCACGCGGGCGAAGCCGCTGGCGAAAGCTAGTTATTAATAAATATATAACTGCAGGTACTGAGGTATTAATAAGGTATCATCCCATCCGATCTTTTTTGCAGGCCATTGCGAATTTGCTATACTCTCCTCTGGTTGTGGGTGAGATTGAAGATTACTTAGAGGTATCAAACCCCCTCGTGGGCACATATGTGTACAAAGTTTTGCTCAAGTGTTTACCAGCAAAAGTAAAGGATCTCGAATATACAACCTCTTTGGGCACTTGTATACCTCTACGGTTACGGGTTCATAATAAAACCGAGCTTAAAACAGAGTTTATAACTTCAGTAAGTATTTGATTGCTTAAAAGTCAAACTTCTGTAATGTAGGTAGATGCTTAAGGGAACAACGTAACAAGCATCTTTGTCTGGCTTAGCTGTTAAATGCGATGTTTTTAGTTCTAGAGTGTTATTGTTTTTACTTAATTCTCGTTCGCTTACTTTACATTTTTTCTTATTTTTTTAGCTCTTGATCAATAGTGTTAATGCCAACTCTGTGGTAAACTAACGTAATATTTTCAATTTTGTGTCATAATAAATAGCATTTTAATAATAATTATGCTACTTGACTATTTTGAGAAAAATATATATAACTTACATATGATCCTTTGATTAAAATAAAAAGGGAAGCTACTTTGGATAGGATAGGAACGGTAGGAAGATGCGTTTTGCTAATGGAAATTACAAATTAGGTGCATGCACACAATATAGCTTTTGACACTATTAGTATTCGATCATTCCACGAAGGACACACACGCTAAAAACATCCGTGAAATTCAGTGGGGAAAAGGTCGAACATATACCTAGATGTACTTTTATAAACTGTAGCAATAGTTCAAGAACAAAAACAAAATTTCACGGCATCACATTTCCATCGTAAGTATATTAAAAAATTTTATTCAAAATCAACTGTTTAGTAGATATCTAATTCGCCATTTTTAAGAAAGAATAAGAGTATATACCACTTTACATGTTCAGCTTTGCGGTGTGTTGCTACGCGCATGTGTGTAACGATCACAAGTTCCTGTCATGCTAGTGTTTAAATGCATTGCCGTCTTACTCGCTCGGTTGATATGCTACTGATAACGTGAGTTCCTGTCTCGCTCACACTAAAGTTGAAACTTGCTATAACTGTATCTTGCTTACTCGGGGAATACCATATAAGTATGTAAGGAGTTTACTTATGTAATTTAATCTGTGCTGTTTATTTGGTCAATGCAACTATAAGCATGCCGTTTCTTCGTATCCTTTTTGTTTTAATCAAAGATATTATCATATTAAATCACTATCAGATTTATAAAGGAAAAAGAATTTTATTTATTAATTTCAATTGTTTCGCAAAAACAATTATTCACGTGACATTTTTAGCCGTGACGTCATATTTCAATAGACATGAGTACTGGTTGCACTCGCAATGAAGCCAGTGACGCTTAGTTTATTGAAATGTGACGTCGCATGACATGATGTTCCGTCATGGCCATCCGCGTTTCGGTCCTTGTAATCCACAGATTATAAATCGCAAGTTAATTTTGCAGCAATAAATTATGCATAGAATTTATTTTACAAAAAACATAACATAGTTCTTGTTTACACATAAGTTTCCATTTCTAACATAAGTATTTTATAATTTATTGTTATAACTGTCAAGTAACCAATTACATAGGTACGTTAATTGAATTTAATTTTGAAATCAGTTTAATGTCACTTTTATTTGTCTTTTTTACTGAAGGTATCACATCCGAGCATACAATGTGAAAAATTGTACACATTGGGGCCGTATGAAAAAGGCAAACTTTTGGTAATGTTTGAGCCGACTGAAATTGGTATTCAACATTGTAAGCTGTCTTTTGATTCTCCTGTGGCAGGAGAATTTGTGTACGTAATAATTATCATTTTATCATTAAACCTTTACCAAACTTAGTACATGATTGGAAACATCGCTTCGACAAATGAAATCATTCTCGTATCAAGATTATATCTATTTGCCATTCATAATCCCAAAACTTCAATTCCACAAGAACTAAATAAACTGGTAACCCATCTTTCGATCTGTTTGGAAAACTGACGTAGCCGAAATTGCGAACTGTACCAAATTTCGTTTAGTTACAATAAATGACGAGACATAATAAGAATACGAGTATATAAAGATGGTCAACGTCTATATTAATACTAATTTCTAATCATTTACATTTTTCAGGTTCAATATAAAAGGAATAGCTACTAGTCCAAAACCTCAAGGACCATTTGAAATAAAATCGGGTGGTTTCACCACGATACCGTTCAAAAATGTATTTGACAGCGTAAGAATCTTTAGAGCGACTGTCGACAGAGAAGATTTCATTGTCAAATATGTTTATGAGCCTATCAAACCGAAAAAGGTAAGATTCATTCACTACCTTAACCTCATTACTTTAGAGCCTACTCTATTCAAAAACGAAATATCGGAAAATTTCGAAACATTTTTATAATTTTGCTAATATTATAAAAATATGATTTATCTGTGCATTAGAGGAAGTGTCAAGTCGTACCTCCGTCGCAACCAAGGTTGCAACATAAATTATATAAAAATTGGTTTCTTTTGATTCATATTAGCTTTTCAAAAATAGACGAAATTTCTTTTTCGTAGAAACACGAGTAGGGCTTCTAGTCCTGTCGTATCCAAGTTTCAACTAATCCCAAATAAAAAAGAAATGTCTTTGTTTAATGCCCATACTACTGTTAAAAAATTCTGGTTGGAAGACTATTCACGATACATATAGTTACAAACACATATGTCCAGTTGTTTACAATATTTTTGTTCACGTGCTGTTGTTCAACAAAAACCGGCGAGTCGGCCTCGAGTACGAACGACTGTATGTCGTTCGTACTCGACTCGACGGCCAGCGGCAGTGGCGTAACTATACCGTTTGAGACCCGTAGCAAATTCATCGGATATTCAATTTTTTTTACTAATTGCGTTATAATAAATGTCAGGAGTAAGGAGTCTCCTCTGACCGGGGGCCCGTGGCATTTTGCCGACATTCCACCCTGTAGTTACGCCACTGGCCAGCGGAATCTTAGTAATAGTGTCCCGCTTTACCTATCCTACTCTAAAAATGTGGTACAAATGATCTTTTACTCTGTCACAGTGATAACTCTCTCTTTAGGGGCTAAATTTATAAATAGGCCACTTTTTATACGAAATTTAGGAAATAGTATTTTTCCTCTGTGCCACGTTACATACACAAACGGGCCACTCAGTGAGGGGAGACACATTGTCCCTACTCGCTTTTAATAGAGTATAGTAGTCGACTTGGAGGGGTTATTAAATGAGACCATAGAAGACATACAAATGAAAGACAGAGGGAAGATCCGTACTGCATCAGGATGGCAGTTTCTCTCTTACCAGTCGAGTGCAGTCTCTAGGCCTGACTTACATATTCCAGTTAAGCACATTATTTTGTATGGGGTGCCATAAACCCTAGAGCTGCCCCTAATTACTGGTGTAATTATTTATTTCTAATCTGATGATATTGTATTAGGAAATGAAAGTAGGAGTGTACCTGAATGATAGAAATGCACAAGGATGGGGCGTGGCGCCGACAGGTTGCCTCACTATTGAGTGCTATGACCAGCCAGAGCCGAAGGTCCACTGGACTTACTTCCTACAAGGCATTCCCTGAATTTATTTTAGTCGTAATATTTTATTTAATCATGTATTTTGTTATTAGATCTTATTTTGATAATAAATGTCCTTATTACACATTTCATTATGGTTTGTTTGTATGATTAATAGGTATATTAAGACAATTGAAATAAAACAAATAATTTTGCTTTAACATGATAATATTTCTTACCAATCATTTACACTTAAGTCCTGAACAATATCATCTTGATTTTCAATAGTGTCATCTTCACTTTCATTATTTGTCTTTTTACTTTTCTTTTTCTTGAGCTCTTTCTTTTTCTTCTGTTTCTTTACTTTGGCTACTTTAGCTTCATCTTCTACTTTGAAATTATTGTCCTCATCTTCACTATCTGATGGGAACAAAACTAAAGGACCTTTGTTTTCTTTTGTGGGTTTGTTTAATACTTCTTCAGATATTTTGCGTCTCTTTATCATTGGTAACTCTCCTGCTAATTCATCATTCTTTGTTATCTTTTTCCGTTTTTGTATTTTATTTATCTTGTTCCAATTTTCAAAGAATGTTGACAATGGTGTGCCCTTTGTTCTTATACTCGTCTCCCAAGCGGTTATCATTTTATCATCATTTAAAGCAAACGTAATCTTGCCTCTTTCTTGCTCAATGAATTTTGAGTTTTCTTCAATTTTCTCTAGTAGTTGTCGCATTTTTTTCGTGTAGTTCGTTACAGAACAAGTTTTTATAAATTTTTTTATCTGAAACCAAAACATTATTTTAATAGTAAAAGTTGGTAAAAATAAATAATTATCAAAATTAAAAATTCTATACTATGCTATTGGTTTGTTTGGGTAATGAATTGATAACAAACCTGTACTATAGCGATAAGTGTGATGTCAGGAAACGCAATAGTGTGAGACTCATTTGCAGTGTACTCAAGTAGTAGAGCATAGACACGCTCAATCACACTGTCTTTGAATCCATTTTCTGCAAGTTGGGACTTGGCTAGTCTGAGAATACATGAAAAATCCAAAGGTTTCATTGAAACTTTCTTGTGTTTCTTATTGAAATCATACGACGTCAATACCTGTAAAGATAATGATAATATCAATCACTTTTGTTTGTATATATTTTAGATGATATTCACTACTTATAATTTGTTTTTACCTCCACAAGGAACGGCAAAATCGGTATGAAGGTGTTGGACTCCTTGGATAAATTAATTAAGATCTCCACACAGTGGAACCTCAAAGGATAATACTGATGAGTCGGCACCAACTTTATAGTGTTAGTTATGACCATCACCAGAGGGTATATCAACGGCTGCAACTGAGGTTTATTTGATGTCACTGATAACAAATCAGCCCATAGGTGAAGTGAATTAATAAATTGCCAATTATATACAGCTTGTCTGTTTTCCACTTTCTGCACCACTATAGCATTTCTCAAATGTATAGCCAGCTGTCTAATATACAAAAATACATGTTGGTATGAGACATTCAGGTCTAGTGAGAACATTTCTACAAGTGATCTTCTCATGAAGTTAATTCCAGGCCAAGTAGATGGACTTACAAATTTACAGTTTTTGACATAAGTCATATACATTGCTTTCAGTACTATATCAAGGAGGGTAGCTTGTTGATTCCTTGTTATTCTCAGTATACAGAGAAACGTTAGAACTCTCACTGTTTCTTCTCCAGTACTCCACAAGGTGATCAATTTTTTTAATGTTTGTCTTGATATTCTGCCAAAACATGAAACATAGACAGACATCTGGTGTAAATGTTTCAATAGAACTGTTAGTATGTTCTCAGAAGTTACTCCACCAAGCAGTTTTAACAGATCATTTAAATAAGACAAGAGTGGTCCTTTTATTTTTACAAAATGCTTGCACTTTTGGGGATCCTTCCCTGATGATTCCATACCAAGATATTTGTTAATAGCCGCTGGTAAATACAGGACACACATTTGAATGACTGCATTGAAGACAGATGACCCTGAAACATGACAATATTTTATACAGTATTAATGTGAATTAAATTTATCTTTAAAAGTTTCTTTGTCATAGTTTCCAATATTTCTGGATTATGAGAATTCAGTGTTTGAAACCCTTTTATATAAAATACTGTTGTATATTCATGGTTTATTTTAAATACATAAATAAAAAACAAAAATAATGGTGATCTCAAAACCTGAGTACCTTACTCACTAATTTTTATTACTATTGATATCAAACATCATGCAAAAATTGCCAAGTTAAATAGCTGCAGCCCTTGTGAAAACTGCAAAACAACTATAGCACAAATTAGTCTAACAATAATAAAATTAGTTACCTTCAACTTTGAATTCCCCAGTAGAAGTTCCATCTTCACTAGTCACTCTCAACATGGCTGCATTGAATGCTTTGATGACAGTAGTCAGAGTTGTTAATTTGATTTTACCTTCAGATTGTAGTTCTGTTTGCCATTGTAACACCATTTTAAGATTAACTTTACCTTTAACTGGTTTGCTTTCTTCATCCTAAAATATTAATAAATATGTCAATTGATACTTAGTCTTCATCAAATTAATAATCCCTAGTTTTCAAAATACACAACACAAAAAAGGTACTTTCAAGGGTTGTAATCTCTATTCACTACTCTGGTAAATAAGGCAAACCTGTCTGACATATTCCTTTTAAAATTCTATAAAAATCCTTTCTTAGGGCACTTACCCTAAGAAAGGATTTTTATAGAATGAATTTATAACCCCTAAGGAGGTGAAACAGGGGGCTGAAGTTTATATGGAATTTTCTCATTTCTGGACTTAGAAGTATGAAAATAGGTATATATTTTCTTTCTAATGATGTCCAGTATGTCCATTATTGCCTCCTGAGTTTTGACCCCAGTAGTTATCATAGTTCAAAATGCATAATATATATGAAATATAAATATAAAAACTTTATAAAGAAATATAATTTTTCGGCGGGTAGGTGTAAAAGAAAAAGTTGCCTTAAAAATCTATCAGTTTAATTATTTTAATTAATATTTATTCTCTCTACTGAGAAGCTTATTTCTTATGAGATACTAAAGTATTATTCATCTTACCTGCTGACGAGTGTTATCCTTACTTAAATCCACATTATATTACTGTTACACTCGTGTACATTCCACTACTTTATTACTGCAAAATGGACGCCATCCAAAATTCAATGAACCAGCTTCAAAAGATGTTCATGGATAGAATGGATAAGTATCAGAGTGACCTTCAAGCCTCAGCACCTTCTACCACCATCTCTAACCTCAACGGTGAATTCTCCACATTTAGAAGCTATATTATGACAGCGCTACAAAGTCTCCAGGAACAGATCAACCTTCTGATGCAACAAACTGACAACATTGAAATGCACAGCAGAAGAAAGATGTTGCTTTTACATGGTTTACCGGAGGAGTCTAATGAGGACACAGTAGCTGTTCTTGTGAAAGTAGTTACAGAGCGTATGAAGATCAGTGGGTTCACCAAAGATGACATCAGCCGCTGCCATCGTATGGGACGCAAGACCACTACTACTGATCGTCCTCGACCAGTCTTACTAAAACTCCGAGATCAAGAGGTGCGCAGTAAGATTTGGTTTTCTAAAACTGTTTTAAAAGGTTCAGGTGTAACTATTTCCGAATTTCTTACGAAGTCTCGGCACGACGCTTTTATGGCTGCACGTGAAAAATATGGTGTCAACAAGTGCTTCACCAAATTGGGTTTCGTTTTTGTAATCACCGGCGATGGGAAGCGACATCGTATCTCTTCACTTAATGAGTTAAACAAGATCTCGTCTGACGATATGCCTAAGCCGGGTATGAGTAAGGAAACTGCATCATCGACCAGAAGCAAGCGAACGGGCATCAGTAAGAAGTAATATTTGTTGTTATCACTTTCATTTCTGTTTTGGTTTTAATAGGTTACTGATAGTGCGGACCGGTAGGCACATATAGATATTGTACTTTCATCATATCTTTGACTGTCTTCATGTACCCGCTACACTACACTTATTATATCAAAGTGCTTTAAATTTCGTATTACCACGATAACTTGTATTGTGGTTTTGCTTTGAACACCATTTCATATTATTGTTGTCAAACTCAAATTGATACCTATTATCATTATTGTGACATCTGACTTTTTGCGAGATTGACAGAGCACTATTTTTTTCCTTAAAAGCATAGGGATCTGTATTCATACAGCCATATGTTTTATTTTTGTTATTTTGCTATGTGTATTGTGTAAGTCGATCCGCATTTATTTATTTCTTGATCTATTTTTGCGTCTTTTTCTAATGTAGAATATATGTCAAATATAAATCCATATATCACTCAACCGGCAGGTGGAATTAGATTGCAGTTTAGATTTTAATAATTATTTATCTATTGCAATTTATATATTTTGTTTTTTATTTTATTTTATTAGTATGTCTAGTTCTGATTCACACAGCGATATCGACCCCTTTTTATCGCTGTCATCCAGTGCCAGCAGCAGTAACGAAAGTTTTGCCAGTATACCTCCTTCATTATCTGAATCACTTGATAAACAGTTTTCCGATGTACCAAAGAATTTCAATGTCGTTCACATCAATGCGCAAAGTATTCCGGCCCATTACTATGATATGCAGGCGGCGTTTGATCATAAAAATCTTCATGCTGTATTAGTCTCCGAGTCATGGCTCAAGCCCTGCTTACCTTCAGCTTCATATACTCTGCCCGGTTTCCAACTTATACGTAACGATCGTACTGGCTATGGGGGTGGTGGAGTTGCCATTTATCTACGATCTAGTATTCCATACAAAATTGTTAGTGTCTCCAGTCAACCACCGCCAAGTAATGCCGGTGAGCACCTCTTTATTGAAGTAACTCTTTCTCATCGCAGAGTCTTACTCGGTGTCTATTACAGCCCTTCAGTTAGAGTTAATTACTTCTCCTCTTTTGAAAACCTTCTGGAGGATATTATTCCGTCTTATGACCATTCAATTATTATGGGTGACTTCAATACCTGCCTTCAAAAAAATGATATCCGTGCCACTTCCCTCCAATCTCTTATTAGATCTAGCAATCTGCAGATTCTTCCACTTGGAGTCACCCATCGTTTTCCTCACTCGATCCCGTCACTTCTGGATTTGATAATAGTTTCTTCAACTCAGTATGTTTCTAAACACGGCCAATGTTCAGCCGACATTTTCTCATATCATGATTTAATATTTCTTTCCTATAAAATTAGGCCTCCTAAATTAAAGCCCAAAGTCATCCTTCAGCGCAATTTTGGTGGTATAGATCAAGATTCTTTTATGGACGATGCTCGTAATATTGATTGGTCTCCTGTGACCAACGCTTCCTCAGTTGACGAGCAAATAACTACTTTTAATAACCTTGTCACTCAACTTTACGATAACCATGCACCTTTTCATCTCATCAAACTTAAGCACCTTCCGGCACCATGGTTAAATAGTGATATAAAATCTCTGATACATAAAAAAGCCATTGCCAAAAGCAAATTTAAACGTAATCCGAGTGATCTCAACAAAGAGAAATATAACAAGGTTCGTAACCACTGCAATATGGTGTGTAGGGATGCTTTACGACGCCACATTCATAATTCAGTCGAAGAGGATGATCCAGCTAAAGTCTGGAGATTCCTCAGATCTCTTGGGATTGGTAGAACACGTCAAGACTCCTTACCTCATCACATTAATATTGATTCTCTCAATTCTCATTTTTCTTCTTCCTCCGATCTTAGCGACTCGGATAAAAATAGAACCATTCAACAACTTTCTACTTTACCAAATCCTGAGTACTCCCCGTTTCTTTTTACTCAGTTTACGGAATGTGATGTTAAGAAGAGCATTTTATCTATCAATTCCAACGCAGTCGGTGCTGATGGAATTAGTCGCAACATGTTAGTACCTATACTTGATTTCATACTTCCTGTCCTTTCCTCTATTTTCAACAACTCTTTATCCAAATCAGTTTTTCCTTCCGCTTGGAAAGAAGCTCAAATTATTCCTCTTCCTAAAAAACCTCATCCTAAATCTTTTTCTGACTTTAGACCTATCTCTATTCTCCCATTCCTATCCAAAGTTCTCGAGCGTCTTATCCATAACCAATTGAATTGTTTCCTTTCTCGTCATGAACTCTTAAACCCTTTTCAATCTGGATTTCGTGTGGGCCACAGTACCACAACTGCATTGATTAAAATCACCGATGATATCCGATTTGGGATGGAAAATGGTCTTTTAACCGTACTAACTTTGTTAGACTTCAGTTGTGCGTTTGACACTGTAAATTTTGACATCCTACTCTCCCTTCTGCGCTCTATTAACATATCTCCATCCGCAACTGAGTGGTTTCACAGTTATCTGTACGGACGCCGGCAACGAGTACGTATTGACGAGAAGTTTTCCTCTTGGTGCGACACGACTGCCGGAGTCCCACAAGGTGGCGTTCTATCTCCTCTTCTTTTCGCAATTTTCATTAACAACATTTCTAAGAACCTTTCTTCTTCCTGCCACCTTTATGCAGACGACCTACAAATCTACAGTCAAGCCCCTCCTTCACGGCTAAATGAGGCAGTGCATACCACTAATATTGATTTAGAACGTATAGTAGCATGGAGTAAGTCTTTTGGACTTAAAGTAAATCCAACAAAGACTAACACGATCATAGTGGGTAGTTCTAGGCTAATCGCTAAACTTGACTGGCACCTCTTACCAAAAATTCATTTCGATGGTACTGACATACCTTTTAGTGATACTGTTAAAAACTTGGGTATAATCATAGATCGGAGTCTGAACTGGGGATCACAATTGCAAGCTGTTAGTCGGAAGCTGTATGCTTCTGCTGCATCATTAAGGAGGTTACGTAATTTTTTGCCGACTACCACTAAAATTGCTCTAGCACAATCTCTGTTGCTTCCTTTACTTGACTACGCTGATACCTGTTATCTTGATCTTACGGAAGACCAACTAAATAAACTTGAGCGACTTCAAAACTTCTGTATTAGATTTATATTTGGATTACGTAAATATGATCATATATCTCAATTTCGTACTCAGCTCAAGTGGCTTCCTATTCGACTTCGCCGGAATGCTCACATGTTATCTCTTCTGTATAATATTCTGTTTAATCCCCGTTTCCCGCGCTACTTGAAAGAACGATTTAATCCTCTATACTGTTCCACTACACATTCTTTGAGATCATCGGAAAACCTGAAACTTGAAACTCCTCTCCATAACACTACCTTTTATGATGGCTCCTTTACCGTCCAAGCTGTTCGCCTTTGGAATGCTCTTCCGGCTTCCATAAGACAGGCACAATCGATCACTATCTTCAAAGAACTGGTAAAAAATCATTATCTCTCTTTGTAATTCTATGTTGCTAAAACCCTTCCTCGTTTCACTAAAGTATATTATTAGTATATATCTTATGTATGTATATATTATTTGTATTTATGTATATATTTTCAAAATTTATGTATCTTATAAGTATTAATGCATCTTTACTAAATGTTACTTATTTTCTTGAATTTACGTACTTTTACTCTACACCTCCGTTTTTCATAACTGCTATTCATTCTTCTCCATCCAAAGGTTGTCTGGTAGAAATCGCTGTTAGCGATAAGACCGCCAATTGCTACATCATCGTGTTATATTTTATTTGTAAATTTTATATTAAAATTGTAACTGTAAAATGGTGTGACAATAAAGTATTATTATTATTATTATTATTATTATAATTTATAAAAATGATTTAACTTTATTATTTCTGATAATGCCATTTTACCTATTACTATATAATATTTACATGATAGAAATGTTGGTTTGTATTTATAGAAATATTTGGACATGCATAGGTGGCTATTTGAGGTTGTCCAACTGCTAGGACAGCTTTAAGAATCTGATCAAAACATAAATGGTATACTCATCAAATGACTTGGGTATGCCTTCTCACATTAGGCAGATTGGTATCTAGCAAGGAATTTCCTGGTTGGAAATAATGTCCACCCACTACAGTGGGAGGGACATTGATGTACTGCCTTTAGGAAAGATTATACCCTACTCTTGGAGGACTTCAAACAAGGAAACTCTCAAATAACATTGTGATACCAATCGAACTTAACAAAATATAACAAACCTCAAAATCGCTTTCATCACTGTCACCTCTGAGAGGTCCAGGTTTGTGAACATTCTCTTCAATTTCATCTTTGGTGGAATCGTCATCAGATGCCACATCAAAATTGAGTAAATTTTCATCATTTTCTTCTAAAAAGTTATAAAAATCTGGATCTATTTTTTTGAGCTTTTCTAACGACTGCTTGTGTTTTTCTGGGTCCAGCTCCTCTTCAGAATCTAAAAAGAAGAACAGTAAGTAGAAAAATTACACAAATTAAGCACGTTCTTTAAATACAAGAAGTTTGAATCAAAAAGTTCGATAGTAACCTGACTGTTCCATCGCTTTCGGAATTCCTTTCTTTTTCATAATGATTTGTTTTCTAAAGATTAATAAATAAATTTACTTCACACGTGCTATTTCTACCTTTGATAAGATTTCTACGCGCTTTCAATGTTATACAGACATAGACTTTTTTTTTTTTTTGGTTCAATTTTCCCATTCCTACAGGGGAAGGGGAAGGCAAAGGGTGCTTAGCCCATACAGCCTTGTCATTTGTATTGTATATTCTTAAATATACACACATAGACTATCTTAACGTCACAAGTCACAACAAAGAGTAGGATAAAACCATAGAACAATAAAATTATACTAAACGTCATAATGTGAACTGCCCAAAGGTATATTGATATCCGATATCAATACTTTATACTTGATTATTTATTTATCATACTTTCATAATCGAAAATAGTACAAGCTTTATATTACAATAAAACATGTATTATAGAGCAGAGACGATGCATAACATGTGAGAGAATGCGAAGATTTCCATTCTAGTTACTTCCGTTTTTTATACTTACTGTCTCTGGGGCTGCCATGTTAAATTCCTTTAAATTATTAATTGGATTAACTTATTAAAAGCGATGCACATAAACATAATAATATAATACAAATATAGACAAATTTACACTCATATACACATACTCATACTCATACTCTTATATACATTAACATTCTAAACATACAGTAGTAATAATAAGAATGCATGCTATTTAATTTTAAGTTTGAATTATTTAACTTTGTGAAGTGTGAACGCAGTATTTAAACTGAAGCGGCTGCTTTCGTACACGATATAACATGTAAATCTAACAACAATGTTTACCATTAAATCTTGTAATATGTGGATGATAGCAATTTATTATTACAATTTTACGAAAAATAAAGGAATGCAACAAAAATGTCTCAGTAAATACGTGAAGTAGAAATAACAATTGTATGCAGTCGTCACTGTGAAGGTTTTTAAAAATATTTCAACAATCGTTACGAAATTTAAATAGTAAAATTAGACTTAGAAACTTCATAAAACATTTTTTTAGTAATGTATTAAACGTTACTAAAAAATTAAATCATTAATTTAATATTGAATTTCAAAATAAATGTTTATTAGAATATTTGTACTGCAGTCAATAGTTACTTAATACTTTATTTTGTATATTTTCCTTTATTATTAATATAGTATGTTGATTTGTCAATGAGTATATAAGATTTCTGATATTGTAATGGGAAGTGACTTTATAGTCTAATGAGGAAGTATTAAAAAAGAACGAAAGCACTAAAAAAAGCACCTCCTTTAGATAGCGACTCTAGCAAAAGTTGATTTTTGCAAACGAATGGACCAAAGACAATCATTTCCATTCCTTTTAAGTAACATATTAAAAAACTGAAATTTACAAAGTTCGAAACTTAGATATCAATACAAATACGAAAAAGTACATATAGAATATGAGTTGTTTATGGAGTTTTGGAAACTAACTTACTTTTAAACATGAAAGAAAACCGGAAAGGTTGTCATGGAGAAATCAAGACCGTACCGTAGCGACATTTAGTTTGATTTCGGGAACTAATTTTTTTTTTTAAATACAGCTATTAAAAAACAGATTCGAAAGTCTAAGCCACAAAATATCGCTAATAGAGATGGTATCAATATTTTAAGGTAGTAAAGATGGTATCAATATTATAAGACAAAAAGAAGCATAGATAGATAAATTGAAGAAATCGCTGGTTTCATGCGAAATCCTAAAGAAACCACCAATATTTTTTTTATTATTTTACTCTATGGTATTCACCATTCTTTGCTACGATTATTTGGCATGCAAACTTTATATCGATGAACTTTCGCTTGATTGATACGACATTGGTCTGTGGAAGAAACAAAATTGTCACCAGTGCGCAGAAACACAAATAAATTTTCCAGAAAACTCCGGTAATATCATTCAGGATTGATTGGTTTCTGAAAACACAAAAAACGCTCCTTGATATTACCTATATTGATAATCCCAAGTGGTTTTCTTTTTTCTACGGTGGCAAATCCATCATAGTGATTACTATTTTAAAGGTAAATATTTCATCATATGCTTATAGAATTAGTTCATAAAAATTATGCAATTCGGCAAATATTTTGGTTTTCTTTCAGATTTACACTTCACAATGCTATCACGAATGTGCGTAGCCCGTTCAGCTTTTACTCATACATTGAGAACACCAGTACCACAAAAATTTGTACCCAAAAATTATGTAGTACGGAACTATGCACGTGAAACACGATCTCGAGTTGCCAGTAGGACACAACCAACTGTTTGGGAAAGATTAATGGCTCCTGCAGGACCAAATGGTAAATTATTTTATATTTTTGATACTTTTAGTTAGGTTATATTGTCTATATATTATAACATTCTATTACTTACCCATATATTTTAATAATTCACTATTTTTCAGCTTTCAGTTTGGGAAAAGGTGCTTTAGCAGGAGCTTCAGCTGTTGGTATAGTAGCATTATGCTACTATGGTTCAAGTGCCAAACCAGGCACTCTTCAGGAAGCTCAGTAAGTATAAAATGCCTAATGATTAATGTAATGAAGAGTTGATGGTTTTATTGTATTTTTTGACAATGATATTTTTATTGCAGCCTGTGGCCTCAATATGTCAAAGATAGAATCAAAGCAACATATGGATATATCGCAGGCTCACTTGTACTTACAGCAGGTAGTGCTGTGACTGTTTTTCGGACGCCTGCTTTATTAAATTTGGTTGCAAGAAATGGATGGATGGTAATTTATTTAACATATCTTCATATTTTAATAAGAAATAGCTAACCTTTTGGGCTTTAATATTGGATATCTTATTACAATACAGAAGATTTTTTTTATAGGTTTATGAAGTCTTTATTTTTTAAATATCAAACTTCATCTTTAATATCTACATTTTACAGTCTATCATTATAACAATGGGATTGATGATTGGTTCGGGAATGGTTGTACGTGGGATGGAGTACAGGCCAGGGTTTGGAGCTAAACAATTAGCTTGGATTGTGCACACTGGTATTATGGGTGCCGTGATTGCACCCATATGCTTCTTAGGTGGACCAGTGCTTATTAGAGCAGCTTGGTAAGTTGACTCTCCTCTGTAGTTATACAAAATTTTTTAATATAACGAAATATATAAGTTCTTAAAAAAGTTAAGTATCAATAGAGATTATATTTTTTGTTTTATAGGTATACGGCTGGTGTAGTTGGTGGTCTAAGTACAATTGCAATCTGTGCACCATCTGGTGAATTCTTAAACATGAGAGCACCACTTGCTATGGGCCTTGGTGCTGTGTTTGCTGCTTCCCTTGCTGGCATGTTTCTTCCACCAACATCTGTACTTGGAGCAGGTAATAAACCTTAGCAGCCCAATGTTTTATGAGAAAATGATTTTTATTCTTAATTCTGCTAGCAGCTTAGCCCGCGTGATCTTGTATTATACTTAAATCGTTCCTTTCGAATCACCCTATCTATGAAAAAAGACTGCATCAAAATCCGTTGCATAGTTTTAAAGATTTAAGCATACATAGGAATATAGGGACAGAGAAAGCGACTTTGTTTTATACTCTGTAGTGAAGCAACAAATATTTAAATTACTACATGGAAAATGGTAGTCAGTCATTCAGTGATTGTGTTAAGTAACTCTTGACAGAGATTGATTACAAGATTGCAGAATTTATATCATGGGTTGTAGTTTTCATGGAGGAACAATGTTTTAGAAGACACATTAAATATTGAATCTGGAACAATCTCTTTAGGTGGGTCAGGGTATAATGGACTTTTCTTTGTGAGGCATTAATACGATTTTGATGGTGATTTATTTCATGTTTCAGGGCTGTACTCCCTCAGTCTTTATGGTGGCTTGATTGTGTTTGGTGGCTTCCTGTTGTATGACACTCAAGCTATTATCAAGAGAGCAGAAATGCATCCAATGTATGGAGTTCAACCCTATGATCCTATCAATTCGTAAGTATTATTGATAAGTTTTTTTATTAAGTGTAATGAACTGAGATGAGAAAACATTACAAAATTAAATATAAAAATAATGCCTATTAATATCCCCATTACTGCTACATCCAGGCCTCTATGGATTCAAATCAAATAGGGAGAATTGGCCATGCCCCACCACACAGGCTCGCATTTTTTGTTCCACGCACCACGCAGTGTGAATTGGTGGGTATTAACATCTGCAGGTGTAACTGGAACCGACCGCTTAAAGTGCCTTAGGAATACCGACAACTGTAAAGCAAAGCTCGGATGACCTCGAAACAAAAAAAATTTGGTTACCCATCCTATGAGTGGCCATCGCGAAAGATGCTTGACAACCAAGCACACTGATCACTGCGCTATCTAGCTTCTCTTGAGAAAAATAATACCTAGTGCTGTTCATGTGAAGTATGAAAGATCAGTTATTTACCACATTAAAAATATAGTAACAAATAATAGATAATAAAAGTGATACTATTTTTTACAGAGCGGTCTCAGTATATTTGGATATCCTGAATATCTTCATGCGCATTGCTATGATTTTATCTGGAGCTGGGGGAAACAAAAGGAAGTAGAGAAAATGTTACATCAGAAACTATTTACTGAAAATGAGCTGTATTATAATATAAATAAAATAATACTGCTAGTTCTATGAATACTAGCATCAACGGCAGAAATTTTATTTAAAATTAAGCCATTAAATCGACACTATAATATATCTCAAATCAATGTCTCCAAATTGAAACAAAAAATTGTTTTAAAAACTGTAGCTTTCGTCTTAAAATTGTTTTTTGCTTTGATGCTAGTATGTATATAAATGGCTTCCTATAGTCAGAAGGCATAATTATCTTATTAGAGACTGTTGTGATATTACGTAGGCCATAAGTTTGCAAGTAAGATCTTGAAGAGTTTGACGCAAATAAATTAACCAGTGTTATAAGAAAAGCTTTGCTTTTAATTTTCAATACCTTGTGCCATCCGAGCCCGACAAAAGTTAGAATATCACCTAAGGCCGCATCCACACTGCACACTTACTTTATTTTATTTACACTTCATTGTACAACACACTACAGAAATGTATAAAACAATATAAACATGAAAATTCCTAATTGTACAATAGGCGGCCTTATCGCTTAACAGCGATTTCTTCTAGGCAACCTAAATTGTGAGATGAAATTTTATGCCCAGTAATAAATAAACGAGGTTAGGATGTGCGCATAAGTATTTATTTGAATAGAAGCATACTAAACTTTAACAATTATATAGTTATATCGTACATAATTACAATAATAAATATATAATACATAAATCATAAATATAAAAATAACAATATATTAATAAGACGCAGGGACCACTATATAACAATAGTAATTATCAATGAGGCAAATGCTTAATCTTGAAAAACACTAACGTTTGAGCTCGTCTAATGTTTTCAGGCATAAAATTCCATAACTGTATAACTTGTAAGACAAAAGATTGGCTATAAAATTTTGAAAAGTTTAACGGAAGTTGAAGTCGGAAATTGTCAGAAGAACGCAGGGAAATCTCGTGGGTAACCGATAGAAAAACGTTCGAAATATATAGGTGTGAACTCAGACCAAATAAAAAGTAAAGACGGAGTTCGCTTGAATAACAAAGTGAAGCCGATTTTTAGCAATTGTAGTGTGCGTGCCAGTGTGACCATAGTCATTAAAAACACCCCAATAACTTAACGTTTCGACGTTATAGAGTTAACGTTAACGCTATGCTATTTAATAATATAATGTAAATTCGTTTGTCAATATCAGCATAGATATTCTAAAATCTTTAAGAGTAGGTAATTATTATTGGAGGCCATACATTAGAGAGACTATTTAATTAATTTTTAAGTTAAGTTTTAAAACTTTCACTATATTAACTAAAATTTTAATATTCAGAAAGTTTGAAACTTTTGGATATAAGTTTTGCTTTATTCGACGTAACCCTTTTATAGTAAAATACATATAATCGCTCTTAAAATGTGTCGAACAAACTACGCTGTGTGAAGTTGGATTCCATGAAGGTTCATTTCGACTATTACGAATGACTGAAATCCACTTCTCTTTCACATTTTGATGTGGGTTTGAAAATGAAAAAATGTATGCAAACCCGTTTAGTAAAAATAAAGAAGTAAAAAATTAAACCCGTTTTTATTTTTTACTTCCTTATTCTAACACTTCAATATCTGTGATCTGGACCTCTATGTAGTATTTTGAATGCAAAATTTATTAAATATCATTTCCATACAACAAGAAAAAAATACATAACGTAATTTGTGTTTTGTTAGAAATAACGCGTTATAAAATTAAAGTTACCTGATTTCGGGGTAAATAATAACGTTTAACGATGGTAATATTTGGCTGAGGTTTTGTGTACCACGCAATTACTTAAATTTATTTTTTAAATTACTGAATATGTAAGTTTTCTCCAATACTTACGTGTGAAATGTGATTCCATCCTGCTTCTTATTTTTTGAGGATTGGTTTTTACAACCTTTTACTACACTATTCGGCAGTTGGTAAGAAATTTTTGATTTTTTTTATAATGAAACGTTCCGCACGCTGTCTTTAGTTAGACTGATAAGGAAGGGGTCGTTTCGTTATGTATGTGTGCGTGAAACTGTGTACGAATACGCCAAGGCGTAGTTTTGTCGGCTTCACTTTTCTGTTAGGCAAAACTCCGTCTATACTTTTTATTTGGTCTGAGGGTGTGAACGGATTGAACAGCACCAAGTAGAAAAGGGAAAGGATGTGTAAGTGACTACGACGTCGAATAGGGAGCCATTTTAGTCTATGACGGTACTGTGATACCTGATCATATTTTCGCAGACCATATATGAAAGAATCTCCAATACGTACTCGTTGCCGACGTCCATGTAGATGACTACGAAACCAGTCAATAACCGTTGGATATGTTAAGGCAACTCAGCAACCCTTGCAAGCTGTCAAAGTCAACGTTGCTGAAAGCATTACTAAAATCTAGTAATGCCAGGACTGTGAGTCTATAAGTCTCCATGCCGGAGCGAATGCGATCACTGATTTGACCAAGGCGCCAGTTGTGCTATGGCCGGAACGAAAGCCAGGTTGTAAAGGGTTTAAAGGGTTATACTTATTCAGGAACTCACTTAATTGTTCATTTATAAGACGCTCTAGGACTTTGTAAAGGAAAGAGTATGGAAATAAATAATTGAAGAAGAAATTGAAGAAACCATTAATCTTGTTCTAACGCTCAACGGACCGACCATCCGGCCTATGGATCGTCCAATGGTGTGACATTTATCGCGTTTCTAAAAGCTTTCTGAGCAGGTTATATAAGTTGTGTCTTACTGTAAGCGTATTATTATTATATTGCAGTGAGAGGTCATGAAAAATGAAAAACTGTATTTCGACATTATTAGATAACAACATATTAATGAAACTTATGACTTGTTGGTAAACTTACCAAAACCAGCTAAAGGAACTTCTTAGGCTCGTTCTCCTTGTCAGCCCAAAGACGTCCGAAAGATTCAAAAGTACTTGTAATAGTATTTTAAAACATTTTTTCGTTGATTTATAACTGACACCTCAAAATTGAACTTTTTTAAGCAAATGCAGTCGATTTTTTGCACTGTCCAACTTAAAGGACGTCAGTAACATGAAGTAAAGCAGACAGCTTCTTAGATACATTGCCTCAATTATGTTATATATCTTTTCCTTTTATTACATTATCCCGATTTAGAGGAACTAGGCCTGAATAATAGGTAAATACTGATTGGATTTCTATAAAACACAGCAAAGATTTAAATCGTTCATTCATCATAAACTAAGTATTAAACATTTCATATCCTAGGAAACCAATATTAAATATAAGGAATAAAAAATTATGTCACTTGTTCGTAGAGTTATTATATTTAATAATGTAAAACTTAAATTATACATAGTTAACAAAATATTAAAATATCACTTCACAATATATAAAAAATACTTCTTTGGAATAAAAACAAATGCATTTCAACAAAATTAACTTGGCGTCTACTCATGAGCAAAGTAATATAAGAGTGGGTGCAAATCTGACCGAAGATTCTTCCAAGCGTCTCACGTTAGTATGCTAAATCTAAAGTACGCAACCGAACATCAGTCGTATGTGCCAGGTTCAATGTCGTTAGTTAAGTAACTTCTGTCGTTCCGCGATATGTCTTCCGTCAGATACATACATCCTTAGGTTGCGTTCACAATAAACTGACAGCTGCCGTCTGTGAACCAGCGTTAGGGGGTCATCCATAAAGTACGCCATACGAATGCGTTTACATACACAATCATCTTATAGTTCACACCAAACTGATATGAGAAACGTAATGACAATACAATATAGTAGGCGGCCGACTTTACTCTTCAGACAAAGAAACAAAAGAAATATTGTTAGTCGAGCTTCAATACATGTCTTCTATTTTCTTTATTTTTCCCTGATATCCCGGGGAAAAAATGCAACATAGAGAACATATTAAGGTTAATTTATGTTAGGAACTTTAAATAATTCATTTATAGTTGTCGATATTCCGCCATTACTTTATTATTATTCTCAATAATACATAAATACTTAATACATCGTTTTCTTTTATCACAATAAGTTATACTTTTGATCCGAGGATACTACGTATAATAGCGGAAACTAGTACAATTTTGCCCATCGTTCCGAGTATTCGGACTAGTACTTCGTAATAGTATTATTATATCTGTGATATGGGGTAACGTATATTATAAGCCCATAACTATGCCTTCTTGCAATAGCAGCGTTATGCGATTTACGAATGAATATAGTTAAAAGGCAGAGGGAAAGGCGGAGTTTAGCAATATAAGAGAACCGTTGAAAGCAGTCTATTCACAAAGTAAAAGTACTAATTTCCGTAATATTACTTTAACATTATAAGTACGAACTTAACCTATTGGTGTAACATAATAGAGTTGCCACAGCGAAGCAACAATTACTATCTTATGAGCAAGAGATTATTGTAGGAGATCGTTTATAGGCGTATAGAAGAAAAATGTTTCCTATATATAGTTATTTTTATACAATATCAGTAAAATAAGCCATTTCGCTGAATTCAATTACTCATTTTCCCATTTATAGCAATGGTGATCTTTAATACCACTTCATTTGAACTTTTTCAACACAAGTCATCTAGATTATTCCCATTCCAGCTGTCGCAAATAAATATTTCTACCGAAAACAGATAAAATTAATGTCAATACTATAATATAATACTTCATAAATAAAAATTTTACGTAGTTACGTCGCCAGTCTTATGTGCTTGTTGTTTTAAATAAATAGCGTACATTTGACGCGCCTGATTAAGTACCCTGTTCACATTATGCTTGCGAACCATTTTATCGAAATGCATCGCTAGCTCGTTGTAGTCCATACGATTTCGCATAATGTAATCTCTGTGTTGTAACAACACGGTCAAACACAGGAACATCAAGAATGGATTCCCTCCACCAAACAGCGTTGGCGGTGGTAGGTGATTAATGCTATATTTTGTCGATAAATCATTGTTTACAGTAAGGGCTGTAACATTTTTCGTTGCAGGAGGTTTGAAGACCTCGTACCTTTTTTGAAAGTTGTTTATTGTTGAAGCTACACTATGCAAATTGGGCTGTTTCGCATTTAATAAGGACTCACAATTGCGTTTCGCGTTTTCCAATTCTTGCGACATATTGGAAAAAAATTTTGAGGTAACCGTAGTGTCCTTTTGATTATTTTTTAAATTCATCATAGATTCACTTTCTCTATCGTCCGATTCATCTGAATCAGATTCACTAGATTGCGTATTCGAATGCCGGGTGTCTCGAGACAAATCTTGAGGTTCTAAAGATTGATTTTTTCTTAATAATCTGATCGGCGTTATTGATTTCTTTCCCGAATGTTCTTCTATGATTTCTCCCGTGTCCCCATCAAAGTCCAATTCTGCTTGTTCATCAGGAGTCTGTGGGCAGCTTGCAGTAGTGCGAGTGGTCGGTGTGTTTCTATGTAAAGGATTTTCCCATAAATAAATGTCTTCAGCACTTCTTGCATTGGATTTTATTGTCTCGAATTGAGGTGTTTTTTTTGGAATTTCGGTTAATTCTGCAGTTTCAGTTACCGTTTGCAAGTTCTCTATAGTTAGACAAGTTTGCTTTTCTTCTATACAGTTCGTAGTCGGTTTTTCATCTGTACTAGTAGAATCAGATGGAGAGTCACATACTAGGCTGCAGCGATTTATGTACGATTGCCCAAACACTTGTCGATCTAGATGTTCTAATTCGAGTCTTAATTCTCTTGTCATTGATGTCGTCATAGGGTAGTATTCTTGCGAATCGTCAGGACTGCTGCCATCATTTGTATCGGAGCACAAATTTTTACTCATATTGTTTGGTTTTTGGTTTCGAAATGTCCGAGTTCCTATGTCGGTTTCCTCATACGAAGTTTTCGTCAAAATAATTCTTGGGCTTTCTTTAGAGCTTTCTTTAGCCGAATTAGTTCTATGAAGTTTATCTTGCTTTGATAATGCGGTTTTGCTACTCGTGGCAAAATTTAAGAATTCATTTAAGTTTTTAATCATCTTAACCTTGGGTTTGTTATTACTATCGAGCATCGTATTGGTATCATCAAGTTTATCTAAAGAAAAGAATTTATTATTATGAACAGATATTTTATCTCTAAGTAACCGTATTTGGTTGCCTAGAGGTGTATCTTTTGTATCAGAATGGGAATTCCCATTCATCATATTGTCATTAATAGAAGAACTTCCGCTTGAATCTTGTGTGTCGGGCGATTTGGTGTGTTCGGGAACACTTTTCATACTTCTTCTTAAATGCAGTTTAGGCTCTTTTGTGGAAAAACTACTTTCTTTAGCATTATCTAATCCATTGTCATATCTGTCGATTTTTTGTTTTTGAACTTGTAGTGCTGCATCATCTAAGCTCTGGAATTCTTTGGAATGTTTTAAGGAAGTGTTATTTAGTATTTTACGCGTCGCATTTTCATCTAGGCTATGGTTCATAGGTCTGCACGTGGCTAATTTTGGCGTCTTCACGTTAGCCAAACTAAAACTAGAACTTTGGCGTCTTATAGCACACACTTTCGTATAGGCGTTTTCCCGTGGAGCTTTGATTAGTGGGCTTAAAGGTGGTGGATCGTCATCTAGTTCTGTAGTCGGATCGAACTCTTTTTCTTTCAAGCATAAATCGATAATTGGCATTCTTTGTGGAAGGGATGCCCATAAGACTTCTAGCATCCTCAGTGCATCATCAAATGCAAACTCCCGTTTCATTTCTAACAGTAACCATCTATAGCAAAATAATAAGTCATCTGCTTGTTGCGATTTCAAATAATTGTAAAAGTCAGGGTCGTATACTTGTAATGACTCAGTTAAATGGGAAAACTTCAAAGTCATAGCTTCCCCATCTAAGAGGAAGTTAGGGTGAAGTCGTGTCATAAGGGCACAGAGACAGATGTACGCATGTGCTTCATCTCCCATAGTTACTAGAAGCGGTGACGCAAGGTCCGACATACCTTGACAGTAGCTTACAGACGGATGATTCAATGCATACCTAATCGAAAAAATAATTTAAAATTATTAATAATGCAACAAAATTTCCTATTCTAGCTTAAATAACAAAAAATATTACTCACGTCGTTAATATATTGAACAGTGAAGCTATATTTTGATTATCATCGCTGCCTGCATAAAAGTTATGATGTCTATCAGTTCGTAAAACATCTTTACGAACCATCCCTGTGACGTACGCCAAATCAGCATTCACCTTTAAAGTAATATTTATCTTTTACTGAAGTTTAGAACATGCATTAGGGCTTCAAGTTGTAATTAAACCTTTATGGACGTTTGTGCAACTGGGTGTAAGTGAGATAATATTAACCGATATCTTATTTTATAATTACACAAAGGTGGAAGTTTGTAGGTTTGGATGACACACTGAACAGAATTTCCTGAAATTTGGTATACAGATAATTCTTAGCCTTAATTAACATACGTGTTACCCCCTACCCCATTAAACGCTTCCCTAGGACTAAAATTACCATCAAGTTGTCTACAGAAAGCTTGTATATATTATGTAAACTTACCTTTCCTCTCTGTATACAATCTTTCCAACGAGCTCTAAGAGAATAGTATTCATTTGCTTTCCTCTTTATGTAATCCATTCGTTCTTTGCCAGTCATGCCCTCAGGATACACATTAAGAATATGCTTCCAAACCACTTTCCTGAAATAATTTTATATTTGCAATATATATTTATGTTCTGTAAAATAAACAAATTGCATAAAAAGCCTTATTTAGTTTAAACATTTTAGTAAAAGGAATCATCACCTAAAAGTATTGGTAACTTATCTGTTGCAGGCATGAATATTAAAGTATTAAAGTTACATTTAGAAATATTAAATATTCAGTTTACCTGAGGCTTGGCTCTATTCCACCACAGTAGATAACTTCTCTGAGTTTTATGGGATTGTTGATTTGTCCTACTGCATCCAGAAAAGATCTAAATTCTATATCGCAAAGTGGCTGTCTTGGTGGAGTATTTGGGTCGTCATAGAGATTCAAAGCTCTGGATACCATGTTGAATGTTTTTTCAACCTGCAGGCAAAAAAAGAGACAAATACACACATTGCTCATACCTCGTATAAGGTAGCTAAAGCTATTAAATAAATCTAAAAACATTTAAAATACTTCAATTTTCATCAATGTTAAACACAGTTAATAATACAGTGAAATTTTAGAGACATTATAATATTTATAATAATATTCATTATAATAATATTTCAAATTGTAGGATGTGTTTAATGGTTTCAAAATAAGAACGAACTATTTAAACATTAATTGTTACTACAAACAATGCAGACATAAAGGAAAAAGTGAGTATTAAGTCATGGTCTATTACTTTTAATAGAATAACAGAAAAAAAACAAGATATAGAATAAATATCAAAAGTTGTAGTAAAAGTTTTGTTTTGATATTTATGAATTTTTTAATGTATTTTAATAGTAGTGAATAGTAGTGAGTATTTTAATTGTAGGTATTATATTTATATAGCAATATTTTTTCTGTTTTTCATTTCTAATTTTGGAGTTCATATCATCAACATAAAAGTTTTTATAATATTAAAGAAGAAAATTAATTTATCAATATCAAAAAAAATTTTTTTCATGTTAGAAATTATACAAACATTGATAGCAGACACAGTACATTGCCTGGAATAATATATTTAAATTGCCACACTAATCTATCAAAACAAAGATAAAAGGGGAAGCACATTGTAGGTTGGAGATAAACTAAGTAGAAATGTGCTTATAATTAGTGAAACAAAAAAGTGTGTCAAGTTAATAATTAATTCAATCTACACATACAATATAAACCTTGATACTCACTCGTTAACTTAATGTTAATTATTGATATGCTCTGTTGAATTTTGAGATCCAGGTGAAAATACATGTCTTCAAGTACAATTATTGAAGAGGTCTTGAATATATAAGGCAGTCATAACTAGGATTACAAGTGTTCAGAACTTGTATCCCTATTGCAAAGTCAAATAAGAATAAAATACAAAAGATCTAATATTGTATTAACAAAATCATACTTGGTTCATGATGATTCCTTGGAGACCAGTTTGTGTTTCTTGCTTATCCATCTGATGAGAGGTAGGTGCTACTGTTGGCTGTTCTTTGTATATGGGATGTTGAGTCGGGATTGTTGGATTCACACTTGGTGGTTCCCAATCTTCTGATGCTTCGGCAAAGGGCTTCATATCTACTTTGAGTTGAACACATGGCTCAGATTTTTGATTGACTGCAATATTGTGTGATCTATAACATAAATTGCAAAATTGGTCAGAATGAAATATAATGTAGAATATAAAAAATTTTGAAATTGTATTGCTGTATTTATTATCCATTTTCATACTGACATAAACAATATAATATTGTAGACTTTTGCTGTATTTGTAAATAAATATATTCATAATAAATGTTTATTCATAATTAATTAGGCTTGATAAATCAAAACAGGGCAATTACTACTTCATTGATTACTCTGTAAATATTTATTCATCAGTATACATAGACTATCAAGTCCAGTATTAGAACATTTTAAAGACAATGATCTCTAATTATTTTGTTAAAACAATCAGCAAGAGTCAGTCATTTAGATAGTATGAAGCTTACTTTAGAAATGCCGCATCCAAATCCCAATCAGAGAGTAAGGGCAAATAAATTTCTTGACCATACTCATCAATACTTCTGTATGATAGTGTGAAATCAGATTTAATATCAAAAGCTTTCACTAAAATACTTTGAAGAACTTCTAAAGAAGTAATTTGTGGATCAACTGAAAATTTTCTCAGTTCTGGTTGGAGCTTTCCTTCACATTTCTGTAATATAATTGAGTGGCATAAGAATATAAAGAGTGATTAAGAGGTAACATACAAATTTAACATATTTAGCTTTTGCTTTGTGGTCTGAAAAGTCAGAAAAAAGTAATAAATCTTTAATAGCAAATTGTTTGTCTATTTATTTACTCAAATGAGTTGTACTGTTTTTCAATTTATTATGTTAAAAGGTTTTAAAATAAAACCGTATATACACTTTAAATAAAAAAGATGAATAATAATGCAATGAACTGTTGGATACAAACCTTGACTTTCACTCTAACTGCTTCTTTACTGTAACCAAACATGGTTTTGTTAAAATATTAAATTACATTTAAATTATTATTTATTTTGTAAATTAATAAGGATTGAACTTTAAAATATTTTCCCATTTAGCATAACAATGACCAGCTGCTAATAGCCAATGCAAAAACGGAAAGCAAACGATACAAATACAATTCGATGGACTGACAGTGACATGACATATCATGAACTTTTTTTTTATTATTGAGCTTAACGGCTCTGGATTCAAGTCCTTTTGAGCCATACATTATTATAGGTATTAATAAGAAAATTAAATCTTGACTCCAGTATTGTGAATGAATTTGTAAAGTGGTTTGTAGTTCTTGAATTCTTTTAGTAAGTCTTCGAGTTTACTGGGTACCGTTGTTTTCTTGTGTATTGATTCTAGGTCGCTGACAAGTATTAGTCGTTGTATGCCAAATCGTTTGCATTTCATTACCAGATGTTGGAGATCCTCGTCTTCGTTACAAACTGGACACTTCGGGCTATCTACCATTTTCAGTCTATGCAGTCTATGCAGGTGAGTGCGAGTCTGACCGTGACTAAATCTCATTCTATTTACGGTTGTTATGAATTGTCTGTTGGGCACTGTTTTTTTGTACCACCAAGGTTGGGCAGGCGGGCATCCTTGGATCATTTTATACCACCGACCTTTTTCTTCACTAATAAGATTCCAATATTCTTTACAGAGCAATGTGAGATGCTGGTTTGTTTTGGATTTGAAGTCTGTAAATGGAACTTTCTGACAACAGGGTTACCAACTCCCAACAAAATAAAACCCTAAAATCAAAGTCAAATAACCCTAAATAACCCTGAATGGTGAATGGTGTAATCATAAGCCCTAAAAAAGTCCTAATGGTATTGTTTAATAAAGTTTTCTGTTTTATTAAGGTGAATAAAATAGACCGCAGTTTTAATTTAATTAACTTTATTACTTATAATTATTTAAAAATAAGTCTTCAAATTTTGTAGATTCTACTTCGTCACTTTGGATATCAACATCAACATTCAGTTGAATAACTTTTTTCAATTCATCTCTTAAAAATAATAACGCTTTAAACAGTATATTTTTATAATATCATGAAGCTGCTCTGTCATATAACATTTGTCCTGCGATTTGTCATTTGTTCTATATAATGCAGAATTGGTACCTGTTTTGTCAAATAATTTAACGTTTTGTCGAATACGAAGAGAAAACAAAGTTGAAAGAAGAAGAAAGTTCTTTTGTATGTTGCTAACTGGATTCGAGTTTATAACTCGAATCAACTAGCTTAAGCTGCTTTAGCATACCTATATATAGATTAATCGTGACATATATGTAAACCGATTTTGATAACTAACTAGTCATCAAATTTCTAGGGCCCCTTTAGCTTAAGCCCTTATTACAGTACCCAATCCCCAGGGTAAGGGAGTCTAGAAATTAGATAGTGTAATAAGGGCTTTTTTATTTGGCTTTCACTGTTTGTATTTAGCTATTGTCAACGTTTGGGAAACGTAAACTAAAAGAAATAGAAGTTGGAACGAATTTTTTATGGGATAGATTCAGAATGCTTAAGAATTAGGAGAAGGAAGTATATTTACACAATTTTATAATACATATAGAATACAGGATAGGTAAGAGTTTAATATTACTTAAAGTTATATATGATACTATGCAGTCATAAATGGATAGGCTGTAAGTGGATAGTAAAGAAATGATTGATGTCGGGAAAGGAACATGGAGAGACAGTAGGTCATTAAGGAAGACCGTCGCGATCGTAGCGTACACAAGCAAAAAATATATGTTTTATCGTTAGATCTCTTTAGGTTTAGATCTCCAGTATCCATCACGCACTCACAGGTAGCATCACTAATGTTTCCAAGTTTGGCTAAATGTGCTGGAGAACAAACATGTCTAAGACGCATACGTGAAAGAGTACTTGTAGCAGTCCTTCCATACTTAGTTTTTCGAAACCAAGGTTTATGTAAGATATCAGTTTGAATTAGTAAACAGTGTTTTCCTTTGAATTAACAAGTAGTGGTCCAATCAGTATTCCATTTGGTCTATAAGTTACGCATGGGCAAAGATAGCAGATTTTGACAAAAAAGAAATTAAAGGGAAAAATATCACCACAATTTACTGGATCTTTAGCTAGATGATCAGATATTTTGTTTCCAGTAATTCCACTATGGCTTGGTAACCAGGAAAACTCCACCAAGTAACCTAATGAACAAAATTTTAATAAGCAGTTCCTTATTTTAATAACTCCAATACCTGTGCATTCTGTAAGGTAGATTTCGAAGCATCGCTAGACACATGATTATTGATTATAGTCATTTTAATTTGCATCAATTACAGATTTAAATGTGATGTTCACGTTGTTATCATCTTTAACAATTAATTCATATCGAATTATAGGAGAAAGTTGTAAAACATCAAAATTTACGCTAAATATGGAGAGACAATTGGATCGATGGGTAGGAACTAAAAGATTTAAATATTTTTGATAACTTATTATGAAGCAAGGACAGGATTTATGAAGCCAATAATTAGTAGTTTCTATTTCTACTTCCTTACGCCCAGATGATTGGGATTCGGTTAGAGAGTAAGGGAGCACAATCCATACAGTTTTTGCGGTGAATTCGACTTTTATGTTCATTAAGACTATATACGACTATAATTTAATTTAAAAGTATTTAAGACTATAAAATAGATAACTTGTTAAAAATGATAAGTAATTTTTAAAATAATTGGTTTTAATTAACTACCGTGAGCCATACTGGCATCAATATATGAATATATTTTAGAGATATTATAGATTATAGAGATTATTTCATATAAATCACTTGACAAAAAAGAATCTTTGGTTATAACAATTATAACGATAATCTACGGTAAAAACTGAGTTAGGGTCTGTGGGGAACCCACTATACATACATACAACATTCCATATTTATTTATTTATATATATTCACCACTACCATAAACATTCACATAGATTATTGAAACACTCTGGCAATAACAAAAAGAATAACAATAAAAAGAATATATATATTATATTGATTTATACTCTCTGATCAAATCATTTTTTCGAAATTTGTTTCAGTATTGATATCTTTAAGACATTGATTATATTTTGTTATTTTGAGATTGTATATATTCAGACTAAAGAAATTGTGCAAAGTTATTTGGAAGTTTCAATTTTCGTCATCGCTACTGCCATACTGGTGACCCCTGAATTGAACATCAAATAGCAAGACAAAATGGAGTCCGAACCATCGTCATCGATGTCGGAGACTTTCCGCGTGGGTGTTCGAATACCGCCATTTTGGCCGGAAAAACCCACCATTTGATTTTCACAAATTGAAGGGCAGTTTGCGATGGCTAGAATTACGGATGACACTACAAAATTTTATTATGTAATTTCTCATTTGGATCGACAATATGCTGTTGAAGTGGAAGACGTTATAACTGAACCGCCAACTTCAGGCAAGTATGATAAGCTGAAAAATGAATTAATAAAAAGATTGTCTATGTCTAGCGAAAGGAAAGTTAAACGGCTCCTCCAGTCTGAAGAACTTGGTGATCGTAAACCTTCTCAATTTCTACGACACCTACAGCAGTTGGCAGGCCCTAACATTCCAGAAAACTTTGTACGAACGATTTGGACAAGCCGTCTTCCTAACAATCTCCAGACAGTTATAGCATCACAATTGAGTCTTACATTAACCGAATTAGCAGAATTAGCAGATAGAGTACATGATATCGCATCTACATCTCCTCAAATAGCAACTACCAGTACAGGAACAGGATCAGCTTTAGAGGAAATGGCTCGAACTATGACAGAGCTTACAAAAAGAGTTGAAGCACTTACTGCTGAGGTACACAGTCGTTCGCGTTCCCGTCAAAGACATACACCGCATCATAGTCGACAACGAACACCATCAAAAAGATCACAATCCAATTATCGCAAATTCCCACAATGCTGGTACCATTTCAAGTTCGGCAATCAAGCAAGAAAATGCCTCCGTCCTTGTGATTACAAATCGGAAAACGGGCAGGGCAGTCAGTAATGGCGACAGATGATTGCCCAACCTCAACTGGTCGCCTCTTCGTCACAGATCATAAGTCTAAAATACAGTTTCTAGTGGACACAGGAAGCGACTTATGTGTCTTCCCTAGGACTGCGCTTCGCGATCGCCGAGAGAAGACCAATTACCAATTATGTGCAGCTAATGGCACCGTCATTAACACATATGGTTATATTCAATTTAATATCAATTTAGGCCTGCGTAGAGATTTTATATGGAAATTTATTGTAGCTGACGTAAAAAAAGCAATTATTGGAGTAGACTTTCTTTCATATTATAATTTACTCGTTGATGTTCGTAATAAACGAATTATTGACGCTACTACAAAATTGTGCACCATAGCTTCAGTTGATATTGATGAAATTACAATACCTAGCGTTAAGGTTGTGACCGATGTATCAAAATATCATAACATCATTTCAGAATTTCAGGATATTATGAAACCTTCAGGTAAACCAATTTCACCCAAACACAACACTGTACATTATATCCGTACTACACCGGGTCCCCCGATATCATGTTCTCCCCGCAGGTTAGCACCAGAAAAATTTAAAATCGCCAAAGCTGAATTTGACGCTATGTTGGCAAGTGGTACAGCACGTCCATCTGACTCACCTTGGGCTTCTCCGCTTCATTTAGCTCCCAAAAAAGATAAAACTTGGCGTCCGTGTGGTGACTACAGACTGTTGAACGCTAGAACTATTCCAGATAAGTATCCCATACGTCACATCCATGATTTTACTCATAACCTATCTGGTTGCACAATTTTTTCTACCATAGATTTAGTAAAAGCGTATAACCAAATTCCTGTCAATAAAGGTGATATACAAAAGACAGCTATCACGACACCCTTCGGGTTGTTCGAATTTCCGTATATGACATTTGGTTTACGTAATGCAGGACAAACTTTTCAGAGGTTTGTCGATGAAATGACTCGTGGCTTAGATTTCTGTTTTTCCTACTTGGACGATTTTTTGATCTTTTCTAAATCAGAGCAGGAGCATGAAGATCATCTGCGCCAACTCTTCTCCAAGATGAGGGATTACGGTATGATCATAAACACGTCTAAGTGTGTCTTTGGGGTGTCAGACGTAACATTTCTGGGCTACCACATTTCGCAACACGGTACTAAACCTCTGGAAAGTAAGGTCCAGGCTATTAAAGAGTTTCCTATACCAAAAACAGCCAAACAACTCCGAAGATTTTTGGGCATGATAAATTTTTACAGAAGGTTCATACCACAAGCCGCCCAAATTCAATCGCCTTTACACGCTTTGTTAACAGGTTCTATTAAAGCATCGCACCCTGTCAACGTAGAGGGTGACGCGCTGAAGGCGTTTGAACACTGCAAAGAAAGTCTGTGTCGAGCAGCATTGCTAGCACACCCTGACTCATCAGGTAAGTTAGGCCTCGTCACAGACGCATCTGATTACGCTATAGGAGGAGTTTTGCAACAGCTGAAAGATGGCCATTGGCAGCCACTCGCTTTTTTCTCACGTAAGCTGAGCCCCACACAGTCAAAATATTCACCTTATGACCGAGAACTTCTCGCAATTTATGAGAACATAAAGTATTTTCGACACTGGTTAGAAGCAACATCATTTACAATCTATACTGATCATAAGCCACTATGTTATGCCTTTCATGAAAGAAAAAGTAACTGTAGCCCACGTCAATATAGACACTTGGATTTTATTTCTCAGTTTTCTACAGATATACAACACATATCAGGAAAAGATAATGTTGTGGCTGACACGCTTTCCCGCGTGGACGAATTGTGTGAACCTGTTGACCTAGAAGTGTTGGCAAAAGCACAAATTGAAGATTCGGAACTACAAAACTACATTCACGAAGAAACCTCGCTACGTATCAAGAAAAAAGGAATCCCTGGTAGTCGTATTAAATTATACTGCGATGTCAGTAAAACGACTCCAAGACCATTTATACCTATTACACTACGAAAGCGTATATTTGACTCCCTTCACTCACTAAGTCATCCTGGTGCCAATTCGAGTGCAGAACTCGTAGCACAGCGATATGTATGGCCACAGATGAGGAAAGACTGTCGTGAGTGGGCTAAGGCATGTTTATATTGTCAACGCGCAAAGGTTAATCGGCATGTAAAATCACCACTTGGTTCTCTCGATTTATCTTCAGCAAGATTTACACACGTCCATTTAGACCTCATCGGACCATTACCTCCTTCTCGTGAATATCGATATTGCTTGACAGCAATCGATCGCTTTACACGATGGGTTGAAGTTATTCCTTTAACCGATATCACGGCAGAATCTGTGTCGAACGCATTTTTATTTGGATGGGTAGCACGATTTGGATGTCCTACTGATGTTGTCACCGACAGAGGTAGGCAATTTGAGAGTGCAACGTTTCAGCAACTAGCAAAGTTAATGGGCTTCAAACACAGAAAAACAACTGCTTACCACCCTCAATGCAATGGCCTCATCGAAAGGTTTCATAGGCAATTAAAAGCAGCCATTATATGTCACGCAGACGTTAATTGGTCAGAATCTTTACCACTAGTACTTCTCGGCATCCGGAGTTCATTCAAAAAAGATCTTCAAACATCGTCAGCCGAATTAGTATATGGCGAACCGTTAAGGCTACCTGGCGAATTTTTTGCCCACAAAGTTGACCAATGTACTACTGATATAACTGAATTTTCAGCTCGTGTCAGATCATTTGCCAACAATCTTCAGCCAAAACCAACTTCGGATCATTCGAAAAGCAAAATATTTATTTACAAAGACCTTTCATCTTGCTCTCATGTATTTCTTCGTGAGGATGCATTGAGAGGGTCTTTACAGCCAGCCTACACTGGTCCACATGAAGTGGTCGAGAGAGGTTCGAAAGTGTTCAAACTGCGCGTCAAAGGTAAAATCGTTTCAGTATCAATAGACCGATTAAAGCCAGCCTACATACTAAACGAACACCAATGTACGACTGTTCCCACGCAAAATATAGTTTCCCCTGAATCAAATAGTGCACCGAGCGTTAAAACCACTCGTTCTGGACGGCAGGTAAGATTCCCTAATTCTTATCGTCCGTAGTCTCGGCCTCTCGGGGGGAGTGATGTGGGGAACCCACTATACATACATACAACATTCCATATTTATTTATTTATATATATTCACCACTACCATAAACATTCACATAGATTATTGAAACACTCTGGCAATTACAAAAAGAATAACAATAAAAAGAATATATATATTATATTGATTTATACTCTCTGATCAAATCATTTTTTCGGAATTTGTTTCAGTATTGATATCTTTAAGACATTGATTATATTTTGTTATTTTGAGATTGTATATATTCAGACTAAAGAAATTGTGCAAAGTTATTTGGAAGTTTCAATTTTCGTCATCGCTACTGCCATAGGTCCAATTTCTAGGCAGTATAATAAGCGCCACATTAACTAGGGGATGCGTCCACATGATCGATCGGGTCCTTGAAATTGGGTAATGTAATAGGGCTTAAAAATCTATAGAAGCCTTCGTGCCAAATATAGAGAAAAAAATTTAAGGTGTCAAATCTTCTTGGTTGTATGTTAAACCCTATGGTAATTTTTTTTTACTTCTTCTTCTTTTGAATTCATGGCGTTGCCCTTGTGGCTTTCGCTTCACGGAGAAACCTTTGTCAAATCTCATGTCAAACTAAGTACTTAGTCCGTATTATTACTGTACTCTTTGACTTAGTCCATATGTCAACGTCAAGTCAAAGTTAAACAATTGTGCCACCGAGTGAATTGTTTTCGAATTCTCATTTTCAGCATCCTTGAATTGCATTTTTATATCTAAATAGCAATATATAATGAGTGCTCCTAACCAAGCTCCTCATATTGATCGGGAATTAGACTTATCAAATACTGGTAGGGGTGTATGGTTAGTGAAGGTTCCAAAATATATAGCAAACAAATGGGACAAAGCATCAGGCAATATAGAAGTAGGCAAGTTAAAAATATCACGAGTAACTGGGCAGAGAGCCCAAGTTCAGCTTTCGCTCTCCGAAGCGGTTTTATGTCTAAAGGAACCTGGTGAACAAAACATTCCAAAGGAGCATCGTCTTGACGTTTCAAACGAGACGAGACAATCGTTGGGAGTCTTTTCTCATGTAGTGCGTAAGTTTTCAAGATCGTCTTAATAATTATGCCTGTCGCAAAAAAAAAACTGGTGAATCTTGTCAACATGAATATAAAGAATAGAGTAGACTATAACTCCTTTCTATAAGTATCTTAATTTTTTTTTCAGCATCTAATACAGATTCGGTTATTCCTGAATCAGAGAAGCTGTTTATGGAAGGAAGAATAGTTCAAAAGTTGGAATGTAGGCCCTATGCTGATACTACTTACTATAAATTAAAATCAGAATCTATAAGGAAAGCATCTATGCCACAGAGGCAGGTGCAACAGTTAGATAGAATTGTCCAAAACTTCAAACCTGTTTCTGATCACAAACATAATGTAAGTTATTATTTCATAACATGAATTTGATTTTACAATTTGATGTAACTCAACACTGTTGTGGCATTCAAAATTTTATTGTCATTATAGATTGAATATCAAGAAAGGAAAAAGGCTGAGGGCAAGAAGGCTCGTGATGACAAAGATGCTGTGCTTAACATGTTATTTGCTGCATTTGAAAAGCATCAGTATTATAATATTAAGGACTTACAAAAGGTATATTTCACTTTGTTTATTTACTATTTATTCAATCAATTCTTGAATTGAAAAGTTGAAACTATTATAATATTGTATTAGATAATGAACTGGCATTCTTTAGAGTTTGTTTAGATTTTAAATTTAGTGAGATGGTAAACTGACAATGTTTTAAAATTTTATTGTAATATAATACCAATGGCAAGGGGCTAAATGATAGAGGGGAAGTTATTTAAAAAATATATATATTCTGACTGAAGCAGTAATTATTGATAATTGCTGTTTAAAAACAAATTTCAATTAAATATTTTCAGATAACAAGACAGCCTATTGTGTATTTAAAAGAAATACTTAAAGAAGTATGCAATTATAATCTTAAGAACCCACATAAAAACATGTGGGAATTGAAGCCAGAGTACAGGCATTATAAACAGGATGCACCTGCTGAATCTAAAGAGGACAAACAAAGTTCAGATAGTGACTAATTATTTATTTTTTTATATATAATATGGTACTTCAGGCTAATTGTCTAATTTCAAAACCTATCATAATCCCTTTCTAAGGTATAGCAATTGTGACAATGATTTATGGAATAGTGTAACTTTTAAAGTCACAATCATTTTTCGAAATGAATGATGATTTGAATAATTAAGAAGTTTAATAAAAACTTTTTACCTTAGAGTAATATTTGTGTCTCAAATTTGCACTTTTTAGACAAATTCAATTAACGTCAAATTTATGATAAAATTAATTAAAGATCTTTCACTAACAATGTTACCAACACATGTATGTGTCAAATTAAAGGGATGACAATATATTTTAAAATTAGACTATTAGGCCTTTAGATTGTATATATGTGATACTGTGTAATATAATTAATAAGTAACTGAGACTCAAAATAAACATTTTGTAAAATAATAAGGATTGCATTATTGATTTAAATAAAACACCTGATTTGCTTCCTTTATTAGTTTATATCACATAAATAGTATTTGGCAATAAATTTGTAACAGAATAACAACTATATCAATAAACATTCTAGATTTTAGTGTTGGTCAGTACTTGTCGAAAGTAATTTTGCTAAGATGAGAGTTTTGAGCTACGAGGGTCAAACTGAAAGTTCTTAGAACTGGCCACTTATAAACAATATAATAAAAAAATAATTCTAAAATTTGAAAATATAACTCTTTGCCAATATTACTGAGTATATATTTCATTCATTTGTCATTTGTTTTACGATTTGGCGGCAAATTGAAAATTGTCTGTGTCACGTCATCATGAATTTAACACGAGAAAATTTTCGTGCAATGATTTTTTATGACTTTCGATGTCATTTAAGTCAACAAGAAAGTTATGATAGACTACGATTGGCCTTTCACGATGAAGCCCCATCTCGTGCGACTGTTTACAACTGGTTTAATGAGTTTAAACGTGGTCGCACTAATCTCACTGATGATTTACGTGAGGGACGGCCTTCTACGGCGACGACTGAAGATAACATCTGTGTTGTGCGGCGTATGATAGAGACTGACAAAAGAGTGACCTATCAACAGATTCGGACAAGCTTAGGCATCGGTATGAGTCAAGTGCACAAAATCCTCCACGAACATTTAGCGGTCAGGAAGCTTTGCGCCCGGTGGATACCTCATAATTTGACTGAGGCTCAAAAACTCCATCGTGTGGATTGGTGTCGTAAAATGATTGAAAGATTTAACGGAGGTGACTCAAATGCTGTGTTCGACATACTAACAGGTGACGAAAGCTGGATTTACTGTTATGATCCTAAAACCAAAAGACAATCTGCTCAGTGGGTGTTTCCTTTCGAGGAGTTGCCAACTAAAGTGAAGAGAGATCGAAGTGCGGGAAAAAAAATGGTGGCCTCGTTCTTTGGAAGGATAGGTCATTTTGCAACAATTGTGTTAGAGGACCAAAAAACAGTTTCTGCAGAATGGTACACTACCAATTGTTTGCCACTTGTCTTGGAAAAAGTTCGAGAGAAACGACCTCGCAGTAGGATCCTCCTTCACCACGACAACGCCTCGTCGCACACCGCCAAGCGAACGATCGACTATTTGGCGACATCAAACGTTGAATTACTGGGTCACCCGCCGTATAGCCCCGACCTCGCGCCTTGTGATTTTTATTTATTTCCAAAAATTAAAGAAAAACTTAAAGGAAAGCGGTTTATGAATGCTGAAGAAGCGGTGGCTGCGTATCGCGATGCCATTGAAGAGACCCCTAAGGACGAGTGGGCAAAGTGCTTTTCCCAGTGGTTCCATCGCATGCAGCGGTGTATTGACGTGAATGGACAATATTTTGAAAAGATATAATAAAACTAATAACTGGCTAATGTAATCAGTTTTTGATTTTCTAAGAACTTTCAGTTTGACCCTCGTATTTTACTATAAATTAATACAATTAGAGTAAAAGACGTTATAAAATCAGTCATTAAGCTTACAATACATAGCATGTATGAATTCAAAAAACAGAGTTGAAATATTAAGTTTCCCTTGATGTCGTATTGGTGAGACAGATTGTAATACATACTTAGTTCAAGGCATTAATTCATGACGTCATATTTAGATTTCTTTATATAACTCGCTAGACTACAAGACAGTATTGTACCGATCAATGGCAGAAGTGCTGTGCCTACAGCGATGCCTATCAGCAAGTCCATGTTGCCTTCCAAATATTCGACAATAATGTCATAGCAACCCTGAAATCAGATAAGGAAGGTACTGTAAAAATAATATTGGAAACAAAATATAGCGCTTCTATAGTGGTTGATCCTTTAGCAAAGGGGGTTATAGCCAGAAAACGAATGACTTCAATCAGTTGCACAAACGTTTATTAAAATTAACATTAGTTTAAAGCGAAATTACCGATACAAATTTCACATTTATTAGAGCTTAAAGGCAAATTAAACCTTAATGGACGTTTATGCAACACCGGTATTGGATGGCAAATAGCGCGCAAAAAACAGTTTTTAATTACTCTCAAACCCTTATGATTATTGTAAAAGCGCTGCTTGTCATAAAGTCACATTTATGACACACTAATTTACCAATTTTCCTTGTAAAGTGTTATTAAAAACAAAGTTTTGAGGTATATTTGTGATTATTTTAAAATTCTAAGCAGAAATGTGTTCTGTCTACCTATGATAGAGAAAATTATAGACCGAGTACATAACTGCATATTCATGTTATCTACGATAAAAGTGAGGGGAGTTTAAACTTTGATAAATATTACATACTTAATGTTTTTCGAAACAGTAACTAACCCTATGGTAAACGTCATTGTAGTTTGCCGTGATACAATTGTTGGGATCAAGGCAGCAAGATGTAGGAATCACCCTCTGCGGGGACAGCCTTATCCAGTCTGTGTAATTAGATACGCCGCAACAATGCAACTGTAAGATATATAAAAAAAAATGTGTACATGGATGACAGCTAACAATACAGAATGACATTCTTAACCAAAAACAGACGGCCAATTACAGTTCCTCGCTTATAGATTTGATATAAAAGTAAATATAGTATTGGTATATACAAATTATGTTGCTTACAATATTATATATTAATAATAAATACATATATAAAAGGGTAATGACATATATGTTTACTATTTATTTAAAAAGAATAAGTTACCCATAACACGCTTAATTGACGCTTTGCTAGTGTAAAAAGGTCAACATTACTCGCTTCGATAGTTCGTTGAATCCATTACACGCCCGCCAAATGAATCAGTTCTGCCGAAAGTTTGAAGACGCAGGGGTAATTATAATAAGGCGTAAACATATTAGCAAGGTATTAAGTCTGGTGAATACCAGAATCAACACAACGAAGCTTAATTTAAGTAAAGCTTAGTTATGTTCACCTTCGATCGTGTGCGCGTTAAGATTTTAGTATGGAAACTGGCACAGCGCCCCTAGCGGTAACTATCAAGAACTACAAATCTTCATACATACATAATATGTGTATTCTAAACTCACTACTTTGTTTTATATTTACCCAGTGAGGTTTCTTCCTTATTTAACAAATCAAATTGTTTTTATCAATATTTTAGTTGGAAGTAGCTTTAACGCAATATCTATTTTACATACGTTGTATCTAATATTATAATGATAATTTACCTCCGAGAGACTTTTTAAAAGGTAGGAAGGTACACACGGCTGCATATCAGACTTATACTCGTACATTGTAGAATTAGTAGCGCGCTTCGTATAGAACTTACCTACTAACAGAGGTCTCCTTACGTTTACTCACCGTTGACTGCGCAAAATTGAAGTTATCTTTGTTGGGATTATATGAGATGAGCGTTTGCGTCAACCCATCGTGTAGACCCTTGGCGAACGTATCCCGGTAACAAGCAACCGATGCACCTACGCCTGCGTCCATCATGAAGATACATGCCAGAAATCCACCATACTGAAAACAGTTATCATCATTAGTTTAATATCCCCACTGTAAAGGCCTTCTTTATAAAGAAATGCACAGGTAAAACTGGACACAGCCCCAGTTTGGATTTGTGAGTATATTTGCCAACGTAACCAGGATCAATAGTTTAACATATACCTTCTGAAAGACAGAAAGGCTCGAGATATATAAATTACTGTCCACCCATCTGATGATCACTTTTGTGAAAATCACTATATTATAAGGCACGTACAACGTACACGAAAATAAACTCTAATTTTCAACCTGTAGGTATTGTATAAAGAAATAACTTCTAAGTAGGTAAGCTGGAACAATCACAATTGAGAAAATGATATTGTTTTCTAAAGGTTTTTTTCAAAGCCAAAACGACAATTTATAAAATTATCTGGGTAGCAGACTAAAATTTAACGTTACCATCGATTTCTTTTTATAATGATATCCTTTTTTAGAGGAAAAATGACGTCCGGTATATCGTATTTTATAGTCATTTTGAAGTTATATTTATAGTTTTTATTGAAATAGTATTTATCATATTTCAAGAAATGGCGAGCTCACTAAATGCTGTGCCATCGTACCATTCGGATTTATTTACTGGTAAATATAATCGGGTGGAAACGTTACACACATTTGAATACGATTATTGGTAACACTAACTACTTACTTATGAACGTTTTTAACTAGCAACATACGAGATGTGAAAGGGGTTCGCTTAATGAAATAGGAATCTTCATTGGAGTAGGTACGAATGCAAACGGCTTGCATGAATGAGCAACATAATCTCACGTGTTTTCACGTTAATCACTTTCCATTTGAATGCTTTTTGTCATTTGATTTGAGTGTTTTCTCTTTTTAAAGTATGTTACACTACACAGAGTAAAGTATAAGTACGTTACAGTATGCCTAGATAGATATTAACGGTAGAAGCACGTTTTATATTTGAGATGCAATTTCATTTTTCATTCAATTATTATGTGAATTGCAAATTCATGGTTATTTACATACTTACATTTGACTCATTTCACAACTTTTTTTTTTTTTGGAATGAAGTAAGTAGGTATGTTATTGCTTTACAATTTACCCTGTAGTACTTACGCTTAGGTAGATGTCTTCACGTATATAATATCAATAAGGTCATATTTATTTAATATTTACTTAAAACTAAACAAAATATTTATTATAAAAGTAGTTAGGCGTGTTTCGATTATTCTTGCTTACTCTGTTGGTTGCTTCACTATTTAAAAAAATATAATAATAAATAAATATTACACAATATCACATACATTGTTCAGATTCCAAGATGAGTAGTTAAAGCCCCCGTATTATGGAGTATCCCAGACAACGAAAGTAACAATAGGAACGGTTTTTGATCGCTGCTCGTGCAAACATATGTTAATATAAATCATATTATCATAGCCAAAATTCGTAGTGTGGGGGTCTGCCGCCCGGGGCGGAAGACAATTTTGCTGCCCCTCTCAATTAGGTATTTTATATAATTATACTTTATATTATATACATTAATTTTAAAAACTTTTTCGGCAAGAACTATCACATTTTTTTGCATTATAAAGGTTAGATTTTGACTGCACGGTTGGCCGATTGGCTTAGTTGTCGTCATGCAACTGCCCAAAGATCTAGGATTTCCCCACAAAGGACAATTTTTCGTGTGATTTACAAATAATTGTTCTTGGTCTGGGTGTACTTTGAATAGTCAAAGCATCACGTACTTTCTTAAAGAGACGTAATAAACAATATTAAGGCATAAACAATCCAAGCACAAAATAAAATACGAAGAATCCAGTATAGATGGTTTTGCCATTCGCTACAAAATATAATTTATATTCCTCGAATTCGTCACAGAATAAGAAATGAAAAATTCAAATATTAAAAAAATATATTTTAAAATTTATTGTGAACTTTTGCCGCCCCATAAAAAGTGCCGTCCGGGGCCACTGACCTACAGCGACCTAAACTACTAAAGAACGATTTACAGGGGCGACAGATAAGAAGACCTGCCTCTTTATTCTGTAAACCTGAGGACAACCCAAATAAATCGTTACAGAGGTCTGTGGCAAGCGGTCATACGAATGAGCGATTTGACACATTCTTATTGTTCATTTTTTACGGTGATTACGACTTCTGTTGAGTCCTGTAGGACAGGTGGTGTACCAGGTAAGTGAGCTGTTTGCATTGCTTTAAATATCCCAAACATAAGCTGATGATGACGATGAAATTAATATTGCATGTTATAATGTACTTAAAGTACCCACAATGTATAGTAGCACCGGTTGCCCTTTGATGATGCACGAGAAAGCGATTGAGCTGACTAGTACTATGAGTCCTGCTATCCCGATGAACACATGCGGCGCCGTCCCTGAGAATTCCGGTGATAATTCCATATACGTGTAGAGATCAAATTCCGCCCATAGTCCCACAACCAGAAGGAGTAGTCCAGATATCTACAACATAATATTTATTTACAATATTGTTTACTAATCGTATGAAAAGGCCTATTCTATTTCTCGGAGACCATCTCAGAGTACCAGCGATAAAGTGGATTTTTAAGCACTTTTCATTAAGGATATTAAAAAGGTTCTTGTTCACTCTATTTTTTATGCAGGTATATTTACTGATTTCTCTACGAATGTTTTTCATTCAAAATCACGTTAGAACTTATCATAGAGATCAAAATTAGTTTCCGATTATCACAAATAAATATTATAAAAAAACATATAATAAAGTCAGCTGTGTCTGGTCTACAAACAAATAGAAGAAACTTTAAGTGTGTGTTGTACTGTTCTAAAGGTTAAATTACCATTAATTCATTTCATATGGAAAATTCTTAACGTTGACAGATGTTACCAAAATTTCTATTAATATCTTATATTTGTCATTCATTAATGATCGTATTATTTTAACACAAAATACTGTCTTAATGATGGACACTGAAAAGATTTAGTTTGCTTAATCGTACCTCAACACGTAAACGTTAATTTTATTGGACTATATGTGTATTTATATTTGGGGTGTATTTATTATAAATTACTCACCCAAAACACAATATTGAAAACAAAAAGGAAAGTTTTCAGGCATGCGATCACGGCCACATTTTTGAATTGGTTACCCATTTTTAATGAACTATAAACGTTACGTATTATAATTCATTTTTAGAATTCTTTAGAATTATACTATTTAATTTGCGAGCTTCATCAACAACCACAGACGCCCGCTCTGGTAGGGCGGATGCCACGTATGAGGGCGCATGCGTGATAAAATCGGCGTCTGTTTAATTTGTTTGTAAATACAATACGGCTCGGCAACGTGGACGTGGGTAATGGAGAATACTATATTTGTCATAAATTAGCTCACACTTAAACATTTGTCCATAAATATGCAAAACATAACGTTCTCATTGTTAATAAAAGTGTGTTATGGTAATAACGCCGTTACCTTGGTACAGACAATCTGTCCTTATTTGGTGAGCCAACACAATAATTGTATATCACTTGTTAATTGTAACTTAACTAAAATATAAATTAGAAAAATTGTAATACCGGTTAAGAGGTTTGATGACTTGACAACGTCATGCCTTATTTAAGGCTTAGTTTCTGGCTCCAGTTTCCCACTAAACTAGAAGTTAACTTTGGCACGTGTTACACTAAAACATATTTTGGAAGAAAAATAAACTATTAAGTTTAACAATAATACACACGGCTACGCGTCAGGCTACCGCATTATGTTAAAAAAATTTAAATCAATCAAATCATGCATTAGGGGTTAAAATCAAGTAAAGAATTTTGACAGTTTTGTATAGCCTGACTTGCTGTCGACTGTTAATTCGTTAAGAATTATCGTCGTTTTTTGTTTTTTTATTTTAAAATCTACGAGTTTACCCTAATTTTCATCTTTGTAAAGTTATCATTAACTCATTTTTGCTATTCTGTAAAAAATTTGCGTCGAACACACCGTTCATTGTCGCAGCATTAGAGATTTATTACGTTTTGAAGTGCTGAATTCTAGGCTTTATCTGAACGATATCGGTCTCATCTATCTGCGTGAGGTGAACCGCATAGGGTTTATGTGATTTGAGGCTTATTGTGCATTTCTTCTGCGTTATGAGAAAGAGGTTTTATTTTATTGAACATCTAATGTTGTGACAGCATTGTCTATGACGTTTATTTTTAGCAAAATGGCGCAAGGTCACGCATGGGTAAGAAATAAAACTGTAGTCCAATAAGTTTTGAATTTTGGTTGATTAAAAGAAGTAATGATATTTATTACCAGAATAAAACAAGCCATTCAGAAAAATATATTACGTTTAAAGAGGTCGGTATCAACGATAAGTACGGCACAGTTACCAAGTTACAGTCTTATAGGTCAGTAATTAGGTACTTCACTACATTATTTATTAATATATTAAGATAATATTCGTTAAATAACAATTACTTAAGATCTGACCACCTTTCTGATCATTGATGTTCAAAAAGCATTTTAGAATGTTAAATGCTTTCTCTGTTCATATCTGTTTCCTACTAAGAGTTTATTTAACAAAGGATTAATTAATTAACTCGCACAATGCTAGCTTAGAAACCTTTCACGTGCGCAGACTAAATTAAAAAAAAATAATCAAAACGGCATTTTTATGCTGAACTCCAAATCCTTCCAACCGCGCACGGAGGTCGCATAATAACTGTGCATAACCAAATGCGCACTGCAGACTGTTTCAAGTTGCTCCGGTAACGTATTAGTTTGTTAGTCGTAGAGCAACCACTGCGGCGCAGGCGCACGTCTCTAGTTAACGGGAAATCGTTTCAGTTTGCCGCCAATACGGGCAAACAGTTTGAAAAAGTTTCATATACTTACTACAAAAAATAAAAATAGTGGCAGTTCTTAAAATAAAAAGGTTATAAGTAATGTTTTGCTTTAGGAATTGAAGTAGAATGATTTGCCGTGTAAATTTAATCATAATCGGATTAATTTTCCGAATAACAACCGTGTCACCGATACCAGAAATTGACTCCGATGAAGGTGAGCTTACCTTATTCAACAATAACTTTTTAGAAATTGTATATATGACATAACATATATGTAGTTATATTAATTTTGCGAATACTTTCTTATGGATTATCTGCAAAAATAATGTTCAATGAATAAGTGTTTGTCGTGTATCCAGGTGCATATAATTTATTTTCTGATTTCCTAATGTTTTATATATGGTTCACACTGTCAAAAGAATAAACAGATCTCACCTAGAGTTAAGCTTTAATTCTACAGGCAATTTCACAAACTCTACATACACTACTCCTAATATGTGGCTTGGCGGTATGCCGTATGTTACTGTCAGATGGACAAAATTATATTTAGGTTTGTTTATTCGGTTATTTAATTTGGAACTACGACGATTAAAGTTTATCAACTCAGGAGCTAAGGTTTTCCAGAAATAACGATGCTTTATACTTTGATCGGTATAGTAAAATAATTAAAATGTATGAAAAATGAAATTTAAAAGGAATATAAACACTAAACTGCGTAGAACACGAACCTAAAATAGAAACTGAAGAGAAAAAAAACTCGAAATTGAATGACAAGAAAATTATTTAATTGCATCGGTACTATTTTAAACAACAAGCTGTATGTCACGGTTAATTTATAAATGCGGCCCTTACTGCGGCCAGTGAATGCTTATTATAATCCATGACTAGCTTAAGTGTTCGATAGATGTCTGACTGAATACTGAAATAAATTAAAAGTTATTATAATAATACATTCATTGTTTTCAAATTAAGGTATAATTGTGGCGAATGCAGTATAAAAATTCCAAGACACAAGCGAAAATTCCAAAACTTTAGGTAAAACGTAGACAGTAGATGTGAAATTGCTGTTTCCAAATTTATTTTTTTTACGAAAATAACTTTGAAATCACGTGCGTTGTTGTATAGGTCGATAATTTGTTTTAATTGTATTCTAGTTTTAACATTTTTTCAGTACACTTAGCAAGACTATTATAGCCCTTGCCATTGTGTAGGAAAGATCATTTGGACCGAAATATTTGACTGAGATGTCGGTAGGCGCGTGCGTAACGAGCGGTTAATTGCCGAAAAAACCTACTTTTACAATTTCTTTGTCACATTTGTCTCACTTTCGAATTTCAAACAAAAATCTATATTTAATAGATTAATCTATGACAATATTGTAAGCTGAATAATCTATAAGAATATTTATATTTCACACATCAAATTTGTTTTAATACTTAAAAGTCGCGTCTTGATATAATTGTAACATTTTTCTCAAATACTCTTAAATTAAGATTGCTGGTGCAGGCCAAATAAAATTTTAAAACTTTTTTTTTTAATAATCCTAAAAAAGGATATTTGTATATTTCAGTACATCATTAATTTTTCGCAAGCAACGTTTACAAATATCACATCTACAACAAACAGTTTTTAGTTGGCAATAATAAGATGTTTGTGTGATTTAGAAATCACATAAATTTCCTATTATTATCATTCAACTGGCTTTTCGATGAAAATAGCTCTGATACTTCTATAATATACTATGATACTTCGTTATTACAACATTCAATAAATAACAATATGCGTGTAAAATTATCATAAGAATGTTATGGTAATGTTGCATAAATGTAATCAGGAACAAAAACTACGATGTGGATGCACCATTAGGCACTACACTAATAAAAGCATATGCTATGTTATAAAGAGTAATGTCTGTTATTTCATATATTTATCTATCGCTTAGTTTTATATTTCAAACTAAGCGATAGATAAGTATATTTATTCCTAACAGATTTTCAATCACTTATGTTATTTTACTACGGAAAATTCTGTTCGGTAAATTATTACATACTTCGTGTACGGTAAAGAGAATTTCTATACATATAAATAGTTTTACAAAAAAAAAAAAACAAATATTCAGATTTATAATCAAAATCATGTAACCAAACTTTTCATTACTTTAAAAAGACATCAACGCGCTTAATTACGCTTTCGCTTAAACACCTGCAATCGACAATAATTTCTTTATTTAAATACCTTGGGGCTAATTTATAATTGGCAGACAGTCAATTACTCTATTGAAGTATATTTACTGATTGAAAACACTTACCTTAGGTCGTAGGTAAGTATTTACGAAATAATTTTAGAAATAACTTTTGATTTATTTGAAACAAATAAAAAGTTATTTCTAAAAATACTCTTATTGTCACCTTCTTCCCATCGCAAACATGACATTATTGGAACAAGGCTAAGTATAGGACATACGCGAATAGCTATAACATCAATAAAGTAAATGACGAGTACTAGTTGCAATCGACAAAATGCAACTAGTGCCGTATTAATAAGGTTTGAGGTGCTTGAAGATTTAATAACGGGAGCCGTGAAGTCTGTCGCACGCTCACGGTCCGGCAACGCTCCGACAATGCGCACTCACCGCAACCCATCAATATTTCACACTTTTCCCACATTGCAGTCATAACGATAACGGCTCGCGTGTAACACACCACACCATTCGAAGCAGGACCGATAGTATTAAAGCTCCGAGCAAACCGAGTTCTCAGACGCATAAGCGTCCAATCAATAGTATTAGCATCGTTGGCACGCTCTCTGGATACGTGCTGTGGCATATATAAGATTGTCAGGAAACGTTAAACATATTTATCAGTGTCACAGATCGTAGCCGTAGCGGGAATGCCGGCCTATCTGTTGCGCATATCGTGCCATCTCAGAGATAGCTTCGGTCAAATTAACTGCACACCACGGAACAATCGCTACAAACACATTGTTAACCGGGGATCCTATTCACGTTTGCGACCGTATCGCCGATCTTTATTAAATTCATTGTTTACATGACATGAATACAGTTTGTTCGTTACCGAATCGTCAAACTGTCGTATCTAGGTCGTCGACGGTGGTGGCAAAAGATTCATATCGAACTGATTTCTTTTTTTTTTCAATTGTCAATACTTGCTTGTGATATGTAAACGAAACGTTTGCTTTGGGAAATTAAATGTTTGTTAGAAAGACTAGTTTTTCGCGACTAATCAATATAGATACATGAACTGCATTGCTATAAATAGTATGGAGGTTCAATCAAAACCTATTTATCAAAGTAATAAAAGTTTTATTCCATTGAAGCTCTATGATATGACAGCGCCGAGCTCGACGCCTTATTTGATGATATTTTTAATAGAAAAGCATAGCTGGGTCAGCTAACACGATTGATCTAATAAAGTTGGAGCGCGATAACAAGAACGTTTGAGTGTCTAAGTTGTTTTATTTTTCGTTGGCTAAGTACAAACTACACCCTCGTTTTAAACAATATTTGAACTCTACAATACGGTTTTAATTGTTTTTTTCTATATCTATTTTATAATAAAATCAAATTGACACTGCAATTTTAATGGACGTTTAGCATATTTTCTAAAACTAAGTAACTTTACATTCAGGAAAGAGTGTCATTAATAAAATATTAAAACTTTTAAAAGTTTGTAGCTATTGTATATAGATATTCGAGATTAATAGAATGAAATAATGGTGTATTAAGTTTTAAAACCATAGCATTCAGTAGTTACATCAGTTAGAATATAATCTATTGCGGTTATCATTAGCATGACACTAACGGTAGGTAGCTGTTTCGACATTAACCCCGCAGACAGTTGTGGTAAAAGCACACCCAGTGACTGTGGCTGTTCCTAGATGTTACGGAAATATAGTATAACACCTCTAAGTAACAGTAACAGAGCCGGCCCGTCCATATAGTCAAACTAGGCAATTGTATAAGGTGCTTATTTGAGGGGCGGTGTCGCATAGCGAACTGATTATGTGTCCTCTAATTGTTTGAACCTCAAAAATTAAGTATCTTAAAAAACTTTTGACTTTTGTTCTTTGAACATGAGTCCATGCCCGCGGTATTCAAAGGTATGTAATTTTTATTTAGACCAGCTGTACTTATGGAGTTTCTTTTGTCATGGCAAAATTACAATCTCTAATCGGTGAACCAACATCATTTTTTTAATTTTGTTGTCACTAAGTTCCAGTGCTTTGCTTCAGGTACCAACTTCCAGTGTTTTGCTTGAGGAACCAAGTTCCAGTGTTTTTCCTGGGACACCAAGTTTCATTGAGCCGGCGCTGAAATATTATGTAACAGTTGAAATATTTAATTACTCGAGATAGTTGAACAATAAATGGACATGTACAGGTCTGTCTCAATACTTAGCTGAAGTTAACTGACGACAAATGCAATAAAGGTTGTATTTTATTGAAGCTTTTTGTGAAGACAGTGCTGCGATCTATAACGAGTTTGAGGCCATTTTATAACGGACGGAAAGTAAGTTCAACTTTCCGCCAGCGACTTCGCCCGCGTGTCCATATAAACTTAATCCCCTTAATTTTGTTGAATTTCAAAGTATTCTTTCTTAGTGCTTACTTACATCATGAAAGAAAACCCTATACCAAATTTCAAGTTTCTAAGTGGAGTAGTTTCGGTTGTGCGTTGATATATAAGTCAGTCAGGTTTGTTTTTTTTTTTTTTATACAGGAACAGATAACATAAGTACTTAACGGGCTTGTATCAAATTAGTACTCCGCGGTTACAGCAGCATGTCACAGCGAAACCATTGGTCACTTTGCTCTTGTCACGTGCCAAATGGGTCATACGTGAAACTTGCTTTCACTGAACGGGTTTATATCAACAAAACGATAATTAGATGATCGTAATTGCGTTTTAGTTTTCAACAGGTTTGAATCTACACCTGTTTAACAATAATCTGCAGTGTAATAAAAAAAATAATAAGAAAAAAACTACTCGTGGTTCGGCATGAAAACTGGCAATTGTTTATTTTTTTTTTTCAATTGCAGCATATATAACTTGTGGGTTTTTTATTATGAAAACTACGCGGTGCAGTGTAAGATCATAAATTACATGCCCGAAGATATTTCAAGTGAAAGTAGATTGTAATGAGAAGCGGTCGTTTTTTTTCAGAGAGCAAAAACTAATATTAATTATAACGAAAG